TTAGAAGAGTGAATTTACTTGAGAAAGTTCCAATTGAATTGTTTGAATGCATCTAGCCATCCGAATTGATCGGGTATCAGTTATTACAATCGAGCTATTCTATTAAACATTGAATTCAATTTATTAATTTGTGGTTAATCAATCATCATCATGAACTTCATGGTTCTCAAAGCTCTTTTCATCGCCATGTTCTGTTTCGTTAGTTTTTCCGCTGGTGATTCCCACTTCATCTCTGGTCGTGGAGTAGAATATCTAGTGCGATCTAAGCGACAATTGTCACCTGATAGAGGACCCGCTCCCCAAAAACCAGTCGACAAAACAGCACCAATTAGGACAGAATAATCTTTTCAATTATGTCTATTAGATTATTCGCTAAACAATTGTAATGGTGCTCGTGGTGATTGAAGTGACCTAACTTACTTTGTACTTTGTTCCATAACGATGTATCATAGAGATTAAGACACAAGAGATTTACTGACCATTTATTATCGAAAATTCGTAAAATAAAATAAGTTTTCATTCTTAATAACTATCGTTTCTATTCCTTTGAAACCCAAGAACGATATTTCTCACATTTTAAAAAGCATACGGTTGATACCAATGTGAGGAGTTCTGAATGGATTCAAACTAAGGTACAAATTGAGGCTGAACCAGCCGTTTTTTGGTAATTTATAAGTAACTATGTTATTGGTACCTTACAACCATCTACGTGGAATTATCATTAATTTAGTTGAAAAAAATCAGCAATCAAAATCTTTTAACCTTCCAATTCGTTATTAATCACCAAGGCGAATCCTGGTAACGAAAGAGAACGTGATAAGTTAAAGAGACGTTCTCTTGATAAAATGGTTTTGTCTTAAATAGAATTCTATCTTAGTAGTAAGATGTGTCTAAACGTTAAAAAGGGAGGAGCTTAATGTTGTTAGGGGTGATGAATGAAAGTATAGGTGAATACCAAATGTTAATGAAGGAAAAAAGCTTAAAAAAGCTAAAGGCTAAGTTTTAAAAGAAAAGTGCAAGATTGTTAAGCCAATGGAAAAGTTAAAATAAAGAAAAGTGATTAAGTTCCAAAGGATTATAATCAAATTAAGGTAAGTTAAGAACCCGAAAAAGAAAAAGAAAAGACAATTAAAGTTTTAATTTTCAAATTTAATTTTTATTTGAAGGAAGAAGTTATAATTGAAGACGCTTGGGACACTGAATGAGCTCGAAAGAGTCATATGTGCGCGCTTCTTACAGGGGAGAAGTGAATAACTTGAGGGATGATAGGGAGAGTTCGGGTTGGGGTTTTCTTGATGGGGAGGAGTGGAGGGAACAGGTGAAGCCGGTGAATGATGATGATGGAGATGACTCGATCCCAATCTCTGAGTGATCAGACTGTGGACCAGTCACTCTCATGGGTGGAGATGGAGGAAAGGATGACATTGGGCCAAGGGAAGAGGAGATAGAGTCAAGGGTGATGGAGACAGAGGATCGGTGATGGTGGAGTAGTTGGGGTCGGTCATGGTCGAGTCAAGGGTGATGGTCGAGTCAAGAGTGATGGTCGAGTCAATGGTGATGGTGGTCGTGGATGCTGGTTCTGGTTCAGGTTCGGGTTCAGGTTCGGGTTCAGGTTCAGCTGCTGAGGTTGGATCCTGACCATAAAAGTCAATCATCTGATCCGGTGCTTCCACCAGATAAGATGAGGCTGCAGCTGGATCCCCATTCTCATCAATTGAGACACGAAGAGAGTTGAGGAGGTTGATCACCTCGGCCAAGGGAACAGACCCTTGCAGACTGTATGGGTCTGCAAGGGCTGCCCTTCTAGTGGCGTCGAGGGATCGAAGAGCCACGACCGAAGGAGCATAATGGTGGCTTAGTGGTGGTGAAGGAGAGACTGGAGCGGCAGCAGGAGCTATCGGGCCAAAGAGGTCGGCAGGTAGCCGAAGACATGATGAGGAAGCAAGATTGGAGGTGATGGAGGTAGAGAAGACATATTGAGAGCGAGAGAGTATAAGAGAGTAAGAGTAAGAGAGTAAGAGTAAGAGTAAGAGAGTGAGAGTAAGAGTAAGAGCAAGAGCAAGAGCAAGAGATAGATGAATACTGACAATCTTTACTGTTCAAGATTGGGTTTTATACTCAGAAATGCTCACCTTAAACCACCTCTTGTCTTCCATCTCACTCGTAGAGCTCCCTTTCCTATCTCCCTCCCATAGTAAAGCAAAAAGACTCTCTCTCACTTGTTAGTACAGTGGAAGCTGAAGTATCATCTTCATCTTATAATCTGTTTTAAGTTAATCTCTTTACTAGAAGAATGAAAAAAGAGAAAATTGGAAGAGATAAACTTTTTAAAAATAATCTTTTTAAGAAAGTTAATCTTCTCGAAATTAATCTTTTCAGAGTTAATCTTTTTTAAACCTAATCTATTGAAAAGCAGTGAAATGTATTGAAAGCAATGAAAGTGAATGGGAGTTAATCTTTTTCTATTGAAATGTACTGAAGTCATAGAAACAATCATCTTTATCATCATTCAGCATTTACTGCATGCTATTTACTATAGTATATTCAGTTTACTTTCAACATTCAAAACAATCACAACAATTAACAATCAACAGAATCAACAGAATCAACAACAATCAACAATCAACAATTAACAATCAACAACAATTAACAATCAACAACAATTAACAATCAACAACAATTAACAATCAACAACAATTAACAATCAACAACAATCACAACAATTAACAATCAACAACAATTAACAATCAACAACAATCAACAATCAACAACAATTAACAATCAACAATCAACAATCAACACAATCAACACAATCAACACAATCACAACAATTAACAATCAACAACAATCAACAATCAACAGAATCAACAATCAACACAATCAACACAATCAACACAATCAACACAATCACAACAATTAACAATCAACAACAATTAACAACAATCAACAATCAACAATCAACAGAATCAACAATTAACAATCAACACAACAATCAACAATTAACAATTAACAATTAACAATCAACACAACAGTAACCATAGTAACCCGTAACCATAGCAACCACACCAACATTCAAAAGGTAAAAAAAGTCTCCACCCCCTTTTCTTTTTCTTATTTTTCTCTATCTAAGTTACCATTAAGGTTCTATGGGTTTAATTTTCCCGCCTTTTTTTCAATCTCAAAAAATTTTCGGCTGCAAGTCCAACTCACTGCGCTGATTAATATAGGCTAGCAAAGTTATAATGAAACTTTTTTTTCAAGCGACTTAGTTTTTAACTTAGAAATTTACCATGTATTCTCTATGGGGAATTTTGCATGTATTCTCTATGGGGAATTTTGCATGTATTCTCTATGGGGAATTTTACATGTATTGTCTATGGGGGATTTTACATGTTAGTTTTTTTTTTCCTAATATTAACACTTTTCTTTATCACCAGTTAACATGGACTTAACACGAGCCTTCCAAATTCTAAATGAGGAAATGGAGCAAGAATACGATGAAATCTGCAGAAGATTTGTGATTCCAGATAACCAAAATTGCGCTGATTCGATAAACCATGGACTTGATGCTTGTATGGAATGTGATGAAGACGACGAGATATGTAAAAACTACTATGTTAAAAACGATGAAGAAGAACTAGATATGTATATGGAAAATCAAGACGATGATGACATATGTATCAACTTAGGGATAGAAGGTGAAACAGAAGCAGAGGAGGTTAGTATGTTAGATTTATCAGCTACTGGTGTGATTAATGAAATAGCGACAGGACAAATCCTTTCTCAATCAATTCAGAAGCAACCGGATGCTATTTATTATACTGATAACCATTCTAGCAGTTCTGGTTCTACATCTCTTGTACACTCTTGTGCTTCCAATGAACAATATGATGTCGGTCACTCATCTCAAGATATAGCGCAATCAACTCATCGCTCTTCATCGTCTTCTACTTCAAGCTCATGTTCAACTTGCAACTCTTCACAGTCTTCGTCTTTCTCTTCAAGCTCATGTTCAACTTGCGATACATGTTCAACACCTCTTCACAGTCTTCGTCTTTCTCTTCAAGCTCATGTTCAACTTGATACATGTTCAACTTGCAACTCTTCACAGTCTTCGTCTTTCTCTTCAAGCTCATGTTCAACTTGCGATACATGTTCAACACAACTCTTCACAGTCTTCGTCTTTCTCTTCAAGCTCATGTTCAACTTGCGATACATGTTCAACTTGCAACTCTTCACAGTCTTCGTCTTTCTCTTCAAGCTCATGTTCAACTTGCGATACATGTTCAACTTGCAACTCTTCACAGTCTTCGTCTTTCTTCAAGCTCATATTCAACTTGCAACTCTTCACAGTCTTCGTCTTTCTGTTCAAGCTCATGTTCAACTTGATACATGTTCAACTTAACTCTTCACAGTCTTCGTCTTTCTCTTCAACACTCAAGACTTCCAGATCTAAACAAGATTTTTCTCAACAGGGAGGTGGTCAAGGTGATGATTCTATTCTTCATTCAAGACCAAGGGAAAGAGAAATAGAGTTTGAGATTGTAGATGAACAGCCATGGAGAACAAATGCGAACTTCCATTCAATGACCAAACTTCTTCGCGCTAGGCTCAACAACAACTGCTCGTCCGGTGTTGATATTTCGCGCTTATCGCACGCAATAGATACAGCCTATGAAAGATTTGTTTCCAAACTGATAGAAGATGCCAATTCAAATGACAGGATCTTTATAACATTTCGTAATCCGCAAGAAAACCGTGAACTTTATGTCTCATTCCTCAAGAAAAACTTCAATCCACAGGAGTTTCTTGATAGAGCCTATACTAGCACAATCAGCAGGAAATTTCCTAGATGATGGAGTTTTGAAATAAAAGTTCAAATAGTCAAGTCCATTTCAGGAGGAGCAAGGGCAAGGGTTTCGAAACTCTTATCAGGCGCTGAGAGAGCACAAAAGAGAAGTGTTTTCTTGATTACAAATGATGACTACAAGTGTGGATACATGGCTATTGCTGCTGGGAAAGCTTACGTCGATGAAGTTATATGTAAAGACAATAAACAATTCTGGGATAGCTTAAGACGATCTAAAAATAAACAAGTTGCTCTAGCCGCAAATTTATTCATGAACATGCAAGTAGATGTTAGTTCACCATTGGACATACAGAAAATTTCCGAGATTCAAAGCTTACTACCATCTTATCAAATTGTCGTTATTGATCAAAGACACAATTGAAACTGTTTTCCGGCACTGATGTTGAACATAAAATTGTTTTAGAATACAGCGAACCACCACACTTCAACCTCATCACATCAATAACTGGGTACATGGACTGTGACTATTTTTGTTTCAATTGTTGGGCTAAAACCAGCAAAGATACACATTATTGTAAAGGATCATGTAAAAAATGTCGTTCAGTTAAGGCATGTGTATTCATCCAAAGAATTACTTGCAGTGAGTGTAATGTTGATTTGAATTCTCAACACTGCTTTGATCAGCATAAACAGAATGGTGTTTGTGGTCGCATTAGAAAATGTTTTACCTGCTGGGTTCAATATGACACAACAGCAGGTGATCATGTTTGTGATGTTTATACTTGCAATTTCTGTGATGTAGGCTACCGTGCAAGCCCACACTACTGTCATGTCAAACCAGCAAACCTCGAACATCTCATCGACGATGACGTAAAACCATGGATATTAATTTGTTATGACATAGAATCAATGCAGATCACCAAGACAGACAATACAAATATCCTGACACATCAGCCAAATTTGTTGATAAGCAGGACAATGTGCACATCATGTACTGATGAAAAAACTTTAGTAAGGAACCTTAGAGATTGTGAAATGTGTGGTGATGAAGAACATGTATGGTATGGAACAGAGTGTGTCGAACAATTTTGTAATTATCTCTATGATAAGATGCTTCCTCGAACTGCAGCTGAAGATGACTCAAGAACCGCCATCCAGATAAAGGTTATTGCACATAATCAAAGAGGATATGATGGTCATTTCATTATGCAAGACTTTTTCAAAAGGAAATTTTTACTAGTCCCAAATGTCATCATGTCTGGGTCAAAAATTCTTTACTCACAGATGGAGAATATAAAGTTCATTGACTCTTTGAGTTTGTTTATGCAGCCTCTTTCATCCCTCTGCAAATCCTTTAACATCAAAGAAATGAAGAAGGGATATTTTCCACATAAGTTCAACACACCAGAAAATCAGCATTATGTTGGAGTGTTTCCAGCTATCGATTTTTATGACCCACTCTCCTCAAACCGACGCAGAAGGCTGAACTTGAAAAATGGTATTATGAGACTATAAAGACTGACCCAGTATTCAATTTTAAGACTGAGATTATTGAATACTGCAGATCAGATGTCCTCATACTTCAAACAGCAATTATGCGTTTCATTGACTTGTTTAAATCGATCACTGGACTTAACCCAATAACTAGAAGTTTCACGTTAGCTTCAGTAGCGATGGAGGTCTTTAGAGCTCGCATGCTTCCAGCATTTACCCTTGGAGTCACTCCTCTTTCAGGATATGCTGAGAGAAAACAGTCGACTAAAGGCGCTGCGTGGTTAGATTTAATGCAAAAAGATCTTCGAACAAAAATCAGAAGAGAATGGAGGCTTGGACCTTTTTACGCAGACGGATTTATTCCAAGTAATAATACTGTATTTGAATTTTGGGGATGTTATTACCATGGATGTCCTGCATGCTACCCGGATAGGTCAACGATAGTTACAATGAATGACGAAGAACTAACGGTTGAATCATTATACCAAAGAGTCTTGCTCAAAAAAGAATATTATCAGCATAGAGGTTATCTTCTTCATGAGATCTGGGAACACGAGTTTGATGAGAGAGAAAGATATACCAGCTCTCGTATCTCATACTACAATCAGATAAAACAAGTAGGGTCAATAAATATCCGCGAAAGCTTTTATGGGGGTAGAACAAATAACATCAAGTTCTTTCATCAATGCAGTTCAGATGAAGTAATCAGATATTTAGATTTCACATCATTATATCCATTCGTCTTGCGTGAATATGACTATCCACTCGGACATCCTTTCCTCATCCAAGAAGATTTTCGAGATATCGGGAGTTACTTTGGATTCATCAAATGTAAAGTACTTCCACCTACCAAGCTAAACATTGGGGTCCTGCCGATGAGAATATCCAAGAAGTTATTATTTCCCTTGTGTATGAAGTGTGCAGTCGAAAACATTCAAACATCATGCACACATTCACCTGAGGAGAGAGTTATGACAAGCACTTGGACTAGCATCGAACTCCAAGAAGCTGTTAAATATGGCTATAAAATCATGAAGATCTATCAAGTTCTCAATTATCGGAAGACTCCACATTCAGGTACACTTTTTTCAGAGTATGTAAAAATGTGGCTCAAAATAAAACAAGAGTCTAGTGATTGGCCTTCATGGGTTACCAATGAATTCGATAAACAAAAATACATCAATGACTACAAAGCAGCTGAAGGTGTTGAGTTGGATCCAAATTCTATCGAGAAGAATCCTGGAAGGCGAAGCATCGCAAAGCTTATGTTGAACAGTTTTTGGGGTAAACTAGCGCAAACTGCAAATTTACCGAAAACAAGCTTTGTAAGAAACTACGCTGATCTATGGGGTATCGTTTCTGATGAGCAAAATGAGATTCTGGGTATGCATGAACCTTCTGAAGAAGTTATTATGCTGCAACATCGTTTTATTGAGTCAGCTAAGGAGAAAATTTCGCCTGGAAAGACTAATATTGCAGTCGCTAGTTTTGTCACAGCATACGCACGTAGAGAGCTTTTTCGTTTGATACAACGTATCGAGTCACATCGACAAGGTAGAGTTCTCTATTTTGACACCGATTCAGTTGTGTTTGTAGAGAAAACTGGTGATCCGAAAATTCAATGCGGAGACTATCTTGGTCAATTGACAGATGAGATTGAACCTGGCTGGAAATGTAATCTTTTTGTTTCATTAGGCCCAAAAAACTATGCATACCAAGTCATAAACTCTCAAGAAGATACTAAAAGTATAATAAAAGTAAAAGGGATACGACTCACATCCAAGGCATTAGACATCATAACTACACAGAAACTTCTTGAAATGGCGCATTCTTACATAGGAGGTGACCAACAAAGAGTTAACATAACACAAAGTAACATCGTATCAGACAAGTTTACACATACAGTTGAAACACGGAATTTTGAGAAAATCTACAGGGCAGTCTCCGAAAAAAGACGAATAATTGGTAATGATACACGCCCTTTTGGCTATGTAGATTGATTTTTTAAAAACTCTAAATAAAAAAGAATAAAAATTATTATTTGCGTTAAACTTTTATTTATAGAAAGACTATAATCTGTCTGAAAAAGCAAGATAAAAGGTCAAATTAGGATTCATATGCATGTATTTAGATAGGTTTAACATGTATAATGAGGCGTGTCTTTGTTTCACAAAAGGCAGATGAGAGGGAAAAAGAGGCGTTGAAAAAGTATAAGAAAGCACAACTAAAGATTGAAAAGGGCGTTTTCATTGCTAAAGAAAACTGGTTTTACATCTATTTTTGCGCATGTTTGAAATTATTTCCATCAAGTGGTATAAAAGAAGAGTCTTGTCACAGTATTTTTATTTTCAGTCTAACTCTCCAACTGATAACATCAATTTTTTCTAGAAAAAACAACAAACAAAAAAACTACATCATCGAAATGGATTTCTCAAAATTTTCAGTACCTGTCTCAAAAACTAATGGTGAAGCTTCTGAAAAATACATCAGAAAGCCAACCCCATTTGTTAAAATAAACTCAAAGTCAGGTGACTACACAAGATTCACCTTAACTGATACCTCGTTCAGGTTCAAAATTGACGAAAAATGGTACAACTCAATCATTGCTTATCTCGCTGCTAACAAGGATCTTAAAAAGATCGAATTCAATGATATTCTCACTGCTTATTTAGCCAAGTTCCGGGCATGTTGGGAGTTGAAACGCCTATTAATTGCTACAGGTAACACTATCCTAATATATTGCGATGCAGAAGATAAAACATTATCTTGTGGATTCGATCAAGATGACACAAATGCTGATATGCACACAACTGGACAGGTAAAACCTTCTTGGATACGTTTTGATGCAATTAAGATGTGAACTCAAGGAGGACTGGAAGGTAGAAAATCTGTCTGGAGATGGTAACGTCATCAAACGAAAAACCAATGAATAATTTTCATAATATATATAAAGAATAACAAAAAAGTTTTGATGTAACAACTTTCATTTATAAAATTATTCAATTAAAATAAAATGGTTTCAGAAAATAACTCATTTTACTTTTATTCACCCTTTCACGTGTATGGTTGCAGGCCCAACATCAAGTGGGAAGACTGTAATTAAGTCTTTAATTGATAATCATAGATTCACATTTTCGAAACTTAAGTCAAATCCTAAGATTGTATGGTGTCATGGGCAAATGCAGGAAAGCTATAGTGAGAGCGACAGTATAATTGAATATCACGAAGGTTTGATTGAAGATCCTAGTAATTATGATTTGATTGTTGTTGATGATCTTATGAATGAACTAGGAGGAGATAATAGACTTCTAAATTTATTTACTAAAGGTAGTCATCATCTCCACATAAGTGTTATATTCATAGTACAAAACATTTTCCACCAGGGTAAACACATGCGCGGAATAAGCTTGAATTGTCAATACTTGGTACTGATGAAAAATCCTAGAGACAAATCACAAATACACTGCTTAGCTAGACAAATATATCCAACCAAGAGCGCAAGACTGATAAAAGCGTATGAAGATGCAACTAAGCAACCATTCAGCTATTTAAAGATTGATCTTACACCAAGAACTCCAGATCATTTGCGAGTTCAGACCAACATAGTTCGAAAGGAAGCCAAACATAACATCATCATTTATGAAATATGATTTCACAAGAATTATCCGACTGTTTACCCATTATTCACCTCTACATGAAGTTGAAAGGGAAAAAGCTACGACAGGACTTTCTAGCAGACCAATTCAAACAGGACTCAAAATATATAAAGCAATCCATGAGATCGTTATGAATGTTGTACACCAGAATCTACCTCTTCCTGATGACGTTAAACCAAAGTTACGAAGACACAAGCGCAATAGTTGATTTCATCCATGACAAAAATAAAAGAGACATAAAAAACATCTGATACAATCTGGTGGATATCTACACTATCTTATTCCTGCTGCTATACAATTGATAGACACAATAATATCCAATGGAAGTAATAAAGAAAACTTACCAAATGAATGATACTGAGACCTCTCAATTACCAATGAAAGGTTCAGGAATTGTAACAGCTAAAACTTCGAGTGATAAAATAAAATTGATTACTCATATAGCTTTGAAATTTGCATTACGTAATTATTATGACGCCAATAATAGGCTGTTATTCAACGATAAGGTCATTGCTGATAGTGATTTAATTGATCTTTTAGGCTCCCTCACAAACCAGAGTAAACTTCCTAAATACATAAATGAATTTTATTTTACTAAAAATGTGATGTTGATTCTTCGCTGATAAAAAATGATAAAATCAGAAGAAAACTCAAGCATATGGCAATTAGTAAAACTGATTATCCTCCTGATCAAATTTTCGAACCAATTGTGTTAACAGACATACAAAGAAATGGTGATTTCTATGTAAAGAAGTTGGAAGAAAACCTCAAACAAAAACCGAGGAAAAAACTACAAAAAACTCCGAACAAAAAAGCCAAAGCCAAAGCTGAACCTGAAGTTATTATCCAGCTGATAAACAATATAGGAAAAGAATATACAACCTCAGATCATATGGAAATTGGACAATCCCAGGAAATACTTTCCAACATCTATTACCAACCGAATAATCCAGCAGGTTTTGCTTCGTCATTAAAACTTTTCAATGCCGCTAAGAAAGAGATTCCTAGTCTAACACATGAGCAGGTTAAGAGATGGTTAAAAGTCAACTTACTTACACTCTACACGCGCAAGCTAGAAGAAAGTTCAAGAAACCCTATTATCGTTAGCAAAATAGATGAACAATGGGAGGCTGATCTTGTTGAAATGCAAGAATTTTCACGCCAGAATAATGGCCAGAAATATATCTTAACAGTAATTGACTGTTTCAGCAAATATGCTTGGGCGCGGGCACTTTCTAATAAATCAGCAAAGTCCATTTCGGATGCTTTCAAAGATATTCTATCTACACGAACACCTGCTGCTTTACGAACTGATAAGGGAAAGGAATTTATTAACAAAACATTTCAAGATCTTCTTTCATCAAAAAATATCAGATATTATTCATCGAACAATCCTGATATAAAATGTGCTATAGTTGAACGATTTAATAGAACACTGAAAACTCGAATGTTTCGATATTTCACTTCAAAGGGACGAGAAAATTTATTGATGTATTACATGAGCTAATGATTGCCTATAATGGAAGTTTGCATAGATCAATTGGCATGGCACCGAAAGATGTAAATGATGAAAACTCGAACTCCATTTTCGAAAAACTTTATGGAAAAAATCATTACGAGAAATTTATCAGGAACACCCTCATACATAAGATTGATGTTGGATGAAGTGCGAATGAAGTATAAGTTAGGACCGTTTGAAAAGGATTCTACCGAATTGGAGTGATCATGTATACAAAATTTCATCGGTGGATAGAACAAATAAAAAAGCAATTTTCACACTAGATGGTTATGATGGAACCAAAATAGAGAATAGAAAATTTTATGAGGAAGAGTTACAGAAAGTCCATGCAGAGGTACATCGTATTGAGAAAATATTGAAAAGACGATTATATAAAGGAAAGCCACAATACTTTGTTAAATGGTTAGGATATTCTGCAACTTACAATTCATGGATAGATGCACAAGCGATAACAACAATATCACAATAATGAATGCTGAAATGTTTACGTTTACCATGCAAATTGTAACGCTTTTTTGTGTTGTTATTGCCTCACTTCTCAATCTTTCTCTTGGGATGGGAGATCAAAAGTTATGGCTGACTTTGCTTACAATGTCTCTAGGATGTATACTCCAACTCCAAATTCTCCAAAAAATTCCTTGATGAGCCGTAATGCAAGTGAAAGTGATATAAAGCGCTCAATAAATATTTGATCAATTAAATTTTTTGTTTTAAAGAAAATGCCTAATTCGTTTTATGTTTCACTTCCTAGTAATGTCTTTACTTATGAAAAAATAAAATTTCTGATTATATAACATATCTTCCTAAACCATTGAATTTGTCTGATGATTATCATGTTCTAACAGAGTTATCGTACACTAAAGTTGGTATAATGTTCAACAAAACTCATTATTCACACTTCATGACACTAGATCAATCATTTTACAAAAACCGGGTATAGCTCCAGGTGGTATAAGAACATCCATGATTTGATAAAAGCTATTAACGATAAAATTGAGTTTTATTCGAACAAGATAAATACTTACAACCTAAATTAGTTCTAGATGAACACAGTCGAAAGGTGGAAATGAAATTTGGCCGTACTAGTGACGGAGTACCGATGCTAGTTTATTTAGGAAATGAATTAGAGGAAATGCTCGGTTTTCTAATGAAAACTCAATGAATATGTTGGATGAGAATGTTTCTATCGTGCCATTAATAGGCGATAAATACATAAGATTGCAGAGTAAAAGCCCTGAAAGACTATTTGATATGAAGGAGAATTCATTCTTTAATGGTTTATAGTGATATTGTATCACATTCAATCGTTGGAAATACACAAGCTAATTTTTTACGATCTGCCAGGATAGACGATCGTGACGAATTCGGATCTGACATAAATTTAATCTTTCAAAAACCATATTATTTTCCTGTTAATTCAAATTTCATTGATAAAATAAGAATTAATATAAAGGATGATACAGGAAATCCTATAGAATTTCAATTTGGAAGAGTTTCGGTGACTTTACACTTTAGAAAAACATGGAAAGCTATTATTTAGAACAAGCAGGTAATGGAACTGCAATTCAATCTTTCTCAGGAGTACGTTATCAACGAGGCGGTGGCTTTTTCAGTAGACTTTTTACTAGTAAGGTTTTACCAATATTACGTTATCTTGGAGACAAAGCCCTGGACACTGGAAAGGCTATTTTGAATGATGTCAAAACTTCTGCGACCAATAGAATCATCGATACTGTTCAAGAAGTAGCTCAAGAGGCTATAAAAAGAAAAGTGGGAAATGAAGATGGTCAGTCCGGCTCAGGTATAAAAAGGAGAAAGTTGACAAAAAGATCTTACATAGCTGATTATAATTTTTTAAAATGACCACTCAAAGCAAATATTCGAAAGAAGCTGTCCTTTCTGAATTGGATCTTTTTACGATACCACCTGTTCAGAAATCTATTGAGAGAAGCTATGAAGTACAATACAGACCAATATCATCTCTCGACTCTACAAAAATAATAGAGTTTTCAATTCCTACATCTAAGGATGAGTATATTCTTCTTCATGAAACATATTTTTATGTGAAAATTCAACTTAAAATCCGAAAAGCAGACGATTCTGCGTTAACTATTCAAGACTGGGAAACTGTAACACCAGTAAATAATTTACTTCATTCTATGATAAAACAAGTTGAGCTTGAAATTGGAGGGAAAGAGGTTACCATGTCTAATTCAACATACGCTTACCGAGCCTATATTGAAAACATGCTAGGCTTCTCCGCTGATGCTAAAAACTCGCACTTGTCGAGTTGTTTGTGGATGGAGAATGCAATAAGGAGACGATCATTTTTCACTCCGAGAAGTTTTGCAGATGGTAGCAGTAAAGAAGTTGATCTTTATGGACGGCTACATTTTGATATGACATTTCAAGGCAAGGCTATACTTGGAGGTAAAGATATTAAAGTAAGAATCCTTACACGATCCTTCATTCTTCATGCAATGAGGATAGAGTAAGCGATGTTGCAATGGTGATTAAAGATGCATGTCTATACGTGCATAAAATGAAGGCTACACCTCAATTAACAAACGCACACTCAAAAGCTCTGGCTATTGCGCCTGCATGTTACCCTATTTCAAGGGTTGATTTACGACAAGCCTCTATCCATGCAAACTCTCTTGATGCGGTTCTATAATATTATAACTGGACAACTCCTCGAAGATTATTCTTATTAATGGTTAAAATACAGCATTTAATGGTTCTAAGTCTCAAGATCCATTCCACTTTGACCATTTTAATGTTTCACATGCAGCTTGTTACGTTGATGGTGTTCAATTCCGACAAATGCGTATCAACCGACTTCAAAATCAATTATGTGTACGAGAGTACTCTGGCCTATTTCAAGCAATGAATATGAACTCAACTGATACAACAGTAAATATTACTAGGAAGATTTCATGGGAGGAAAACAATTTCGCCTTTAACTTTGCACCAGACCTGTCACATGGACCTGGTATGACTGGACATATTAACCCTATTAAAAGAGGCTCGTTGAGAGTTCAATTGAGATTTTCTGAACCATTAAGAGAAACAATAACTGTACTTCTTTATTGCGAGTTTGACAATATTATTGAAATAGATTTAGAACGTAATGCTGTAACTGATTTCAAATAAAAGTAATGTTTGATTATGAAATAAAGAAAGCTCTTTGTTCTTACGATAAATTCATAGGATGTTTTGCGCGAGATAAAATACCTTCAATAGTTGAGTATCCATCATTTATTATCGTCAATACTGACAAGTCATCTGCTCCTGGAACGCATTGTTGCTATGAGATTTACATCGAATGAATGTGAATATTTTGATTCATTTGGTTTACTCCATTGCATCAGGAAATGATAAATGCTATCGGGTCGCGTAAAATGTTGTGGAATGGCCGTTGTTTACAACACCCTTCTTCACGAACATGTGGAGAGTTTTGTATAGCATTTGTAAAGTTTCGCTCTCTGAAATTTTCATTCATAAAATTTATCAAGTATTTTTCTGCTGATACAAAATCTAATGATAAAACAGTAAAAAGTATAAGTTCGGATGATTGGAATACAAGTTTTCAGTTGCATAACAAAAATGGATGAGTACACTTGCCCACGGGTTACAAACATGGTGGTCGCCTTCTCTCTACCTTTTGAGATAGATCTAAAACAGCTGATAAATATTTATCCTCAAACTGATTACCGACCTAAACGATTCAATGGTGCTATCATTAAGACGAAAATAAATTGTTTACTAGTATTCCGAAATGGAAAGATTAATGTCGTCGGAAATAAGAGAATTGAGGATGCTGAAGATGCTGTTGATGAATTGTGTTTAAAATTGCATAAGAAAAAAGAATATACAAGAAGAATAGTTAATATCGTTGCTACTTGTGCATTAGGTCATCCAATTGTGTTGAATGATCTAGCAAACAATGGAGACTTTGAATATAACCCTGAAATATACCCAGCTGCTTACTATAATATCGGTAAAGCTAAAATATCGGTTTTTCATACAGGAAAAATAATTTTCACTGGCTTTTCAGATTTTACAGATATTGTGAATTCTTTTGATGAAGTTCATTTGCTAATAAAAATGATTTGATATTTTATAAGAAAACAGTTTATTTAATTAATCAATTTCATTCTATATATGAGAGATACTTGATTTACAAATTGGACAATCGTCAAGCTGTGTCGCACAATCGATGCAAGAGATAGCGTGATCACATGGTGCGAATACTGTACCGATTTCTTTGTCGAGACATATCTTGCAAGTGTATCTGTCCTTATCATCAGTGGGTTGTGGTAGCTCTGTAAGGGGAGTAACTGTATCTGTTGGGGAGTTGATATCATCTACGAACATCTGTCCTCGCTTCAAATATAGATAACTACATTTAGGGAAGTAATATGCATGGACAGCCCATGCATTATCTCCTCTCCCAATTTGAGATTGTTCCATTGCAGTTGAAACATCTGGTGTGATCGTATACTCTAGTGTAAAAGAATCCGGCCTCTGCAAGTTCTTTGGGTGTTATTATCTCATTGATCGGCCAATTTGAGAAAGTTTCAGTCCGACTTTGTAGTGTTCTAAACTGAAGGTTCAGCGGCTTAAAGTATCGTCGTCGATTGGATGATTCTGAAAATGATACCAGCCTATTTCTTGTTATACGCCTAGATACTCTAGGAAAACGTCAGTTCGTTCTTTCGATTGCTGGAAATTGTTAGAATTTTCATTTCTGTTAGGATGTTAGAGATACCAGTGACATTATCATTGTTTTGTGGTCTTGGGTAGTCATCAACTACATCTTCTCCCTCAATTTGGTTAAATATAATCACTCGATCCTCTGCAGTGTTATTAGAATGAAGGATTATTATTCTGTACTATCCTTGATTCTTCATTTCATAATTAACCATGACTCTTAGAGGCGTGTTTTCCTGTAGAACAACAGTTGATATAGATCTTGGTATATTACCACAAGGAAGACCTTGGATGAAAGGACAATCTGATGAATGAAGACGATGTTCAATCCAGTGTAAATCTTGCCAGATTGAGGCGTGGTAGAGGTATCCACAGAAAAAACATTTAACCTGTCGCGATATTCCTGTAAAGTAAAAACCATCGCGCGCTAGCTCCGTTCGGTATGAAATCTCCGTGCCCCACGCTGATTGGAAAAAGCTTTCATATCGAGCTTGCTCGGAAGCATAAGTACTTGCATTGTTGCTTGAGTCTGTTATATTCATTTTAGTAGAAAAAAGAAAGAAACTTCAGATGTGACAGAATTTTGAAATGAAAGTGAATACTCGTCAATACAAACATTTGCTTTTTATTCGAGTTCGGTCTCCCTATCTCACTCTCTATAGATGTGCGCACTATCAATTGTATTTTTCATTGCGCATGTGTGATTTGGCTTGCAAAGTTGCTTCTGACCCCTACCCCCTAACAACATTAAGCTCCTCCCTTTTTAACGTTTAGACACATCTTACTACTTATCTTGATTATTTATTAAGTTCTGCCCTACTGAAAACACAAAATTATAAATAGTAAATGAAATGTTAGGCTATTCTACCTTTTGCAGAAATGTATCGAAAGGATATGAAATAATTATGAAATACAATGAATAATTGTCATTTATTTTCTTAAACCAACCAATTATTATCAAAAAGAAAAGATTAAAAATATTAATTTTTTTCTTATGAGTATTAATACAAAACTATTGATCGTCACAATCATCAGCATTATTGCATTATAGTGGTGATTAAATCAAGGAGACTTGATTGTTAGTTGAGGGAAAATAGATTAACCGGAAACTGGTAAACCAATCAATTGATTATTGGATAAAGAAAAGAAATTTTTTGAATATTCATTATTTTCCCAAAGGAAATTTTGATTGTAATAGTTACAATTAGAAAAGAAAATGTTAATTTTTCAGCTCTACGCTTGGACTTTGGAAAAATTTGCGAAAAGCAACATGGTTTATGTACTTTGCTTTGATTCTCATTTAGACTAATTCTTTTTTTTCTTCTCCTGTCAATTAACTTTTAGATTTTCTCATGATTATCGTAATATAATTGACTGTGCATCTCACTCAGGGCGTAGGTTGGATATTACCCATGGGTGCGGTTGAATGGGCTGAGTTTCTGTTATTCTCATGTCACTGAAACTTTGGGCGTTCATATGAAGATCTCGACTCATTAAGAGTACGTGATCTCTTTTTCTTTCACCATTTCGAACCAATTTGTGTGATAATCGAGATCGAAAAATGTTAAAGTCTTAACATTGATGCAACAATCGATTTACTATCAATTTACATTAATCACTGGTTTACTCATCTATTGATACTTATTATTAACCCAAAGATTAGATTATGTGGTCAAGTGTGAACAAAAGTCCATCATCACGATCAATTATGATTAAATTTCAATGTTTGGGTGAAAAGAATCTACTTGTATTAATGATTATCAATCGTGATACAAAGTAAATTATGTTAATTTGATTGATTAGTGTACTCACCCAATTCTCTGTATGTTAATTGATCAAGGAAACAGAATATTATTCTGAGTCTTATTCGCTGTTAGCTGAATGGTTTGCTTATTGAACGCCATTATCCTGTTGTCCACTGTTGATTGTTTGAGCAGTGGACAACAAGAGAAAGGTGAACAATTCACAATATCAACAGGGAAACATGATTAAAGGTACGAAACTTTTACAGGTAAAATCAGATTAGATATAAAGGAAACGGAAGGGATGAAATATGATAGAAATGATGGAAAATAAATCCAGATACAAAGAGAGATTAAAGCTGGTCAAGTTAGAGATGTGAATGTTAGATGGATAGTAATTAGAATCAGAGAAGAGCTGATTGAAATTGTGAGGAAAATTTTTAGATTTGTTGTCGACTCGATGATGTGACGAGTCGAAATGACCCTTGCAAGGAGATGGACACTTGAATTTTGAGAGAAAAACAAAGAGTATGAGAGAGTCTCATTGTCATTAAAAGTGAATGTAAAAAATTGAGTGAGAAAGATAAAAGTGAAAAGAAGATAAGTGAGCGAGAGAGCAAGAGAGCCATTCGAGTGATTTGTTTGTATCTTTCTCAAAGTTAAACTTATCAAATTGCCATGGAAACAAATGAAAGTATCCAAAATAATTAGCATCTTCACTGGACCTTAAATTAGACTCATCACAAATAACATCATTGGGTAACCGGCCTTTACCTTTTCTCCCTTTCATCCATTTATCTTCTTCCATTACTCTCTCTCTCTCTCTCTCTCTCTCTCTCTGTCTAAAAGGAATTAATTGATAACCATTAACAAACTGGAGCTTTGATTTTACTTTTTGTATTGAAAAATGGACCGGAAATTTTGGTTACTATGAATGGTCAACAAAAATGAATGGTCATTATTATTACTCACCATGAAGATAGACCAATGGTACTCTCTTGATTGGTGTTTTAATTATCCATTTTATTTCTGGTCTGATTATTTCCATGACTTGATTATCAGCTGAAAATACTAATATTCTTGACTGTTGGTTAATCAAATAGGATTTTCTTCCAAGAATCAACCAGCATGACGATACATTGGAAGAGGAAAAATGTTCGTGGTGATTTTTTCATCTCGTCCGGAAACAAGTCATGTTTATATGAGCAAATTTATGGATATTGAATGTTCCTGGTTATGGTAACTTGAATGATGAACATCATGAACCTGATTCTAGATTAAGTTCAACTTGTGTATTTCCCTAGAAAATCATTAATATTATCTTGAATCCATTGGCAACAATTGTCCTGAGGTTGACTGGTGATCCAAACTGATCCCTTATCCTTTTTAGAATCCATTAATTAACCTATCAACATCATTTTGGAACATTTTCTAGCAACAATTAACATCAACAATCTAATCAAGGTAAGACTATTGTAGAAAATATTCCCCATAAAAGATACAAAGTTTACTGTTGTTTATCAATCGAAACAATTATTTTTTTTATGCAGAATCAAATTTATCTTTCATCTCAACAGGATATTGAGAGATGTTGATTATGAAGGACAATTGAAAGAATGGCACATTGAGAGACATCTCTCTATCGATATTGATTAGTTAATCATTGTGATCAATTATCTCCTCATAACCACTATTGTCATTGGTGATCATTATCATCACCAGTGTACTTGAATATTCAAAAAAGATGAGCCAAGTGTGACCATAAACGACTGTGGGAAGGGATAAGGTTGATAAGAGGACCGGTCATTTGGAGGAGAAGACACAATTAAATATATTGACGAGGATGATAAATAATAAAATGTACACTTTATACATAATAATATTACTAATGATTATGGTTAACAAGAAAACTCTGAACAGTTTATCATCTTTATCTCCCATGTGAATGATGGAGAAATTCAAAGGAATATCGGGAGAAAGAGAGATAAAATCTTTCATCCATGTAGAAAAAAACTCGAAAACCGTGATGATAATTGTGATGAGGATAATTACCAATGACAAGAAGTTTAAATTGTAATATTATGGATTAATAAAGTATAATAACAACAGGGAATCAGCATTTTAACTATTCCATCCCCTGAACAATATATTATTATCATGGTTGTTGATCTTTATGAGATAAACTGTTCATTTAAACCATAAATTCTGATAAAAGATCACATTTATTAGCAATACTTGAGCTATTAATCGATGCTTTGAATTCAATGATTCACTTTGTTTTTAATATCATGACAATCGCTGCTTTTGCTTAACGACAACTTTCATTACAATTTGTTAAATTTACATTTTGAACGAGGAAATTAATCATTCAAAGTAACAAAGAGTAAAAAATTACAAATTTTAACCTTTTTTTCTGGTTACAATTGATTCATTTGACAATTTAATGTCAACTAAAACTTGTGAATAAATATTGACAAGGAAATACGAGTACCAATACCTACGTTTCTATGGTTTTAACAATATCATCCGATGAAAATTAGCATAATAAAATTCCCCTAAAGTTTCACTTACATGTTGAGTGATAAAAACTCGAATAGAAATGAGTAATTGTTTGTTAAGAGTTCGAACCTCTAAAAAATAAACCTGATTAAATTGAAACTAAGACCACAAAGCAAATGATAAAAAAGTATAAGTTTTGGTTTTTATTTTTATATATCTTTAAAGCGAATTTACTTGTGAGTTTCAATTTAATTTTCGATATTATCATGTTTCAATCTCTTTTCGGCTTTAATCTTTATGATGTTCTATTCCGTGCTGTTTCATCTGCACGGAATGATAAGCAAATAAAGATAACTTTTGATATCTAATCAGTTGACCATTTTAAGACTACATCACTTAAACTAGTGGACAGACTTATCATCATATCTTTGGGTTAACTGTATCTCTCATTGATTATATTCAACTGCGTGAATGATTTAGAAAGTGGTTGCAAACTCAAAGTCTTTGACTGTATGTAATATCTTTTTTGCAATTGATGCTATTTTACTATTTCATTAATCAATCGAGAATTGGGTTTGATAAGATGGTTAGAGTTTATTTCTATCCGTAAATTTCGGTTTGATATAATATCGAAAGAAAAATATTGATGTTCGAATTGAGAAGAAATTTCATTCATAAAATTGTTGTCAGTTTTTCTTTCACCAAGTTGATGGTGGGAAAGAAAGGATTGTTCAATTGATGACAATTGAATAATCAGTTGATTGTCTCTTCATGAGAATTCACTTGCTGTTTAATATTAACTTTATTTCTTCTTGATGATTGAAAATATTAATCTCTTTTTCTAACTGATATGTATTGTTACTCGAAGACCTTCTAGCCTTTCGTGACTTGACTCGATTTCATGGTGACACGGAAAAAAACATGAACGATGATCCAGAATTTCAGATAGGTTGGAATATCAACTTGAAATTAGTTCTAATTCTTGGAATGATACTAATCTAAATTGACCAGCAAAAAGATGAATCCAATGTATTAATACATCTAAATGAAGTGAAATCGATTTGATTGTAACCAACCATGAACAATTATCTCATAACTAATTGATTATTCAACATCTCTTTCTATCTCCCTTTGTTCATTTAAATTCTCATTCTCATCATGAAAATTGTAAAGAAACTTATACAATATATTGTACTTACATTATTCGATCCTCGAATCAATCATGATGATCTCATCGGCTCGATCATGGAACGGAAAAGGAAGTTGGTTATATCATTGGAATCAACTAGAATCACCACAGAAATTATAAATATAAGATACATAATATTTAAGAATCTGAAACAGTTCGGTTGACAGATAAATATGAAGTAAAATAGTTCGAGATGAAAGTTCGATGTCTCTAAATTTAGATTCGTGAGAGAAACAAAATGAGAAATATAATATAAGGGAGTTGGTGAGAAAGATACAGGGATTTGGGAGTGAATAGAAAACGATAGAGACCAGGGTGTGTCAAGGAATCGCGTTCGAGAGATGATGATGTTCAATCGACAAAATGTAAGCCCGAAATTAACTGATGATGAATATATTGGAAAACGCCCCAGGTAATGATGAAAAGATGGAAGAAAAAGAGCAAAATCGATTTTTGATTAGCGAACTTTGCAAATATTGAATTTCCTGAATCTCGAGGAATATCTGACAATCTAATTTCTTTCATCATTATTATCATAATCATCTCACTCGATTTCCGTGGAAATATTTCTCCATCTTCCTTTTTCAACTTACCTTTGTATCTAAGATCAATATTTTACTCTCTGTCCATACAATCTGATCGTTCAGCTGATTATATTCACTAATTATGTTAACCTAATGATGTTTAAATTGTCACAATTGTCACTGTCCTTTGAGAATCTTCAAATTGTTACCTTGATTTAGTTTTCGTATGATAATAAATCCTTACAATTATCATTATCTCTTTGATTAGATTACTCATTTTTTTCGAGAACGGAAGTTTACTTTTATCTAATCAATCAATTTCCTGTTAAATTGCTGCGATCATAATTCATTGATTATACAATCAAGATGATAATCATGCCTTCTAATGGGCTTCTAACCAATTTACTTAACTAAATTAAATGATGAAATGAAAAAATATCCGATTCTGTTGTTGATTTTTGAATGTGAGATGAATAATTTGAAGAATTGATTTAATTGTTAGATTTGTGATCACAATTAACTTTCCACTGAGGTTGAAAAAAGCGACAAAGGTATAATTATATTCATTGGATATTAATTATTAATGCGAACAATTTATCATTTGAAAGAAAAGCAATCAGATTAACAATTTAATCTAAATAATTCATATTAATGATAAAATACTAATAACGATTAAGGGAAAGGCTTTTTTATTATTTTCATCTAATGATAGGAATTAATTTAACTTCTTGATTAATGTCATGGAATCATGGGAACAATTATCTCAATTGATGAATCTATTGATTTTTAGATAAAACCAAATAGGAAATTAATTTTTAATTTTCTTTTCTATTTATGAGAGATAATTAAATTAATTGTTTTCTTCAATTTTTCTGTTTTTTTACCAGTGACAAACTAAAAAAAGATGATTAAGAAAACAAATGGCCTCCGATCACGAAGTGCTATCGGTCAAGATGACGGCAACTTTATGATATCAATGTTATGAAAACCGATGAAAACGTTTTATTTGTTCTGAGACCAGAGTTCGCCATACTGACCACTTCTCTTCCCTGATGAACAAGATTACCATTGAACTATCGGTAAATCGATAAATGGTTAACCGAAAATCGACCAGTTGGAGCACCAAATTGAAGCCATTCCAAGAGATCGAATTGTTTTTCTTTATCGGTTCGAGACAACGACTGTTCGTCCAGCAAACCAATAACGACTAAAGCATTTGGATAAATATTAAAGATTGCATCTGATCATTATTTTGATGAAAACATTTTATTCATGATTTAGATGAATCTATTGGCACCCCCAGTGTTGTATAAGTACAATGTACATGACACTCGCTGAATAATTCAGGTCGTGGACATCTTTCCTTCGTCGATTTGTTCCTGAAATCCAATGGGAAAAATTGAATTAATTGTTTTCTTCAATTTCTGATTGTTTACATTTGAAAAAAGAGGAAAACATATGATTTCGGATCACATGTTTACTATTACAATTTCTTGGTTTCTTGTGTTTACTTTTTGTAGTTGTTCAATTTTGTTGTTTTTATGTTAAAATTGTATTAATTTTATCATTTAATTGTTAGTTTGGTCTTTCCAGTGATAACCAAACTATTTTGTAAAAACTGATTCTTATTTTTGTTGTTGAGATGAACTGCTGATTTAGATGAACTAAATTGTGATACTGGTTTTCTAAGAATTTAATTATGACAATTACTAAATTATCCAGATCAAGATTATCGTTTCTTCCTGGACATTTGTTATTAAGAACTTTAAAGACTAATGTTGATTATCGTGATAAAGTATTTAGTTCATCGGTTATCATTTCTACAAATGATAACATTTACCAGAATTTAGCTTTAGAGGATTGGCTTTACACTGGATATGGTAAATTGAAACAATCAACTAATTGGTATCATTTGTTGCTCTGGTTTAATCAACCTTGTGTCGTAATTGGTAGACATCAAAATCCATGGAATGAGATTCATGTTAATCAATGTTCAAAGCTTAATTTACCAATTGCCCGGCGGAACAGTGGAGGTGGAACTGTTGTCCATGATCTGGGTAACCTTAATCTTTGTTTTCTTTCTGATAAAAAATCTTACAATCGCCAGCAAAACAATCAACTAATCATCCGAACCTTGGATAAATATTATGGAATCAAATGTGAAATATCAAGTCGGGAAAATCTAATCACTTCTAATGGAGGATTCAAAGTATCAGGAACAGCGTCTAAATTAAGCTCAACCTCAGCTTATCATCATTGTACTTTAATGGTTAATGTTGATTTATCTTTAATGGTTAAAGTGACCAAAACTGATTGTCCACTAATTGAAAATAAAGCAACACCAAGTGTTCATGCATCGGTGGAAAATTTATCGTCTCTGAACTCAACAATCAACATGGATAATTTAATTGGTAACATTTCCACTGAATTTATCAATGAATTTGGTGATCATGGAATCATTCATGTTAATCCTGATGAGAAACAATTTGATTCCATTGGTGAAATTTATGATAATTTAATCGATTGGAAATGGATTTTTGGTAAAACACCGAAATTCGAAGTCAAAGGTCAATCAATCGATGGAATTTCTTGTAAATTAACAGTTAATCATGGAATCATCGACAATGTTGAAACTGTCCCACCAATGAACTTTTCATTGCTCGAAGGAATCAGATTTGTAAAGGAAGATGTTGTTTCTCAATTTATTTGTAATGAAACAAATTCTGAATCAAATTATTCAGCTGCCAAATCTTTGATAATCGAGTTGATAGATCAAGTTTATTCTTGAAATTTGATTAAAATGGTGTCATTAATTGTCTTTTGTATAAAATAAATTATTCGAACAGAGTTAATTGTTATCAGAATCACAGACTATTGTACACTTATGGTTGAAGATCTGGATGATTACCAGTCTTTGAAATCTCCGAATGTCGATCTTGCAACGATTTTCTTTGGTTTAGATGGACCTGGAATCGTTGAATCGTCAGATTTCACGGAATCGTCTTCATATTTAATTTCTTTCAAGTTGATTAAACAACCAACTCCTGCACTTGTTTCGGTATCGTTTTGTTTCCTTCACTTTGACCTTATTTGCTGCGTCTTTGTCCTTTTGTCTTTCGGCTTTCAGTTCATCTTCTATCTCTTGAAATGGATTAACATAAACCGTTATATTATCAATTTTGATTGTTTCTTTAGGCCGATCATTTTTGTCTGTTTGAATCTTTTCCAATTTATTTAAAGTTTCCAGGCCACCGACAACTTTACCAAAGACGGAGTGTTTCCGGTCAAGATGACGGCAACTTTTCAATGTTATGAAAAACTGTGATTTATTTGTATTGGGTCCAGAGTTTGCCATACTGACCACTCCTCTACCCTGATGAACAAGATGACCATTGAACTCATCGGCAAATGGTTCACCGAAAATGGATTCTCCTCCTCGACCAGTACCAGTTGGGTCACCACCTTGGAGCATGAAATTTTTGATTAATCGATGAAAAATTGTTCCATCGTAGTATTTTCTAGTGCAAAGAGTTAAAAAATTATGACATGATTTAGGAGCATCTTTACAATAAAGCTCCAGGTTAAGTGGCCCGTGGTTGGTACTGATTTGAACGTAACCATTTTTCTTGACCATCGAGTAAACAACATCAGTGTCATCGATTGTTGCTGCTTCTATTCTTGTTGTTGGAACAGCGATTGTTGATGTTAACGATTGTGATGCTGTTCCAGTTGAATAATTTGCTCTATTAAATCGATCAGCAACTTTTTCGACCTTTTTCTCCGACTTTGGAACTTTCCAAGTGACACCAGTTTTATCAAGTTCGTCTAAAGTGGCCTTAGTAACGAGATCCATTTTATTGAACAATCTACTGGGATCACTTTGATCTTCTTCTTCAGACCAGCGAAGTTTTTTAACCACATGATGAAAAGAGGCAGCATTTTGTTTCTGAACATTGGTCGGGTCTTGAATCGTAATAATATCTTTCTTTGTAAATGGTTCATCGGTTAACAAATCTCTCATATTGTTGAATTTTAAATTTAATTGTTCAATTGCATCTCGAGAATAAACATTTCCAGTTGTTTTGATAGCGACAATGTTAGTGTGTGAATTGAAAGGCTTGAAAAGGATTGGACATTGATTGTTTCCATCACTATTTTTACTGAAATTCAATTTAATCAGATTCTTCATCTCCATAGGTCTACCATCAATAGGATTGATCTTGTGCTTGGCCAGAAACGGAATAATATTAACCAAGTCAAATACATAACCATTTTCATCACAATATGGATCTCGAGCTGGATTAAGGGTTAAACAGCAATGATCATAAGGTAATCGACTAAATTGATTCAATTGTTGTTGTCGTAAATCAGCATCAGGAGGTCGACCACCATAAATGTAAGTATACTCAGTGGTTGTTAAATACAACTTATCTTTCTGATGTTGTCGTTTACCCATAACTGTAAACTATTAATAAACAAAATTAAATCACAATAAAAGTATTTGATTAACAAAAAGCCTCAAATTAACAAGAAATTTTGGAAAATACTTTAGACAATTCTTCATTGAAGCGACCATATGATTGAAGCCAAAGAGTAGAGAGAAATTTCTTTCGCCGATAGATGGAGACATTTGTTCACATTTTGAAGAAAAATTTTCGTTTCAAATGTAACATTTCAGATGGAAAGAGAATTAATTTAAGATTATTAATTTTCAATTGAAATTCAGTAATTTCGATTAAGATTTGTTTATATTTGTGAATCGATTAAATCTCTTTGGAAAATGTCGGCCATACGAAGTAGTTTTCGATCCAACCATCATGCTGCTGAATTCTGTGCTACATGTGGAGCCATTTTACCTTTGCCAAGTGGAGGAAGTTCTTTCAATTTACTTAAATGTATCGCTTGTGGTCACGCAATTAGCATCAGTGTTTTCGATGGAACCACTTCAATGACTAAAATTGTCTTCAATAAAAGTGATAATATGTTGGTAGAGAAAAAGGGAATGAACAAAGGGCCAGTTGTCGAAAGGAAATGCAGGAAGTGTCCATCAGAGAAAATGTTCTACTTTACTCTACAAACGAGATCCGCTGATGAAGGACAAACAGTTTTCTACACTTGTTGTGAATGTGGTTCTCAGGAAAACGAAAATTTTAATTGTTGTATATTAACCTTTCTTTTGTTTATAATCGATTAAAAGGAGTTCAATTCAATCTCGATTTGATGACAGTTAATCAACAACAATATTGTCAACGTGGTTGATAAAATTCGCGATCGTCAAGTTTAAAGGAAAAAAATTAAACTTTTTTGTGAGTTGTTTAGATTTAATTTAGTCGATAAAGAGACATAAATTAACCAACAGAATTATTTAATCATTATTGAATAGGTTGTTGTATTACAAAGCTTAAATACTTAAATTCTAGAAGGTACAACTTGCCATACTCGAATAAGATTATCAGAATAACCAGCGAATAAAGTTGATCCATCGTCAGACCAAGACAAGCAAAGACATTGTGGTGCCTTGTTCTTGTTAGTAGTTGAGATGGCCTCAGTTTTAAGTTCATCAACAACTTGTTTGGTTTCCAAGTCCCAAATTTTGATAGATGGCCCGGTAGCGACACATAACCAATAGCGATTAGGTGAAAAGCATAAAGTGTTAATAATATCGTTATGGTCAAGGGTGTAAAGGTGTTTGCCTTCATTAAGATCCCAAAGCATTGCCTTGTAATCTTTACCACCAGATGCACACAATGAACCATCAGGAGAAACGGTAACGGTGTTAAGATAACCACTGTGTCCAATATGATTGTTCTTTAGACGACAGTTGCTCAAATTCCAAACCTGTAAAGGTTATAGGGTAAATAGATGAAAGAAAATAAATTAAAATTGATTGAAAGATGATTGATTTTGAATTTTCAATTTACCTTGACAACTTTGTCCCAACCTCCGCTAACAATAATTGGATTGTTGTTACTTGGGAAAATCTGACACAAGAGATCCAATCAGAATGACCATCTTCATGGATTGTGTATTTACATTGAGCTAAGGTATTCCAAAGCTTGATTGTCTTGTCTCGAGATCCGGAAACAATTTGTCGGTTATCAGGAGAAAAAGCAACACTAAGGACATCCTTGGTGTGATCCTCAAATCGTCGGGTAGTCTTACCAACATTGAGATCCCAGAGCCGTAAAGTTTTGTCCCATGATCCAGACAAAGCATATTGTCCATCCATAGAAAGGACAACGTCAGTAATAAAATGTCCATGACCTGTAAGTCGTTTTTGAGGAACACCATAGGAAGATTCCTCTTTAATCAACTTCCAAAGGATCAAACTTTTATCTCGAGAAGAAGACAAAATCATATTTGGGTACCTGCTACTGGTAGCAATTTGAGTAACCCAACCAGCATGCCCTTCCAATGTACCTTTTAAAACCAAATCAACACTTTCGGAGCTCATTTTCTATCGACAAAAATAAAAACCAAAGATAACAAAAAAAAACCAGAGAACAGGCAAGGAAACCAAAAAGAAAACAGAAAGAAAAAAAAATTAATATCACAACAAAACGCAAAACGCTAACAAAGCGTCGCAACACTCAAAAGATCAACAATTGATTACCAAAGACAACTTACCTTTAATTCGTAGAATTGTCTAAATTACCAAAAAAATTAATTTATTAATTGAAAAACGACAGAAACTCAAAACCGTAAATGAAAAACTAAGTATCGGAAACGGAAGATACAATTTGCCGGATTCCATGGCAACGGAACATTCTAACAGTTTTTGCGCGCAAAGTTTGAAAGCAAATTCTTCAAATGTTCGAATCCAATTTTCGAATTGATTTTGTTTTTATTTCCTTCTTATGGTCGATAAATTATATAGTAAATTTATTTAGATTTCTCAGAGTTAATAGCGTTTCATTTGTAGAAAATATTTGACTGGTTTACATTGTAAATTTTATTCTCGAAAGAATTGGAAAATTATTGACAAAATCGAAAAAAAAATCGATACATTATATGTATTTACTTAAGAATAGATTGTAACTAATAAAGTCGATCAATAATCAAGTATAACGAAAAAAAAATCAACATATTAGAATATAAATCAATGTAACTGACGAATTAGAATATTTTAATTGTTTCATCTTCCAACTCGAATCAATCTAATTGTAAATTAGTGTTCATTTATTTTTGGTTCGTTTAAGTTTGCTAATTGTTTTTCCATTTCCATTAATTGTTCATATTCTGGTGGTTGATTGGCACGATAGTTTATGGTTATTGGAATATCAATTGATTAAAAATAAAGGATCAATTCAAGAGATATTAAATTGTTGTCAAAAATTTTATTAACTTTCAATTTTTTGATTACATTTTCAAATCACTCGAGAATCTAATATGACACCAATCATAATAATAACAGGATAAACTATCAACTAAATTGTTGTTGTATTGGTTGAAACATGATTAACAATTTATCAATCACTTAATCATAATCAATGTGAACAGATAACCAACGGAACAAATTATATCCAATAATGTATTCACAAAGATTAATCCAGTTACTTTGATAGCTGATAATCCATCGGCTAATCGTCGATATTTAATTGTTTTGCTCATTGTGATTAAACCAAATTTAAACAGTTACTTGAACTTGATTGTTGAGAGAATCAGAAAATAATGATGATCAGCCCAAAAGAAATCAAGATATTTATATGAGAAAATCAAAAATCGATCAATAATTCAATAAATTGTCATGAATATTATATTAAGATTTGATTATCATGATGAGAATCAATCAAACAATCAAATCTGAACCAACTCACGTAAAGAATAATCAATAATAAAGGTAACCAACAATCAAATCAGTACAAGAATAATATCAAGACTATTATTAAATGAAATATTTTAATCACTATTCTCTTGCCTAGTTCCTAGTAATTAAGTCCAACAATCAGCAGTATTCACAGAGAATTGTCCTCATACCCTCAATATAGTAGGGAATAAAATTTTCTGAAAAAACGATAGCATTTCGTTTTATCCTCATTTTCATCATTATATTCAAAAAACTCCCTCTCGATATTTATGATTCCCTGTAACCGATAACACTTTTTACCATGCAAAGTTACCTTTGCATATTTACATATAATTCTCAATTTCTTATTATTGTTGGTAATTGTTTAAGAATAAAAACTTCAACTGAGAAAAGTGAACTTTTGACCATTCGATTGGCATAGATTTTCACGAATTGATTATTCTATGAATTAGTTTGGAATCCCAACTCGACAGGGAATGAAATGACTCAATATAAATGCAAAGTCCAAAAGGAAATAAATGAAACAAAAAAAAAAGACCAAGTCACAAATCGAACTGAGTTCTAAGCTGCGAATCAGTTCTTTACAATTTAGCATAAAGAATAAAGAATAAAGGTTATCTTGTTAGTAGAGAAAAAATAACTCGGTCAATAGGAAGAAAAAATAAACGAAAAGAAAAGAAAACTACTAATTTATATAAAAGAAATGTTATCATTTTTTTCACAATAAATTCTCGTTACTTTATCATCTCCATCCTCATCTTCATCTTGTGTGCATGTCTCAAGCAATTTCATCATCTTCCTCAGAGACTCTTGAGAATCTGTTCAGAAACGATTTCTTTTCAGTAGTTAACGTGATGCCCTGTTGCTGGTAACACTTTTTTTTGTAATAGCAAAGATAAATAGTTGTTGTTTCTAATTATTGATCATAACAATTTATCGTCAAGTTGATTTCTAATTGTTTTGTTTGTGTAAAGTTAATCAAAATGATGGAGAAACCAATTCCAACCAAATATCTTCCGTTGATCATTTCACTTATGCACAGTTTCCCAAATGAAACCAATGATTTTAATAAGATTTATTATCGTCCAACTTTATCTAATTACATTGGTCCAATTGTGACAATTTACTTAATTATCTTCATTTTTTCTCAAATTTTTACATTTTTAATGATAAAAAGGATAATCACCTATCAAAAGTCATTCTCAGTCTACGGACGGACACCGTTCGACCCTCTATTAGCTGTTGGTTTTAACGATTTTTTCATTAAAGGGATACTTGTTTTACCATTTTCTGTGATCATTTTAATTACAATTAACTGGACCTATGGTTCATTTTTGTGTTTCACTTTTCCCATGTTACAAGATTCATGTTTCCATGTAACATCAATCACCTATGTGATTATATTTTCCCGTCGATATAAAACAATATCAAAAATAGTTCTAAATGAAAATTTTACTTCTCTAACCAAATACGAATATGTGATCTCATCGTTTTGGGTTTTCACGATTGCCTGGACTATTTGTACCTTAGGGTCACTTCCGTATTCCTGGTTTATTGTTCACATACCAATATCACCTTATTTAGCTGGTCATCAGTTTGCCAAGGCTGCTGTTTGCTCAACTAATCCCACAGGTAATACCAAGGAGTACATCAGAATCCTATTTCTTACCTATTATGTGACACCAATTGCTATGGTTTTGTCTTATCATTCAAAGATTACAACTTGCATGAAGAATTGGCAACAATTGTTTAATCTTTCACCAACAATTAACCTCTCATCTTTATCAACAATTAAAGTGACCCGATGTAATTCATCAGCAACTGGACCTCCTTCATCACCACGAACACGAACCAGTGTGACCACGACAACCGATTGTTATGAAGTTACCGTTATAGATGAAGATAGTAATGAAATTAATATTAACTGTGATTCTAATTTAGTTGATAATAGTAAGGGAAGGGTAAGTGAGAACAATTCACCTTCCTATCAATCACAAATATCTCCCAAACAAACAAATAATCGCCTCCTTCAACCCAATCATTTCACCTACTCTGCCAATCGAGATCGAGGTAGTTCAATAGTTCAATCGTTGGTTCCATCAACGTCTCGATCAATCACCATGTCGTCAACATCTTCCATTTCAAAATCAACATCAATTTTACCTCATTTCTTTCTGGAGCAATCGTTTCACAGAATTCTGGTGATAATGTTCACTGTCCATGGATTAACACTTCTTCCAATTAATATACTTCGTATATGGAAACATGTTGTTGTGGAAAACAATGAGAATGGTTCCTTATTTGATATACTATTTATTACCTTTGTGGCGATTAAATATTCATCGGTTCCAATATCTTCATCGTTGTTTTACTTTTGGCAACATCGACATCGCATTTTGATTGAAATTTGCTTGCAAACCCATCAAAATGATCACAAACTATCAACAAAATCAAAAACTTCTAGAGGTAAAAGATCAACAAGTGAAAGTTACAATGGATTAGAATTGGAAAGTAGTTCAGTTTGACCAACAATCAAAACTGTAACGGTATTTTATTCTTAATCTTATTATATCAAAATCTGAGGATTAATAGTACATGTAAAATTTTCTAGAATTTAATGAGTAACATTGATGAAACTCTGTTTAATCTTCTTTTCTTCAATGACGATTCTTCCTTTCAATTTAACTTCTAATAATTTGCTAATAACAATTGAGTTTCAAATGAATATTTTTAGCGCACAAAATAAATTCGGACTATTAATCGTCTAATCAAATGAAAGTGTAATCCAAAACCCAGAATTTTGTGTAGTAATAATAAAGAGATATCAAAAATCTATTCTATTCTAACGATTCATCCACATCCCTTGGCGACTTCAAAGTCTATTTCTCATGCAATTTTATCTCCATCATGTAACTGTTATCTAAAAGTTCTTTTGTTATTAATATGAGATTTTTTTCTTCTATTCGAAATTTTACTTGTTCTTCTTCTCTGTTGTTCATCATTTTACCTGAAATCAGGTAACAAACACTTTATTTATGATCCTTATCTCCATCATTCACCAGCCAGTGAAAGGTGAACATCATGATCATGTTCACCTTTCATCTAAAAATAAATCAGTTAACTGAAATACTCGAATCAGAACTTTGCACAGAAAAAAGTTCGAGATGTTTATTCAATCTCAACAATCGGATTAAATGAATGTATACAAAAAGCAATAATAGTAATGAAATAGATGATTATCATCTTATAATCAGATATTTCTCAGCAAATTGACAATCAAAATTTCCAACAATTAAAGTGTTAACAGTCCAATGATTAACTATCGCTTCTTAAAAGTGATAACAATTAACAATAATACCGTTTAATATTCAAATCCCTGGATATTATTTTTTTTTCTTGAATTTCTATTTTCTGTTAATAGATTTAATTTAATTGTTATCCTTGAACAAGAGATTCTAATGGAAATTAATTATTCCTCTACAATTTAATTTGAAATATGAAATTTAAAACTATTAATCTAATCAACTAATTGATGATCAATTTTAAATGAAATGAAATTGCGGTTTGTTGATGGGAATACAAAATGTTACAAGGAAATTTGATTTAATAAATGATTCAAATTAAATTTGAATAAATGATTTTCTTTTTCTCAATCATAATTGTCAATGTTGGTAAAATAAATCAATCAACTATTAATTTACTGAAACAAAGGAAACAATTACAGAAAAACGTAATTTAAATTAGCTAATCAACAATAACAATCAGCTTTACGTTACCACTTATAAAGTAATTAAATCCCATTGATTTAAATTGAAATGTTACATTTTCTGTGGTTGACAATTAAATGATATTATTAATAATTTTGATTGACATTCCGTCCAAAGTTAATTGTAGTGAAAGAAAAAGTTTCAATTCTTTGATTAAGTTTAAGATTAAATTGTTTTATTGATTTTAAATTTGACTTTAAATCAAATCAATCAAAATGTTAACAATGAACTCACTTGATTTTAGAACCTTTAATCAACAGGGAAGAAAATATAATTAGAACAAAATTCTGATAGAAAATTTAACAAGTTCGATATTTTTTCTTCAATCTAATTTAATAAAAAGTAATCATGATTAAGCTGATTACCTTTTTTACCAGAATTTCCTTTCAATTGAATGATTAGTTAATTGTTAATCTGTAATTTCATTGCGATCAATGTTTCCAAGTTTCCAGATTAGTTAATCTGTTTCAGTTGGAAAGATTAACGTGATTTATTTACATAAATCAAATTTAATTAATCACCAAGAATCTGTTCAATTGAGATTAATTTTTAATTTAACTTTTGTTAAAAGTTACCTTAATCATATGGATACTGATGACAATCAATGATTAATGTTATCCTTTTATTATTAATGATCACGTTGAACAATTTAATTGATTGTCTAAGGATTTTAAACTAAGGGTGTGGTAACTTTGATAGTGGATAATAAATTGTTGTAATATTAACGGATTGTAATCAACTTGATTGTAATCCAATCCAATGTTGTTTATTAATCACGTTGAATATACATATTCCCCCAATCTATTGGTGACTATGATTAGTTAATCATTAAAGATAAATTAGTTTCAAGTCAAGTTAACTCAACATGATTTACTAACGATAATATTATGATTACATGATTTATTTTCACTAATTTACTTTGAGTGTTATTTTTTTTTGCTCAAACTATAACTGGATTAATCAAGAGTAAATACTATTAACCATTGATAATCACAATCTATATAATTAATCAAGGTTAAATTGTTAATAATATTCCAAAATCATTGAGACAAATCAATCGCTAATAATAATAAACATTCACAATTAAGGATAAGTAAATAATCTGGACAAAGTATTGGTAAGTTGATCAAATGGTTAATTTGATTGTTAATAATTTAGAAATTGATTTTTAATTTATTCATCAAATTACAAAATGTTTACCCCTTGACGGTTTAATTTGATTACAACAATTAAACAATTGATTAATTTCAGAATTTTTCTCTCAATTGTGATAGTTGGAAAAAAATCTAATTCCAGAAAACTAATTAACTAATTGTTTGCGTTGGTGAGACAACTGATAACGAATTATAATTGTAATTAATGGTTTAACTCTAATCGTATTGTAATGATGTTTGTATCCTTTGGTTGATTAAATAATTGAACAATCAACAGAATAAAACAATTATAATCATTAATTTAATCACTATTATTATTCACTAATGAATCTAAGAGATTAATTATTTTTCCCTGTTCGTTTTTTTTTCTTGCATCAGTTTTGTTTCACATCTCAAATTCAGGGTAATTCATGGTAACAATTGAACTCTGGAAATTTGATCAATCCAAGAATCAACATTTTCCTATCTCGAACTGTAAATAATATATTCAATCAATCAACATTCAGTTTCCATGGTTAGATATTAGAAATGTTTCCTTTTTTTTTTACTTGTAACAATTTAGAATATAAAAAAAAATATTCAAAATTTGAATTAAATGTCAAGAGAATCTGAAAAATTAAACAGAATCAGATTATCAATAACCTTTTCTGTTATGAATATTGATTCAATTGGTTGTCAAAGGTTAAATTGTAAGGTTACAGTTGATGAGTGGAAATTGAATATTATTTAATTGTTGGAGTTTCACTTATCATAATCATTTGATTGTTGATTGGTTTTTCCTCTTGAAATTCTCATACAATAATAACTCAATTCAACATTTTATCTTCACTGATCCTCATCTTCATTTCGAACAGAACTTTTTTCTTCTCCATCTTCTTCTCGATAATGGTTTCTAAGTACAGGTAAGTTCATGAGAAAGATGAAACCTCGAGGGATTTTGACTGCGTCCTCATTGTCAAAATGTCCTTTTGTGTCTCAATGGCTTAATACAATTAAAGTAAATCACAATCAACAATTACAATTACTTTTCGTTTATTGAACAGTCACTTAAATCTTTCGATAGTTTAACAATTTTTAAGAAAACTTTGTGTCCATAGTTTTGATTTTTTTTCTCTTCTTTTCCTCTATTCAAGTGATTTAATCTTCTTCTTGTATTGGTCATCATTTCCACTGACCAGTGGTAGAAAAGCTTCAGTTTTAATTTCACCCTGGAAAAGTCATTGATAAGCTCAAAGAAAGAAATTATATCCATCATTGAAATGATTTAATTGTTCATGAAAATTGATAATTTTCTGATATTATTACAATTGAAAAATAGATTTAAATTATTATTGTGAATAATTTTTAGACTTTAATTGTTAGGATAGAAAAGAGGATTAAGATTATAAGTAGATTGTTGATTAATTTCGGTTCTTTTTTTATCCTTCGTCATGATGCTTATGAATATCACGATAGTGATGAAGAAAAAGATGATAATCATATTACAAGAAGAAAACTAATAGAAAAAGATTATCCATAGTTTCCTTATAATTATCGTTCGAGTATAATAATAATACTATTACTCAGAATAATAGAATTATTTTCTCTTTTTTTCTGAGTATAATTCTCGATTCTTTGTTCATCATTATCTGGTCTCAATTCGGGTTTCATTGGGTATTTTTCCACCCATCAAGCGATTGTCATTAATCCGTTTGGAAAATGTCGCTTCTCTACTGGACTTTGACGATTTAATCTGATTCCATTATTAGATCGCTGATTTAGTTTATTATTCCAATTTCCTCTGTTGGAACTTCCTCTTACCATCATGGAACTATTAATAACATCATCATTATTATTATTGTTGTTTCCATAATTTATTTGATTGTCACGTTCCGTGATATCAATACTTTGGCGGTTTAATCGATGATCAACAGAGTTTCGTCTTCCCTGTTTCGGTGATTCCATGAACATTATCGAGGAAACGGAAGCAGAAGACAGACAATCATCAGAAGAGCACATATCTAAAGGATAAAGATGAGCTGATGATGATGGTGATGATCTGATTGATGATAATGATGATAATAAAGGTAATGATTGAGGTGATGATTGTAAATGTTTTGAATCAATTGACTTCCATGGTTTCATTGAATTAGTTGAGTTAATCACATTTGATGTTGAATTGTAATGATTATTTGATGATGAAGATTCTGATGATGATGCTGATGAATCTGATAATGACATTGTTATCATTTGATTGCGTAAAATATTATTGTTTTCATTAGAATTTTCATTAATTGTTGATGATAATGATCTTTCCTCTTCCAGATAATCTTCACCATTAACTTGTTGTTCATCATCACCTTTACCTTTATCACTAAATATATTTGGATCATCAATATATTTCTTTATCAAATTGAATCGGCTTATGTAACCAACTTCACCTTCATTTCCGTTTGACTCAAATTCATTTCCGGCAAATGTGATGAACATTTCATCGTCATCAAGGGTCAATGGGTCAACAATTGTTTGCCGGGCATAGTTTTCCTCACCAATCATATCAATATTGATATTAACACTATTCTTGTTGATACTGTTGTTATTTTGATTATAATTTGGTGATGATGATCCATTGCTTGGCTCAGATGATAAACTCCATGTTTCCAATGGAAACCTTGAGGTAATCATTTCATTCCCTGTTGAATTTGGTTCCTCATCTGAAATTGATGATGAGTGATTATTAAAATTCAAATAACGGCCCTCCTGTATTGTTATCACTTGAGAATTATCATCAGATCTTGATTGTTTATTAGCTGATTTAGCATTCTTATTATTATTGCTATTGTATTTTCCACTTTTATTACCATTTTTGCTATTATTATCTCTGATATTGTTTCTCATGGATCTATTTTCAAGTAGTTTATTAGGTACGGATGAGGATGATAGGGATGGTCGAGATGATGAAGATGGTAATCTTAATGACATCGAAGCCACTGGTTGTAGCATCCAATTATTGTCACTGACCAATGGTAAAGACTTAACTGTTTTGATCTGTTTTCTTTTACGGGTAAAATGTTTCAAATCAGCGACTAATTGGCTTAATCTTGAATCTTCTTTAGAGTGATTATGATTACCATGAGATGAATGATTTGATTTAACCCCATCGATTTTAGATCTTGCCTTACATGTTTCAGTTATTTCGGTGACAACCTCGGGCAATGGGACAATACTCCGTTGGGCGAGTTTCTTTTCCACTTCGTTTGATAGGTTGGCCAAATTTTCTGAACTAATTGTATCATCGTAATTATTGTTCCCAGAATTGTTATTGTTATGATTTCCCTTTGTTTCAAATAGATTCTCATTAATATCTGATAGATCATTGAGAGAATCGGGTTCATTGGAGTAATTGGTTTGCTCCATGTTTCCGTTCTCGTTGGAAATAGTAACATTCTGATCATCATTAACCGTAACCATTTCCTCTGCTAAACGATCAACTATTTCCCTTCGTGATACTTTGGATGCTTTGTCATCTCCCCAGGCAGTTATCATCATGGAAGAATCACAATTTTTCTTATAAATCGATGACAATGAGGAGCTCAATTGATGCTCGTGTCGTGGCTCATGAGATCTATCATTCGATAACTCGGAATCAGAGAATGCAATTTCTTTAGTGGTCACTTTAGCTTTAGAATTGTCTGAAGCTCTTCGAGAGCTTCCAAATGATAAAAGTTTCGGTCTAAATTGATTAACCGACGATTTCCAAGAGTTTGACTGCGAAACAGTTGAAATCGCCACAGGCAATGATAAAGGTTGTTGATATGAATTATCTTGTTGATATTGTTGCTGATACATGGATAAAGCTTCTTGGCTTAATAATGTCTCATTTCTGTTCATTTGAAGTTCACTTTCACTTTCCAATGAACTTGGTGATCCCATTGACGACGAGTCACTTGTTGTCGATAAACTAATTGATTTATCTTTAGATTTAAGTTCAGAAATAAAATAATCATCTTCTGGAATGACTAGTAAAGTTGGTTTGAAACGGAAAGCTCTCATTCGACCTCGAGCCGATGAAATGACCTCTCGAAGTCTTGAAAGAAATTCAATGGCAGTCGGTGAGGGCGATGATAAGGCCTCAGGGTCCAACAATTTAGGCGCAATCGACAAGTCTCGTCTTGATAATCGATTCGACCGTCGAAATGGTTGTGGTGATAAATTGCTAACAATTTGTACATTTGTGTTCGTTTGTCCACAAAACTGTCCATTAAATTGAGCAGATTTCTCCTTAACTCGAGCCTAATCAACGAAGAAAAAAAAACATCAACAACAATTAGTTAATCACAATGATAATCTAAGACTTGCATGTTAATCATACGAATGAAATGATTACATAAATTGTTTACTATTCTGGTGAACATGCAATTCAATTAATCAAGCAAATTACATTCTCCTAATCATATTGAAAAGTTTACCTTAATTGTTACTGTTTTTTAATTATTAACTAGAATTATGATTAGTGTATGATTAGCGAAGCAAATAATTAAAGATGTTAATTGTTGATTTTCTTAAAACCTTCGACAAGGTAAATGTTTACAGTTAATTAGTAAAAGAAACATAAAGATACACAAAATGATTACATGATAATGTGTAGAGAATAGTTAATCAGATTTAAGGATTTTGTCTATTCCAAAAATAAGTTAATTAATTGAGGTAATGAAAGAAAATAGTAGAGATTAAGTGAGAGAAAATGATTCCAGACTAATTTGAAATCCGTTCTTCATGGTGAATGGATTAACATGGTAATCAAATCCATGTTATTATTAAATTATCGATGGAAATGATTATCTGCCGTTGACAACAATTAAACATCTTTGGTATCCAGTTGATTATTGATCAACATGGAAAAGGCAAACATTCATATTCCCATGATGGGAGATAAAAATACTCAGAGGATTTTGATTGTTAGTTAAGGGGAAGTGACACTTTTTTCATTGAGCATTATCATTGGAATCATTATTATTATCATCTCTCTCTCTCTCTCTCTCTCTCTCTCTCTCTCTCTCTACATTTCATGATAATGAAAATATATTATCTCTGTGAATAGAGTCATGAATATGTTAATAGGAAATACAAATAGAGTTGGAGAAAAAGTCAGAATGAAAATTTAACACCAATGAATAGAAGATGAGAATACAATGAGAATAAGCTAATTCTTTTAACCATTAGAGTAAAAATGAAGAAGAAAAAATTGTCAGCTTAATAGTGACAATATGGAAACATGATGAGATGAGAAAAAGTTACTATTAAATTGCAATTATTATCATGTTCAATTTATAAGGTAATTTAGATTCTTTTTTCTTGGTTGAATTTTCCAATGTTTGAACAATTTATCAAATTGTTCATCATGATCATCAGTTGTATTGTGATTTTCATTATCTGGGTCAAGCTAAATGATACTTGGGTCAATCGGATGTGTCAATTTGTGAAATTTTACTCAGTTTAAGAGTGAAAAATGATTTCCCCTGAAATTTGCATAAATTTTGTATTAACTTGAATGTGAATTAAACAGGAGAATCACAAGTTCCATGTAGGAAAGATAATTCAGTTCAAGTGAAAGTTGTGTATGTGTGAATTTGTCAGAATAATAAACACCAGAGAGTGAAAAGGAAAATTTAATCAACTAATGATGAGAGAGGAAGAAGAAAAAAATACAAAGAATCACAAGTGATGGAAAACAATGTTTCCAGTCTATTAACAAGTGAATGAGTAAATCATTAGGAAGACATTGAGAAGTAGAGATGAAGATGATTATTAGGTAAGGGATGAGTAGTAGAAGATGGAGAAGAAAAAAGAAAAGAATAACATTTTAAATATCATGAAATTGAGATTTTCACCATCTTTCTTTGGAACAGTAACTTACCTGTACTTTCAGAAAGACAGAGAGAGATTGAGAGAGAGAGAGTTCACTTTCTGGGTAAAGAACAAAACTCAAGTTCACAAACCCTGAAGGCATTAAAATGAAAGTTTTTTTCCATCAATATCATGAGAAAATGAAGAGTTTGGATATATAAATAATGTATTTATGAGTTTCTGATATAAATATAAAATTTCACATGAGAATAGAACAAAAGAAAGAGAGAATTGATAAACAAGAGAGAATGAAAATTCTGAAATGGATAATGATATCGATAGATGATAATAATTTTCTTCTTCTTTTTTTCATGTCGAATTGAGTCCACATGGTGAACAGAAAGAAAGAAAAAAAAATTATTCAGTGTTAATGTCACAGAATAGAAAATGATGATTATTTCAAATGAAGAATATGTAACGTGTTGATTGCGTTTTTTTTTCGTCAATTAAAGTCGCACTTACGCAATGAGCGAAAATCATCAAACTATCGCCATTTTTTTTTCTCTTCTCTTCTTTTGTGACATTTGATTCTTCTCATGGTTCAATTGATTGTTAAATAATTGTCGATTAATTGTGATTTAATAATAGATTAACTGATTTGTTCATTTTTAATTCGTTAGATTTTATCAAATGTCACAAAAGTTTCATTTTCTCATTTCAACCGATTAATGATTCTTTTGTCTTATTTGTCTTTTCAGTCTTCAACATTATTGATTTAGTCGCGATTCCAACTGATCAACAATTTAACAGTTTTATCACTTGATTGTTTATGAATATTTAATATAATAACTGGCTGGAATTGTTCACCATGTTAAATGAACTTGAAATGATGATGACAATACACATATAAGGAGATTAGAGTATTTAATCATGTAGCTTGAGATTCATCATGATGAATGAATGTTCATAATCTACATGTTACCAAATGAGGTCTTTGGTACGGTTCAGTTGATTAACTAATTTCTGCTTATTAACAATTAACCATAAACAACCTGGGTATCAATTCTTTACTATGCAATCAACAATTTACATTCTTAATTGTATTGATTTACTACACGAATACACTATAAGTGTGTACACGTTTAATCAATAACAATCAAAGGGTAAATGGTACCAGTAGGACAATATAATTGATAATCTAGTCGTTGATTAAAATCATTGTTTCCTTTAGTGTTTTTTTTTGCGATAAATTATCAGGCTAATTATTATCTGATCGCTGTTGGTTAATTAAGTTATTGGGGAAGAAATTATGAAGAGAGAGAGAGAGAGAGAGAGAGAGAGATGGAAAATTAATTACCTGTAATGAGTTTAATGATGATGGAGTGTGTTGATTATGATGATGATGATGATGATGATTAACAATGTTGGTTATTGTTGTGAGTGATTGAGAGGGTGAAGATGCTGGTGATTGAGGAGAGGAGGATGAGGATGATGATGGAGATGAAAGTGATGAAGATGATAATGGAAAGGTTAACAATGATGGTGATGATGAGGATAGATTATTAATCGATGATGGATTAGGTGATGAGATTGGCACTGATAAAGATGATGAAGTTATTGTGGATAATAAATGTCCTTGGTCAATGGATTTGAGACAAATCTCAACATCTGATGATTGTGTTTTCTGTTGACAATTATCATCACTTTTGTTGATTTCTTTTTGTTGACTTTTTCTTTTACTATTATTAATTGAATCACTTTTAATTGATGGATTAAATTCACCGGCAATTTCACCATAATCAACTCTATCCATGGAAAGTGTGAAACATTTTGTTTTACTGTTCGCATCCTCATCTCCGCCTCGTTCCAATGATGAACTTCCTGTTTGATTGGAAGATGAATCACCGAATGACCCATGATGATGATTAGATGAATGAAATGAACTTTGTTGAAAACTACTGTTGTTACTTCGATGGTCCTTTAAATTGTCAACCCTTTTAGATCTCAGGTAGATCATTAGAGAGAGAACATAAGTTAATCCTAAGACACCGATGGATAATCCGATGATTAGATATCCTGAGGTTCCTTTTCCTTGGGTTGTTGATCCTGTGTTTCCATCCGGATGATGGACATTCCCCTGGACCTTGAGTAATCCTAAACTCGAACCTGGTACCCAGCCTATTCGGACAGCGGCACATGGACGGTAAGGTGCAACTTCTATTGAGCCGTGACGAGGTTTTAGTTGACAATTAAAACGAATTAAAACTAATTTCTGTTCCAATTGTCTTCTATTCTGATCATTGCCAACCCATTGAAGAAAAGATCGACTTCCGTCCGCAATTAAGGCAAAAACTGGCTTCCGTTAATCGATAGCCAACCATCATTGGTCATAACAAGGTCACTTTCTACTCGGCAAGTTTGATTCAGCAAATTGTGACGATCTAATAATGATTAAGATGACCATTTAGATTATCAATTTCTCCATATTGATTAACTTACTTTCTAGATTAAGATGAGCTCCTGGATGAACCAATTGACCAGCAGTGGGCAATGAAACGACCGGAATCGTTTCCGAAATATAAGTTCTGGTAAAAGTGATCAAAGGACAATCTAAGAAAAGAATCAGAATAATAATAATAAGTTAATAGTTTCAAATGATTTGTGAACAATTAAGAGAATTGTTGACAAAAAAAGATTTCAACATTGGAGACAATTGAAAACAAAACAATTGAGATAATTATTGTCAACTGTTAACTAAATTATCGTAAATGATTATCTCCTCAAATAATCATATTCTCAGATGAATGGACATGAAAATGAGATTTAAATTGATTTTCAATTCTAAATATTGATGATGATTTAGTTATCACGTTCAAGAATTTACAATCAACAGATTAATCTAATCACGTTTAGAGATTTTCATGATGATTAAAGAAACAATCAGATGGAAACTATTAGATTAACGGAAGAAGACTGAACAAAGTTCATTATTCATCCAGAAAGGAATAAATTTTATAATTGATTTGATTATTTAACTAATTTAGTTTGTTCACTAATCACTACACCTTTGAGACAATGGAAATAATTTAATTTTAAATTGTTTCCCATTCATTTCACTTTCATGTAGAGAGAGAGAGAAAAAAATGGAAATATAATGAAATGAATAATAATATTTGCATGAAGAAATATCAAGAATCACCTGAGGCAATGATGCGAATGAAATTAATCATGTAATTAAGTTAATTAATTGGATTAGTTGTGTTCTTACCGTCAAGATCTCGGACACACTGTTGAATATCCTCTCGAAATATTTGCTTTGATGGGTCACATTGGCATTTACAGGGATGACCATTGACCGGGGCAGCGAATCGTTGACCCTCTGAACAAAGGGATGGATCACAAGAGATCGGGTCACCAGAGATTATGAAAATATCTCCATGATAATCTCGATTAATCTCCTTAATTACTTGACTTGATGAGAGCTTAATCACCATGGTTAACAGTACAATTAACAGATTAAGGTAACAACAATTAGCCAACTCACGATCACCACCCATAAGAAAAGAATAACAACTCGACGGAGATAATTTAACCTCCACCACCAACAATTAGTTAATTACTTAGTTAATGTTTGATAATTGTTTCGTCCTATCATTTGTATCTCCTTTTGGTATTTGATTACAAGTGAATGAGTAAACTGATTGTAATCAATTTACTTTATCCTTGATGATAAGTAGATGACAATTAGATGAAGATGAAAAAAAAGGGAAAAGTTGAAGAAATAAAAATAAGTAACAATTTAAATTGTTCGCAAATTCAATTGGTTAGGTTGTTAATCGTCATTTTGATTCCTTAATTTTAACCAATTTGATTTGAACGCAGTTTCTTATCAAAATCAATATTGATTTAGTTTTAATTCAATTTTTTAAATCTCACTTTTATCTTCAGGATGTTTCTTGTTTCTTCCTGAATATGTCATTGATTTTCTGGTAAGAACTTTGTGATTCAATAATCATCCTTTTATCATCTTCATGATGATGAGGATGATGAGAGAGAGAGAGAGAGAGAGAGAGAGAGAGATGATATTACCTGGGAATAGGTATTGCTTCAGGTAGAGTGACATTGTAATAGTTACAAACCAAGACACAAAGAATAGTGATTCCAATTAAAGTAACAATTAACTCTGGTGGAAAATAAATTTCTTTTATATTTATAGTAACAATTTAAATGAATCTTCAATGTAACAACATTTTGAAACAAGAAAATCAACTAATTGTTGACAATTTTTTCTGCCAAATTGACCGCAGAGTTAAATCATTAACCAATCCAGTCAAGCAATCAAAGAGCAATTAAAAAAATTGTAACCTTGCTCGAGCCTTTTTTCATTATCATAATATTTACAGTTTCATCTTAATGATGTTGAAAAAGTTAATTGTTACAATTTTTATGATCAACGATAATAAAATTGTAATCATGATAATTTGATAACTCAATTCAATTGGAAACTAACAATTAATCTTGAAAAATGATATTTTTTCAACATTTTTCATGGTTATTCAATAATCATCATCATCATTAGTTTCAAGTAACCAAATGATCAAGTAAATTGTTTCTCATGTTTAACTAAATTGTCAAAGCTTTCCAATTGAATTGATGAAACAATATAATCAAACATCTGATTCCGATTGACTTTTGATATTATTTTCAAATCATTAGATTACAAAATCAATAGACAAACAATTTAACTGACCCTCGCACTGACCAATGGACAGTAAGAAACAAGTCTAACTAATTAAGTTAAACATCAACAATCAGTAAACCAAATTAATATCAAACAAACTTGTTAAAAAAATACACGATAATCAATAACAATTTAAATTGATTGTGAAAGTGTTTAGAAAATGATTAAGATTGATGTTCACTGATTTCATTTAATCAGCCAATTGAGTTGATTGTATCAACAATTTAATAGTCTATTGCTACTAATAAATTGACAATTTATTTTCATCAAAACTTTGATAACAATCATCCATCATCCGATCAGTTGATTTAAATTGTTTCAATTGTAACAGCCAAACAACAATAATACAAAGTGAATCAATTATTGTTATTGATTGTAATTGATTATTGGGTATTAAGAAAAAAAGTAACAACAAAGGTAATCAGTTAATCACAATCAATTGTTACTGATTGTTTCAATGAATTACCCTGATTTGTGGTTCTTATTCATCATAATCATTGATGATAATTTTTCATGAGGGAATTGAGTTAATATTGAAACAATGAATATTAATCAAGGTTAATCAATGACAATCAAATCAAATAATCTTACTAAATATAAGATTTTGATTAATTTTCTTTGCCTCCATCTTGATTGTTGAAGTCTAATTAGTTTTAATTATTATGTATTGTCAAGCTAATTACTAATTCAAATTGTTAATAAGACAAAAGTAAATGTTTGATCATGATAATCATTTAAACCCAATCAACCGCAATCATCTTCATCAACTAATTGTTATGATCTAGAAAGAAAAAGGTAAACAATTTATATAATAATTAACAATCTTAATCATAATTAAAAAGTAACTATTGAATCGTTATTGAGGTTAACAGAATACAAATTAAAACGTTATTCTAATTAATTGTCACCCAAAAGGCTTTTTCACTCTGATTGTGTTTCCATGATTCTCACAATTAACAATCAATAAGAAATGATAATCATCTGATTAATCCATAATTACCAAAATTACAATCAAAGTTAATTAACTTTCGATTGTAATAATTACAATTCTCAAATCTATTAAATTGACACAAAATGAAATGATGATGACAATTAATTTGTTTCACCTCATCTTTATCATGATTAATTAAATTGCCGACGATTGTTATTGTAAATGAAATAATGAACCAAGTTCCTGATTACTGTTAATAATAAACATCGTGATCAATTTAAATTGTTTGTAATCATCAATAATAAATACTATTAAATTAACTTTCACCGATTCAACAACAATCAACAAATTAACAGAAACCCGAATGGAAAAATATTTTAAGTATCAATTTGCTGAATTAAATTGTTAATCTAATTGTAGACAATCAAAATAGGAAGTTGATTAACTTTCTCTTCACCATTTAACCTCTAATTGTGATTAAGGTAAATTCACTTTCATAATCATTATGTTTATTGTTTAATGATCAAAATTAAAAGTAAATAAAAAAAAAACTTTAACTTGTTATGGTTAAGTTTCTTGTTTCAACTCGTTTCGTGATTATTGATTGTTGATAGTTAATTTTTTTTTACTGATCCACAAAAAGTGATCAATATAATCACCGTGACTATTTAACAGGTTTACGCATCAATTAATTTAACTATATTATTATCATCATGATCATCACCAAGTTAACAAGTTGTTCATTATTATAATGATCAGAAATGGTTTATGGTTAAGCGATGAGAGATACTGAAGAAAAAAACAAAATTCAGAAATCAGAATTATCTCCGTGCGTAGATTTTAAATTGCAACAATTTACTGATTATTTAGTTTGATAACCTTGGGACTAACGTTCTGTTAACGGCCAATAATAAAATTAACTGATTGTCAGCAATTAATTAGATTCTGTATCTTCGGGTATCAACAATTTATCCACATAATGATAACTTAAAGTTTTCGGGTTTCGTTTTCAAAGTTATAACTTTGTTTCCTCTCGAGTTTATTAATTGTTAATTGTTATTAATGGCTAATTATTGATTGATTGATATACTTTTTATATTAATTGTTACCTAGGAATTGATCTTGGTAATTTTATTAATTGTTTTCCTTTTAATTTCATTTTGATTTTCTTCTCGTTATTTTGATTGAGCGACTCTTTTATTAACCTTTGATTTTCACTTCATTTTTCAATTGTATTTCAATTGTTGTCGCACAATTAACAATTAATTCAACTACCGGAAGGTGAATTAAGTTCAAAAAAGGTTGTCTTCTAATTGTTTATGTTGATTGTGATTCCAATTGTAACAATTGTAACAACACAATCAAGTTAATGGATCAATGATATAAATTACTTAACATTGACATTGATTCTTGTATTTAAATGGTTCGTTTAATTTTCTAACTAAATTTACAGTGTATTTATTTATTAATAGTAACAATTTACTTGTATTGTATTTGAACAGATGATAATTAATACTATAAAACTATTAAATTACAATTAGCCTTGATTATCAGTTAATTGTTAAAACACTTTAATCGGTATTGTTGGAAATTAACTTTGAACAAGAAAAATTTGTTATCGTTTACACTTGAGTTAATTTGATTGTACATTGAATTGTAGCTGAGGACACAATTAATTACATTCCTTAATTAACTAATCAATGATTAACTGTTCGGAAAAGTTTCAAAGATAAACAATTAAAAAAATACTGAAGATAGTTAACAGTTGATGAAATAGAAATTGATGAGAATTCAAACAATTTAGATCAATATTTGAGAAAATTTTAAAACTCCGAGAGAATTTTAAAATTAATTAACCAAAGTTAATCAAAGAGATGACAACAATCAATGGTTTAGAAATGAATTGAGACAAAATTAAGATTTAATTACTTACCACTTGATGATTATTATTAACAATTGTCCAGTTTAATTTGTATCCTTTGCATTGAACAATTATCATCACTTTTGATTAAGATAAACATTGAATCAACGAAAATAGTAACATCAAACCAACAGTAACAATCAACTAACTAAACTAAATCAACAGGTTGATTGTGTGGATGGAAAATAGATAATCAAGTGGCTCCATCGAGAGGAATTCATCAGAAATCTTCACACTTACGTTTCTTCATCAATTATCATCAACAATTAAGAATAATTTTTCGAAATTGATTTCGTTCAAACAATCAGAGTTCTAAGAAATTATCAAAAACTTAAAGCATAACTTTGGATTGTTACGAAACCAGGATGAATTTTGGAGCACGAATTCGAGCTCAAATTAACAATTCAATGATTAATTTTGTTTTTTCAGGAGTTGATAACTAATCAAATATTCACAGTAATTAGCACACGTGGAGGTAATTAGAATCAACTAATTGATCTTTTGGAATAACATGTGAAAAACGACTCCAATTATGATTCCTTTGAGTTTCTCATCAACATTACACGAGATTTTGACTGAGCTGATCAAATTCACTTTTCACCTTCTCGAATGACTTTTAAGAACTTTCAATTTAGTTTCGTTTCAATTAGTTGTATGTTAGTACAAAAACTGAAAAGTGAAAGTTTATATTTGTTTTGCTCTATTATCAGTCTTTCGGAAAATGAAGCTGAGAAAACATTTATTCAATTCGTTTAAATATAAAACGACGTTCAAGTAGTTCTGATACACCATAGACAATATCACTATGATTCTTACTTGTGTTACTAATTCCAGTTCCATCATGAATCGTTTTAATGTTTTAAGAATTTTCATATTCATGATTGTGAGTATTTACTATTGCTTAGCAGATTCAGCGAATACCCCTTGGGCAACAAATAATCAAGCCGAAGGTTGGTCAAAAAATTTCATCTAATTTCTAATCTAATTTTGGCTAACAGCAGTGAGAATCGAGGCTGAATAGGACTCATCGATTGACGAATTGAAGATATAATCTCTTAATGAGAATATTAGTGAATTCCAAATTTCCAAGAGTGAGTAAAAATGGAAATCAAATTGAATCCAAAATTCTATTAATAAAAATGAATTTAAATTGTTATTAAACCAGAATTTGTTTCGTATAAACTTTATTAAAGACTCGGTTTATTTCTCGATCATATTGCCGCTCGAGAATGAATATCTCAGCCAACAATCAACTAACTAAACTAAATCAACAGGTTGATTTGTGCGAGTGGAAAATAGATGATCAAGTGAGCTCCATCGAGAGTAATTCATCAGAAATCTTTAAAAATACGTTTCTTCATCAATTATCATGAATAATTCAATATTAAGAATAATTTTTCGAAATTGATTTAGTCTAAACAACCAGAGTTCTAAAAACTTGAAGCATAACTTTGGATTGTTAAGAAACCAGGATAAGTTTTATATTCCACATAATTTTCCTTTACCAACACTGAAAAATCATGAATTTTGACTATTTAACCTTGAGAATCGAGGTTGGATAGGGCTCATCGATTGGCGAATTGAAGATTTATAATTAGTTATAACAAAACAATTTTTACCAACTAATTAATATAAACAATGAAAATGATTCTGTTTTTAAAAAACTGTCTCGCATTTGGAACCATAGAATCTTAAAAAAACAAACAATTAAAATGTAAACTGATCTTTAGTTAGATCATCCAAGTTGATTGTTTAAAGACGAGGAAAACTCAATGTCTCCAACCAGAAGCTTTTTTTACAAATAAAGGTGAGAAAACATCTCGTCAGAATATAAAAGAAACGATCAATGAATGATATTCATTTAGTTGTGATAAACCGACGAACAGATAATAATAGTTCTGAGTTACTTATCTGATAAATTCCATCATCATCATCATGAATTATCTCAATTTCTTACAAGTTTTCATGATTTTCATCGTTCTCAGTCTTTCCTACTGTTCAACAAAAGAAATTTCTGTTTATCGTAAGCGACATTCGCCTTTCTCAAGTCCTGCTCAGGGTCAAACTTTCATGGATCAATCTATGAAAGACCAACATAAGTGAGTAAAAAATGAAAAAACTGATCAGAACAAATTCGTATTATTAATAATAAAAATGAATTTAAATTGTTATTAAACCAGAATTTGTTTCGTATAAACTTTATTACATTGTAATGATTCGGTATATTTCTCGATCATATTGCCGATCGACAAAACATTTTATTTTAATCACTTTTAGTAACCAAACTAAGCAGGTTTTAAATTGCTAGAAAAAGCAAATTAGAATTGATTAAGATCGAGACATTGGCTCGAAGTAGATGGCAGCAGCAGCAGCGATTGTCTTTCATTTAATTAAAAGTTTAAAGTTTAAACCATTTAGTCAATTTTTTGTTTTCGATGAGTGAATGTTAAATGTTTTTCTTGTTTTAATTGTTTGTTTATATTTTATACTTTCTATTTTTAATTAATTTCATCCATCTTCATGGAGAATAATCATTTCAAACCGACTCTTCAACATGAGTTTACTTCTATTAGAATTAGTCAGTTACCCGATTTCGGTCTTTTAAAAAAACAATGTATCGCTTTTGGGGAATCTATTCCCCAACCTGTTGATGGAATTAATCAAATTGCTGGTTATGAATCATCGTATTTACATAAAATCCAGCAGCTCAAATTGGATATTCCGACTCCCGTTCAATCCCATTTATGGCCAATTCTATTTCGAGGTCGATCGGCGACTTGTATCTCAGCCCCAAAATCGGGTAAAACTCTGTCTTACCTCATCCCCGCTCTAAGTGATTCCCAATTTAAAGACAATGATCCCAATCAATTGATCTACGGAGACGAAGGACCGAAAGTGGTTGTTGTTTGTTCAGGACTCAACAAAGTCTACGAGATCAGGGAACAAATCTATTCCATTCTCAACTCTAGAAATAGTAATCGAATCATTCTATTGACCAAAGACAATGAAAAGTCAGTGTCGACAAATATTCTTAATGGTTGTGATCTTTTAATTTCTACTCCAGGACCTCTACAGAGATTCATAGACAATGGTGTAAGTCTCTTGATCTTTTTCATATTCTTAATTGTTGTCTATTATTTATAGAATAATTATCATTTTCTAATAATTTCTATTGTTCAGTGTGTTCGATTTGATATCTGTTCACTTCTTGTGTTCGATGATGCCGATAAATCATTCACCATCCAACCCGAATTGGTACAATCCATTGTCTTGGCTTATCTTAAATCTTACAAGAAACGGTGAGTAATCAATAGCTTTAAATATCGAATCCAATCTAATCAACTAATCGATCTCTTATCATCTTTTCTTAGTCTAAACATTGCCGATGATTTAAATAGCCTTTTGACTGCACCAATGTTAATTCTCGCTGATTGTTGGACTAAAGAAGTGAAAAATTTCGCTACTCAATATATGAAAAATTCTATTCAAATTTTCGGTGATCTTTTCGAGGCTGCAATTGCTCATGATCTTAATTATCATGTTAAATTTATTCCTCAAGAATCAGAGAGAATCAAATCTTGTGCTGATCTGATTCATTCACTCTTATGTCGAGGTAAACTCAATAGAATTGCAATTGTTTGTTCCAGTGATGAGGAAAGTAAACAAGTCTTTAAAACGATGGTGGATTTGGACGTAGTTCCGGTGATTATTGATTCAAGTAAATTCAATTATGAGATACCGAAACTGATAGAAATGAGCAAATCACATCCAAGAGCAATAACGATCATCACTGATGATAAAATCAAAGAGTTCCCACAATTGAATCACATCGATACTTTGGTTCACTTTTCCATGCCAGATCATACCGATATATTTAGAAGTCGATTCATGTTAATGTCCATGTTGATTAGGCAAAAGGATGAATCAATCAACACCCATTTTCTTTTATCGTCAATCAACGGGAATCACGCTCACTTTTTATGCCAATCTCTTCGTCGAGTCTCACCGATTCCCCTTCAATTGGACAAACTTAAAAACGTCTCTCAAAGGCCATTATGTGATTACTTTTTGGCTTATTCTTATTGTCCATTTAAATCAACATTTTGTCTCAATCGACATCAATTCAAATTATCTGATCCAGTCAACAAATTTCTTCCTGTCGATGGTCAAATTAGATTTGAAATCACTCACATAATTAACGCCAATCAATTTTATCTCCGACTAATTGAGTATCGAGATAGTAAAAGTCAACAAGGAGAATGGATCAAATATAATTACCAATACAATGTAATTAAAGATCAACTTCAAGCTTTAAAAGATCAAGATTCACCAATCGAAGATTCTGTTCCTATTATTGGTAAAATCTATGGATTGATTGTCATGGGGATTGTTCATCGAGTTAAAGTGATTGAAAATCTTGGACAATTGACCAATAAAGAGACAAATATGACGATCGATGATCAAACGCCCTTTCAATTGGAAGTGAACTTTATTGACTTTGGTTACCACTCGAAAGCTTTATCCAATCAGCTAATCTGTTTACCTAAACACTTACGAGATTATCAACCATTGGCTATTCGAAGCTTCATTTTGGGAATAAAACCAATTGACAATGAAATTGAATGGACACACAAACCAGCAGAATCTTTGACTAATTTTCTCCGTGAACATCGTAATTTAGTCGCAACAAGTTGGGTCAAAATGCAGAGAAAAAGTATTTTCTGGTTGGACAATATGAAGATTATTCAAAATTTGAAACATTTAAAACGAAATGTGGTCAGTTGGAGTCCCGAATGTGATCTTATTGATAGTTGCCTCGCTGCTAAGAATGACCAATATTTCCCAAAAGTAAACACGAATCACCATTCATTATACTTGAAGTGGTCTAACCATCGCCTTTGGCAATCAGCATCTCGAGCTTTTCTTAGCGACCAATTTCAACTCACATACTTGAGTCACTTTGTCGATTTCAATACTTTCTATGTCGTCAAACAAAGCGATTTCAAATGCTTAGAAAATTTAGAAAAAGATTTATCTAAATTACAATTAACGCCGATGAAAGCATTTATCGAGAATTGTCTTGGTATTGGAATTGTTGAGAACTCAGGATCAAAATCATTTTCTAGAATTAAAGTGATCCAACATTTGCCTGAAGAGAAATTGGTTGAGGTCTTTTTCCTCGATTGGGGAGAAACATATAAAATCCCTGAGAAATTTTGTTTTACAATCGACGAAAAGTTCATCAAGCGATTACCATTCCAAGCAATCAAATGTTCGTTGGTTGGTGTTGAAGGAAATGTCGACCCAAATACTATTTATGATTTAACTCGAACTTCTGACGAGTTATTCAAACACATTCTTCTCGAAAAGATCGATGGAACTAAAGAAACGAGCTATTCAGTTCGTGTTTATTACGAAACTCACGAAGAAAATGACCAAACATATTTCATGAGATTATCGAAATGGTTGGTTGATAATGGACATGGAGTTTATACCGATCAAGATGAAGATAAAAAGGAGATTCACATAGGGATGCCAAATGGAAAGACAGATATTGACGATAGTGAGGATTCTGAAGATGAAGTGACCAGAGGAGAGCGACTTTGTGCTCAGAATCTACTCGATTCTGTTAGTGACGGAATGAGACAATTTCTTATAGAAAACATCAAACCTGATCCAGTCCAATTCGATCCAAATAAGATTAGTAAAAGAGCGAAAATGCTGCTGACACTTAAAAGACTAAAAGAAGAAGAAGAAAAGAGAAGAAAAGAAGAGATCCGAATAAACGAAAATGAAGATTCGGACAACGATTGGCAATCGACTGGACGAGACGAACCACCAAATGGTCGAACTGATTATTCGAATGTTCTACCTTATGATCCAACATCTTCAGAAGGATCAGAATTAGAATCTGATCTCGAAGATTTTGGACATGATGCAATTTAGATTCTCTTTAAACAATTAATTTACTTCTCTAATTATCAATTTAATCAATAGAATAGAATAGAAATTAAATATTAACTAATTGTGTCTCTGTGTTCACTTTTATCCAATCAACTTATTGTCAATCATTTGATTATCTACTTATTAAATGTAACTATTATAATTATTGTTATCTAAAGGTCAATGACCTTAAATTCATGATTATTGTCATACGAATGATAATTAATTATAATTAATAGTAATAATTAAACTTTGTAACAATATTAATGTCATTCAACTTTTATTTGTTTCTTTCTTTCAACAATTAAGCTCAATGATAATGAACTTGTAAGGAAGTGGAATCAATAAGAATTGATTATAAGTGTTGAGTCGACAATTAATCAACTAATTTAATTCCAATGACAACAAATTGTTTCTTTTTCTTTCTCTTTTCTGAGTGTTTTCCTTTTCTCTCATTAATCGGAAATGATAAATATTAATAATTAAGAGACGAAATTGTATTTAGTGTAACAGTTTATATTTGATTAACAGGTAATTTAGATTGTGATCTCAGTTGATGTCAATCGAACACCGAATGAGTTAAATTATTGTGCTTACAAAAAAATAGGAATTGGGAGGTAAAAGTTGTAGATGAGAATAGGTGAGGACAAGTAAGGGTCAAGGGGTAAGAGAATAATCAGAAAGGAAGATAGAGAAAGAAAGGAAAGAAAGAAAGAAAGAAAGAAAGAAAGAGAGAGAGAGAGAAAAGATAAAAATAATCCACAGGTAACATTAGAGTTCGTTACCAATGAATTTTCATAATTTGTATCAATGAGTAAATGATTCACTTAAGTTTAAATAAGAAATAGTTTACAATGTGTACGCTTTGTGTTCGTGTTCGTGTTTCTTTTTGTGTTTGTGTTTAGATTTGTGAATGTGAATGTGCTTTGAGCTTGTTGATAAAAATGAGAAGAAAAAATTATCCCAGTAATTTGATGTTGGGACTCTGGTGATTTAGTGATTTAGTTAATATGAGTTTTTTTGTGCATGTGTTTAGATGTGATTGTGTTGAAGAAGATCATGATAAGGAGCAGGGGACAAAGAGGTAGATATAAAGATAATAAATGGAAAACATTGTGACGAAAAGAACAACAGTCATCAACAAATTAAATAGATCGATTAAATTATCCAATGTGCTTTCCTCTAATCATCGAATTTGTCATTCAAATATTATTTATCCTTGATTTTTTGTTCAATTTCGTATTCATAGATTGGTGGATGTAGCACATATTCATCAAAATACACATGATTAAGGGCCTCTTTCGCTGTTATCCTTAGTCGAGGATTAAACCTCAGCATGGCCTAAAAAAGAAAAAAAGAGCAATTAATATGAATAATTTAATCGAGTATTTAAAAGAGAGAGAGAAAGAGAGAGAGAGAAAGAGAGAAATGAACGAAACAAAAAGAGGTTCAATGTTTACCTTCAATAGTTCACAAGCTTCAGGTGGCATCTCAGGTAATAAAGTGTTCAGAGGAATCGCTTTGAATCCTGCATAAGAGTTACATGGAAAATAGGCTTCTTCAGGCCATTCAGATTCCGATGGACTTCCAATAACCGAAAATATTTTACTCAATTGATCAGGTTCCGATTGTCCATTTAAAAATGCTTTTCGTCGATGAAGTTCAGCGAAAATACAACCACAACTCCAAATATCCACCCAACTCGCATAACTTGCTCCTAAAAGCACTTCGGGTGCTCGATACCAAAGGGTAACAACTACTGAGGTCAAAGCTCGTGAATCCTCATAAATACGAGCTAATCCAAAATCGGCTAATTTTACTCTTCCACTATTAGTGATCAATATATTCTGTGGCTTCAAATCTCGATGCACTATCCTATTGGAATGTAAAAAATCAACACCGTTCAAAATTTGATACATTATATCCTAATATTGATAATGATAAATAAAGAAACAAACAAAAAAAGATCGAGATAAACAAAATGATATAACAACAATAATAATAATAATAATAATAATAATAATAATCAATTATGATGTAAACAAGGATAACAAAAAAAAAGAGAAACAAATTGTTACCTTAATCCTATCTGGTCCTAAGCCTGGAGATGGACAATGGCTCAAGTATTTTCCTAAATCTTGTTCAATATATTCGAAAACAAGATACAAAATTAATTGTTTCTCTTTCTCTAAACGTTTAGCATAGCAAATATCAAGTAACCTGTTGAAAGAGAAAAGAATAAAAGAAAAAAAAAGAATAAGAACGATAAGAATGAATAATATTGATATTAATCAATGTTTTCTGTTTGTTCTCTTTTTTCAGAATTGATGTAAAATCGACTACAGATGTTTGTTGTGATCATTGGAATCTTATGGAGTCGTGTGGCTCATCAGCACTGACCACCGACAAAGGAAGTTAAGGAATCTTAACAATGACCTAGGCCTCCAAGTAGAGATTCCGACCATTTTTGTTGGCCCATAGTTTAAATAGATGAGTGTGTGTGGCTCGAATAACGAATTTTTTTTCTCTCTCTCTCGCTCTCTCTCAATATTTACTGATTCGTCGCAGGAATTAGGCCGATGGGCCACACCTGAAGTGATCATCAACAAACAAACAGCAATAACAATGCAACAAAGTTGCCGTAATTTAAAATAGAGGGTATTGAGTGAATGAGTGAGAGTTAAAGACAACAAAGAGCAGAAAGGAAGGAAAGAAAAAGGGAGAGACAAGGAGGGAATAAGACAAAGAACAAAACTTTGCAACTTGATGGTATAATCTATGGTTAATCATGATCGGCTGGTTATGGGATGATGATGAGTGTTGTTGTAGATACACATTCTCAAGGGTTGATTGGGTTTCAGTTAAGTGGCAATTCTTTTAAAGGTTAAAGGGAGAGAGAGAGAATGAGTGAGTGTGAGAGAGAGAGAGAGAGAAAAGGGTTTACAAGAATATGATAGAATCTCTGGGAAAATGGAACCAAGGGAAACATATTAGCAAAAACTAGTGGAAAATAAGAGAGGAGATTGTAAGAGATATTAAGAAAAGGAAGGTAAAAGAGAGGAAAGTGTAACGAGAAACCTGTTGATCCATGCGTTTAAAAGGATAAAGGAAAAAAAGAGGAACGAGAATTGGAAGAATAAAGAAATTATGATAGAATTTAGAAAAAAAAGAAAAGAGAATAGAAAATAAATGAGACATCAAATTTGGCGAATTGTCAAAACAAAGGTAACAAGAGAAACACAGAGGAAGAGAAAGAGAGAAAAAAATTGGGTTCATATCACATACCTGACAACATTTGGATGTTCATACATTTCTAATTGTTTAAGAAGTGAAATCTCTCTAATGAGAGTTGGTGGAACACCGTCTTCATAAAGGGCAACATTCACTTTCTTAATTGCCACTGATTGTCCTTCGTTAACTAGATCACGAGCTTTGAAAACAGTTCCATAAGTTCCTTCACCAATGAATCCAATTTCCTCATAATTATTGGCCGTTGATGAGCTTGTGAGACAAAAAGACATCGCTTTCCTTTTGTTAAAATAGAATAGAAAACAACAATAACTTTGTCTTTTCTTTTTTTCTCTTCTCTTTCTCTCTTTTTCTCCTTCACCTTTTAATTGTTTCTCTTTACAATTGTGTCACTTTGGTGTTGATTTGATTTAAACACTTAACATGTAAACATGAGAAAAGATGGAGGAAGAAAAGATGACAAGATGACAGAGGAACATCTAAACTCGCACTGAAAGCACACACAGAGAGAAAAAAGAATAAAAAAAAGAGAGAAAGAGAGAGAGAAAAAAAGGAAACAGAAAAAAGAGAGAAGAGAAAGAAGAAAATGAAAAGGGAGAAGAAGAGAAAGAAAAAGCAACAGTTTGTTTGAAAGAGAAAAAGAAAAACAGTAACAGTAAAGCAACAAAAGATGGCGTTCGAATTAATCGAACTTTAAATTGTCGCAGAGTTTCAATTCCATCGAGAAATAAATAGTTACAATTAATCAGCAATTAAATGATTTCCATACTCAAGAATCTACTTGACACTAATTTCGTTTAGTTACATGGAGAGAGAGAGAGAGAGAGAGAGAGAGAGAAAAAAAAGTTAACAACAATTAACATGGAAAACGAAAACGAGAGCAATTGAATCGAGAAATTCGGTGCGATTTGATGGACAATTAAGACGAACAATTTAAATTGAAAGTTAATGAAACCCAAATGATCAAGTAAAAGTGTTTCGAAGAGATGAAAAAAAAGTTAACAATCAAATTAAAATCAAATCAATGTTTACCTTTTTTCTTGGTGAGTGATAAAGACGATCCATTCAGATCTACCCGTTAATCAATTGGGTTGGTTCCTTGTGATCAGTAAATTGCTTTCTTGATTGTGTTTCCCCTTTGACACACATTCAATTCAATGGTATCGATTAATGTTAATCATTATCATCGAGAAAACCTTTCCGATCATCATTATCATCCGACTAATATCATCACTCCCACAATCAAGTCAATCTTTTTTACCATCAAATTGATTTGATTGTGATCAAACTTTAATCAGGTTCAATCGTTGAAACTTCAAGTTTAAATCATCAAAAGTTATTGAAAAGTTATCGTGGTTAATTTTAATTCTTGTGTGTATATTATACACAACAATTGGGATAATCGTTTCTTCAGATTAACTGTTTATTTAATTATTTGTTTGATTAGTGATTCAAATCAATCATGACAATTTATTATACTTTGAAACGTTTCATTGCCATTGGGATAATTGTCATCGCTGGGATTGTAATTAGTTTATTATCAACGGTGTTCAGTGAAAATTTTCATCATCCAGTCATATTTAGTAAGTATTCAAGTTAATTGTTAATCAATTTGTAAGAATATCAAATCAGCTGATCGGAAATTAGTTATTGATTGTTAATTAATCTGATTGTAAATTCAATTGTGTTTGTGAGTCGCCCAGATATCTTAATTGTTATTAATTAGTTAGTGATTATCATTAAAAGGTTAGTGTCTGTATCTCGATCAATTAAACAATTAATTGGTGTTAATTATTGGATCGCTTAAAGACAATCAGTGGCACTGATTGTTTTTTACTAATATATTACTAATTGTAACACTTTCACTCTAATTTAGTTTGATTAAACGCAATCAAGACCATGAAATGTATTTTTTATCTTAAATCATTAAATTGATTTCCGCATTTTTTTTACACAAATCATCAGATTTCATCACCTAATCAATCACATAATGATTGATAATCACTATTATCATCATTTACTGATCATGGTCACCAGAATATGTTTCATATTTTTAGGTCAATCAAGGTTGATTAATGATAAATGTCTTTTTTTTCATCTGATTAAATCAACTAGAAAAAAATGACAATAACCTTTAAAGGTCAACATTAATCTAACCATTGACCCTTGAAAAATTATACCAAATATGACAGAAAAAAGTGATCAGGCCTCAAAAATTGATCGAAAATCATTTGAAACAATTTAACAGGTTGACCATGATTACGATAAATGTATCATTAATTTGGATGTGAATAAAAAAAACAAAATTATGATTAAGTAAGATAATCAATATGATATCAGCTAAAGGGTAAATGGTGATCTAATTGTTGGTTAATTGTCTTCCCTTGATAAGTGATGATGATTAATTTTTCTCCTTCTTTTTGTTCCTAAATTGTTACAGTTGCTGGTTACATGGGAACACAATTAAAATATCAACTTCATAAAGCGAAAACCAGTCCGTTTTTTTGTCAGAAAAATTTGTACACCTCTCGAAGTCTATGGTTAGATGCTTATCAGGCCTTTTCTCCCGTTAAAAAGTACTGCTGGTTACATTATTTGTCGCTGGAATATGACCCGTGGACTCGAACAACCAAAAGTCCTCCTGGAGTACAAATTCTGGTTCCGCCGATGGGAGATACAGCATCGATAGAATATATTTCTCCTTTTCCTTTTCAAGTTCGACCAAGTAAGAATTTTCTATTCTTCTCTAAATTGTGGCCTCATCGTTGCTTCAGAATATCTATTGATAGGGAGAGAAAAGAGTTGAACAATTAGTTGATTAAAATCTAGTTGTAATTACAACCTAATGTTAATAATAGTTGATTCAGTTGGTTATTGTAGTTGAAAAGATGTAATTTCATGTTATGAATCAAGTTAATTGAGAATCTGTCATATTGTTATTATCTCTTGATTGATTTTAAAGCTTTTCAAGTTAACAATTTGATTAATAGAAAATGATTAATTTTAACAATATCAATTAGGTAAATTTCAAGCTAATCTCAGACAACTTGACCTGGAAAAGGTTATTAACAAAAAGTAGTTGATTAACTAACTTGTCTCATCATTTGAATTCTGCTTTTAATCAGTTTTTTGTTTCTTTTTCACCCAATTCATGACATTGAATAATCAGCTGAGTATTACGTTAATATAATCAACTCATTGGAGCAATTAGGATATTCCAGAGGAATCAACATCTTCGGAGCTCCATATGATTGGCGTAAATCTCCTCGTAAGTTTAATTGTGTCTCCAATCAAATAATTTCGTATATAATTAACTCGATTTACTTTTCAGATGAACAAGATGAATTCTTTGAGTCTCTTCGATATTTGGTACAAGATATTTACGAGAAAAATGGAGGAAAACGGGTAATTCTCTTTGGCCATTCGATGGGAGGTAATTTTGCTTACCTTTTTCTCCGTAAGCAAAACATTTACTGGAAAAATCATTACATAAGAGCGGTGGTTTTCGCAGCCTCGCCTTGGGGTGGAAATTTTAAACACATGTACGACTATTTGTACGAAGATGATTTCGCTGCTGATTTGATTCCCGAATTTCGCCAAGTAGAACGAACCTATTCCTCTTTGGCCTTTTTATTGCCCAATAAACGTATCTGGGGACCTGATGATGTTTTCCTTACAACACCGACAGCCGATTACACCGCTTTCAATATGGAGGAATATTTTGCTCATCTTAATCATCCAAATGGTTATCAAATGTATTTAGACACCAAAGACATTATGGATCCTTTTCTTCATCCGGAAGTTGATATTTACTGTATTCCTGCTGTTGGATATAAAACACTTCGTCAGGTTGAAATGTTCACCGATAATGATAAAACCGAAAGATATACAAATTACTCTCAGGGAGATGGATTCGTTAACATAGAATCGGCTCTTGGTTGTCTTAATTGGTTCCCTTCCAAACAGTACAAGTTTTACCTTAAGCTACTTGATGCCAGTCACCTGGGGATGTTAAGAGAAACTGAATCAGTTAATTTTTTCACTAATTTAATTTATAGTTTACCTTGAATTTTATACATTCTCAGAAAAATATATTCCTTTAAATAAATATAATAATACTTACCAATTGTGATTCCTTTTAAACCATAAAACGTTAGCTGATTGGACCAAGTCAAAGCTCGAAATAAATTGATACAAATCGAGACAAACATCAATCACTAATCAAATGATAGGAATAGAAAACAATTTAAAAAAAAATTTAAATGAAACTGGATAATTGCTAAGGTCCAATTTTCGCGTCGACTGTAGTTGTTTATTCAAACAACTACTTTAACTTTTGTTGAAATTCAAGTTAATCTTTATGAGTAAATAAGCTTACAGGGTATGAGAAACTCCCTGAATTTTAAGAGTTCCTGATAGAACATTTTATCAATAATATTCCATTTAAACTGAAATAATGAAGAAAATGTGACTATGTGTTTACAATATCGGAATACAAGAATGAAGAAAGAGAGTTTCAACAGGTAGAAAGAGGATTAATAAAGGTACTCACCTTTCATAGAATGATTTCCAGGAGTGTTCATCATATTTAGAGAATCGAAATTATCAACCATTGACTATTAATAATTAATAGAAATAGAAAATGAAAATGAAAACAATTAAAATTGAAAAGTAAACAAAGTTAGCAAAGTTTAGCGAATGACAATTAACAATCAAAGCTTGAGAACATCAAATGCTGAAAGAGATCACAAACTCCACCTAAAGGAACAGTTGAAAGGTCAAAGTTAACACAAAATAAATTAAAATTTCTAAATGAATATTAATAATTTAACCAATGACCAGATTAATATTAATATCAATAAATTAGAAAAAGAAAACAAATTAACAAGATGATCAAATGTAAACAATTCCAGCAGAAATTCAGGAATCCAAACACACACATACATACACAGAGAGACACAATATTTAGTACAACTCACCGTCTCAATTTTGTACCAAATCTTCAAGGAAAACAATTAAACCAAAAGGAACAATTAAGAATCAATTAGCTTTTATTGGATAAAAAAATTCTCACGTTTGTTTTGGTTTGTAAAAGAAATAGTGATTAATAGAGCCAACAGATGGCGCTGATGAGAGAGAAAATGAATCACTTGAGTTTTCTGTTTCTCTTTGAAAAGTAACAACAGTAATTGTCAACAAATATCAACAACAAGCATTTAATGTTTTCTAATAAATGAACTTCACTGACTCTATATTTGTAAATTTTTTATTCTTTTGGTGCCATGAGGGAGTACAAGGTTGTCGTTTTGGGCTCCGGTGGTGTCGGTAAATCAGCTTTAACTGTGCAATTTGTTTCCGGAACTTTCATGGAAAAGTATGATCCCACAATTGAAGATTTTTACCGAAAAGAGATTGAAGTTGATGGAGCTCCTTGTGTACTTGAGATACTTGATACCGCTGGAACTGAACAATTTGCCTCTATGCGAGATTTATATATCAAAAATGGTCAAGGATTTGTGGTTGTTTATTCAATAACCAGTCATCAAACCTTTCAAGATGTTAAAACAATGAAGGAACAAATAATCAGGGTAAAAGGAGGATATGAAAAGATACCCATTCTTTTGGTTGGTAACAAGATTGACCTGGTTCACCAGAGAGAGGTTTCAACCGTTGAGGGTATGTCATTGGCTCAAGCATGGGGCTGCCCTTTCATGGAAACATCAGCCAAGAATAAGTGTAATGTAAATGAAGTTTTCGCCGAGGCTGTTAGAGAGATGAGCCTTTCTAATTCAAAAGATAAATCCAATAACTGTTGTAGTTATCTGAGAGACTGTGGCTCTTCATCATGTTGTACCACCTCTTGATACTTGAAACTATCAACTTCTAATGTTCACTCTGTCCCCAGCTCTCTCTCTTTCTCTTTCTCTCTCTAACTATCACTATCTCTCTCTCTCTCTCTTTTTTACACAATCAATTACTTGAACTTGTATCAATGATATGTAATCATCCAAGAAATATTTTAATTTTTGTTATAAAAGGAGATTGGGTGTCAAATGACCTCCACAAGACTTGCCTGAGCATGTCTAGTTCATTAGAACTACTTTGTAACAAAGGGATGGGAAACCTACAATAAATATACTTTACTTTTCCCATCTTCTAATTAACTGATTACCAACAATTAATCTTTAATTGTTGACACATGAAACAATTGAAACAAAGGCAAGAAAAAATGTTGGTCAAACTAAGGCCTTGGTTCAATAGTTTGGTTATCCCGTTTGTGGTGTTTCAAGTGATTCTGGTGTTTGGGTTACTCCAATTGAGTAATTTCATTTGATTGCCTTAAGTGATTTAAATTGAATTAGAAAAATTAATTGATAATTAACTGACCTTATCAATCAGGTTTTACGTTAATCAATGCGTATTCCTGTTAAAAGTACAATTGGTTAATTGTATCAGTTAAATTAGCAAAAATGAGGAAGAAAATTTTTAAGGCCTGACAATCAACAGTGAATATTGATCAGTAGTATCAACAGTTGATTGTAGTTCACAATTAACTGTTTACAATCAATCTAATTACATTTTAAATTGGAAGATAATTATTAGTATTACAATTAATTGATACAAGGTAATTAATGGATAAACAATTAACAACAATCAATTGTTGATTGTTTCAAAAGTATGATGACTAAAATTTTCGTGAAAAATTGAATAAATTGTTTCACTTTTTGTTTTCTTAATTGTGAATAGTTAGTTAATTACAATTGCGATAATAATCATGGTGATAATCATTGCAAGGCCAAGAGAAAGCCTTTAATTAGATTTTAAATGATTTGGGAAACTATTGATGAGATTTAATTTACCTTGAGAAATTAACAAATAATAATTTACAATGAGAACAATTAACTTGATTAAAAAGTTTTCTTTTAATTTGATTTTAAATTTTCGGGAACATTGTGATTCTAATTAAATTAAGTTAATGTTAATTTAACAACAAACCAAAGTGATAACCTAAATTGTTACACAAAACTAAAACTTCTCAGATCATTTAAAGTTAATTGCTGCGAACACAGATCATTGTAATTAACGTTGTAATCGTTTCTGGTTGTACTTTAATCAACAAATTGTTATTCATTGTGATTGTTATCATAATTAACTGATCATTTGCCTTTTTCTTTAAACCATCAATGGGAAACATTAATTAATTACAATTATCTAAACAAAATTTAATTTCTCTTTTTATATTTTTCCATCAATTCAATTAATAACATTTCTCTCAATGGGAATGATTAAGGAGAGAAACAGCAATTAAAAGTCAACAAACGTTAATCAATTAACTTTACCTAAACTAAATTGTAACAATTAGTTGATTGCTAAAGATGAAAATAGTTTAATTGCTTCATCTTTATAAGATGATTAGTTAATCAGATAAAAAGAAACAAATTATTACAAAGTTAATTGTTTTCTTTTCCCTTTAATCATAGATTGTAAATGTTTTTCTAATCAACAACAATTAGAATTGATTGTTACAATTGGATCTGTGTGAACATTTAAATTGTCAGTGAACAAAAAAGGACAACAAATTGAAATGATTAACTAATTATGTCAAGTATCAACTTGAACATAAACACAAACTAAAAGTATCGTAATTGTTGATGAAAAGTAACAATTAGTTAATCGATTGCCGATTGATTAACAATTTAAAGAGTTACAATTGTCTCCAAGTGTAAACAACAACAAAAAGGGATGAAAAGGTAACTAGTTAATTAGTAAATTAGTTAATTGTTATCAACAAGATTTTCGATGATCATTTGAAGAGGTCACTTTCGATTAGAATGATTAACTGAATGAGACAAATTCTGTTCTCTATGTGATCAAATTTCGTTCTTGATGGTGAAGATTTAAAGAGATTTAAAAGACAGAAAGAGAGAGAGAGAGAGAAGATAAAAAGAGGCAGATGATGAGAAAAGAAAGGAAGATGAAGAGGAAGCGAGAGGAAGAGAAAGAGAGAAAGACATTGGTGCGAGAGAGAAAAGGGAGAAAGAAGAGAAGAGAAGATGAGAAGAGAGAGAGAGTAGAAAGCGTTGTTTTCGTTTTTTGGATTGACTCTCATTTTAATTTTTTCTTCTTTTTGGTGGTGATGAGTTTTCTTTTTTTCTTCTTATTTATTTAATTTTATTCTTTAATTGTGATTTTTTTTGTTCTCTTTTAATTCCGAGTTTCCTTTTTCTCTTTATTTTTGTAACTGGTTCATCTTTTCTTCTTCCTCTGACCTTTTTTTTCTAAATTAATTCTTTTTCTTTTTTTCTCTTTTTTCCCTTTCGCTTTAGTCTTTCCTTTTTTTTTACTTCTTTCTCTCTCTCACTACTGGTTGTCTTCATCTTTTCTTGTGTTTTTTGTTTGTGGAATATTCATCCCTCTGTCTATGGTTTGGCTCGTTTATCATCAATCTCATCATCTGGTTATTATTGGTCAACTTAAGTGAGAATTTAAAGAGAAAGAGAAAAGAGCGAACTGGACATAGAGAGGAAAAAGAGAGAGGGAGAGAGAGACAAACTAAAAAAGAGAAAAGAACATTTTTGTTTGGCTTTGATTGAAGCGAAGAAAGAAAAAAAAAAGAAAATGTCTTTTTGTCTCACAAGCTCATCAACGGCCAATAATTATGAGGAAATTGGATTCATTGGTGAAGGAACTTATGGAACTGTTTTCAAAGCTCGTGATCTAGTTAACGAAGGACAATCAGTGGCAATTAAGAAAGTGAATGTTGCCCTTTATGAAGACGGTGTTCCACCAACTCTCATTAGAGAGATTTCACTTCTTAAACAATTAGAAATGTATGAACATCCAAATGTTGTCAGGTATGTTATTCTTTTCTAATTACCACAGTCTTTATCTATTTCCTTCCATCTTTGTCTAGACAATTTCTTTTTATATCTTTCAATTGTACTTCAATCAGTTGTTATTAATTCCAAGATTTCTGTTCACAAGCATGGAAAATGCAACAGGTCTCCCAGTGTTTCATTTTCTTTTCTCCTCATTTCATATTCGAAATTCATTTACTTCTTTCATCTTATTTCAAATCTCTCTCTCTCTCTTCTTTCCCTTCAACCTTTCAACAAACTAACACTCGACATTCATATCAACCCTTGAGTCTCAATAAAGTGTTGCAGTTCAATTCTCATGTGAGACTTGAGACTTCGGACCTTCACTTTTTTATGATGATTAATTTCAAAGCGAAAATCAACTTGGAAACAAAGTCTCACATTCATAAATCTCACGCGAATGTTATTTTGGTTTAAATGGTGAATTGATTAAAATCATTTCTTCAAATCATTAAAAGCTTCTCTCGGTGAAATTTAGGTTCTTTTAGGGAAACACTCTATCAACAACACTCATCATTTACCACCAAGATTAGCCATTGAATATTCCATCAGTTGGAAAAGTTTTTTCTTCTTTGTTTTATCCTCTTTCTCTTCTTTCTCTTTCCCGTTTTCTTTTTCTTTCTCTTTCTTTACTTGATTTTTCCCTTTTCTTCTTTTCTCTGCCTTTTTAACTTTAGTCTCTTTGTTACACTCTCACTTACTCACTCACATTCTCACTCCGCTTCTCTTACTTAATATTACGGTAACATTGTGTTCACTCCTTGTAGATGTTGATTATTTCTGTTTATCTCTGTTATCATGAGCGGTATCGGAACATCTATACAAACAGATTCTTCATCATACTCAATAAATTGTAATTTCTTATTATTATTCTTTTCTCTTTCAACAGGTTACTTGATATTTGCTATGCTAAACGTTTAGAGAAAGAGAAACAATTAATTTTGTATCTTGTTTTCGAATATATTGAACAAGATTTAGGAAAATACTTGAGCCATTGTCCATCTCCAGGCTTAGGACCAGATAGGATTAAGGTAACAATTTGTTTCTCTTTTTTTTTGTTATCCTTGTTTACATCATAATTGATTATTATTATTGTTATTATTATTATTATTATTGTTGTTTTATCATTTTGTTTATCTCGATCTTTTTTTGTTTGTTTCTTTATTTATCATTATCAATATTAGGATATAATGTATCAAATTTTGAACGGTGTTGATTTTTTACATTCCAATAGGATAGTGCATCGAGATTTGAAGCCACAGAATATATTGATCACTAATAGTGGAAGAGTAAAATTAGCCGATTTTGGATTAGCTCGTATTTATGAGGATTCACGAGCTTTGACCTCAGTAGTTGTTACCCTTTGGTATCGAGCACCCGAAGTGCTTTTAGGAGCAAGTTATGCGAGTTGGGTGGATATTTGGAGTTGTGGTTGTATTTTCGCTGAACTTCATCGACGAAAAGCATTTTTAAATGGACAATCGGAACCTGATCAATTGAGTAAAATATTTTCGGTTATTGGAAGTCCATCGGAATCTGAATGGCCTGAAGAAGCCTATTTTCCATGTAACTCTTATGCAGGATTCAAAGCGATTCCTCTGAACACTTTATTACCTGAGATGCCACCTGAAGCTTGTGAACTATTGAAGGTAAACATTGAACCTCTTTTTGTTTCGTTCATTTCTCTCTCTCTCTCTTTTAAATACTCGATTAAATTATTCATATTAATTGCTCTTTTTTTCTTTTTTAGGCCATGCTGAGGTTTAATCCTCGACTAAGGATAACAGCGAAAGAGGCCCTTAATCATGTGTATTTTGATGAATATGTGCTACATCCACCAATCTATGAATACGAATGTAGCAACAAGTCGAATCAAAGCACAACTACATCAACTCGCAATGGAACAAAAAACCAAGGGACAAAATAATCAACTAATTTGAAAGACTAAAATGATTAAACAAAGTACCAAGAATGAAACAATTTACTGATGAACGCACACCCTGGTTGAAGAATTCACCCTTTTACAACTTCATCTAACATAATCATCAATTAACATTTCATCATGATGTCTTCCTCTTCCTTTCCCTTAGTTTTAATTAACTTACTAGTGGTTAATCTTTATCACTACTTTTCATTTAGATTTTCACACATCAACTTGAGCCAAAACATGCACATAAACAAACACACAATCACATCTAAACACATGCACAAAAAAAACTCATATTAACTAAATCACTAAATCACCAGAGTCCCAACATCAAATTACTGGGATAATTTTTTCTTCTCATTTTTATCAACAAGCTCAAAGCACATTCACAAATCTAAACACAAACACAAACACAAAAAGAAACACGAACACGAACACAAAGCGTACACATTGTAAACTATTTCTTATTTAAACTTAAGTGAATCATTTACTCATTGATACAAATTATGAAAATTCATTGGTGACGAACTCTAATGTTACCTGTGGATTATTTTTATCTTTTCTCTCTCTCTCTCTCTCTCTCTCTCTCTCTCTCTCTCTCTCTCTCTCTCTCTCTCTCTCTCTCTTTCTCTATCTTCCTTTCTGATTATTCTCTTACCCCTTGACCCTTACTTGTCCTCACCTATTCTCATCTACAACTTTTACCTCCCAATTCCTATTTTTTTGTAAGCACAATAATTTAACTCATTCGGTGTTCGATTGACATCAACTGAGATCACAATCTAAATTACCTGTTAATCAAATATAAACTGTTACACTAAATACAATTTCGTCTCTTAATTATTAATATTTATCATTTCCGATTAATGAGAGAAAAGGAAAACACTCAGAAAAGAGAAAGAAACAATTTGTTGTCATTGGAATTAAATTAGTTGATTAATTGTCGACTCAACACTTATAATCAATTCTTATTGATTCCACTTCCTTACAAGTTCATTATCATTGAGCTTAATTGTTGAAAGAAAGAAACAAATAAAAGTTGAATGACATTAATATTGTTACAAAGTTTAATTATTACTATTAATTATAATTAATTATCATTCGTATGACAATAATCATGAATTTAAGGTCATTGACCTTTAGATAACAATAATTATAATAGTTACATTTAATAAGTAGATAATCAAATGATTGACAATAAGTTGATTGGATAAAAGTAAACACAGAGACACAATTAGTTAATATTTAATTTATATTCTATTCTATTGATTAAATTGATAATTAGAGAAGTAAATTAATTGTTTAAAGAGAATCTAAATTGCATCATGTCCAAAATCTTCGAGATCAGATTCTAATTCTGATTTTGAAGTCGCTCGCCTCTGGTCAGTTCATCTTCAGAATTCTCACCTTTTTCAATATCTTCCTCTCCATCGGACATCTTCAGATGAATCTCCTGATTATCTTCATCTTATCGGTATAAACTCCATGTCCATTATCAACCAACCACTTTGATAATCTCATGAAATGATTCAGATTAACTGATTGCTAAGAAAAGCTGATGATCGAGATCCCGATTGCCAAAGTTGATTAGACAACTTCAAGTACGTGTGAATGGTGAATCAATCATTTCTTATTGCTGGTTGATTATGAAAATTAAACTCAATCGATGATTTGATCGATTAGGCTTTTGTTATTTTATTTTGATCATTTTATTCAATATAAACAGTTGTTTAATTGTCTACAATTTAATTTAATCAAGAATGGAAAAAGGTTTGGAAAAGTTTTCAAGTTTTTGGTAACGATTATGGCACAATTATAAAAAATGGAGTTCAAACAATTAGAATAGTCTTACAATCCTTGAGTCAACCATTTCTAGGTAATAATTGAATGATACCTAATAGATTTAAGTTACACTGTTTTAAGTGAATTAACTAGTGAGTTTGTGTTTCATAAGCCTTTGGTCAACGAACTGTCAATGGTCAGTTTCATTTCATCAAATGTCCCGAGAATTTGTACCAGAAATACCATCAGAACCGAATCTCGAAGAAAAGAGTTACTTTCATAATATTGGGAAGCCAATTGAGGTTTCGAAAGGTATTTTAAGAACTTGGTTAAATGATGATCTCGAATTGATATTATGGTAAATAATTGAAACTTGGAATCTTTTCCCCAATTAGTTGCCTCTCTCGAAATAATCTCAATGGTGTTGATCAATTTATCCATCATTGGTTCTCGATTCTCCAATAATTTAAGTTCACAGTTTATCGCCAATAAATAATCCCAAAGGAAAATTTGTTTACGGAATGAGGATCGAGTTCGCCTTTTAAAACCATAGTAAAATATTTGTAATAAAGTCCATAAAGTTGCTTCTCTCCGAATATGAGAGCGACTAGATTTTTTTGATGAATTAGTGAGTTCGATGAAGATGATGATCTACTATTAAGATTCTGCCTGGAAGAGTATGTAGATGCCGAAAAGTGACTTAATGATGAGTTCATGGGCCTTCGAGCCATTCGACTGGTCGCTTTTTTCAACGGAGATAAATATAAGTTTCGATTCCTATCATTTGTTGTAACATGATTGTTATAATTTTGACTACAGTGATTGTAATACAATCGGACCATTTCATTGACGATTTCTCCGAGCATTTGTTGTAATTCTTGAACCTCTAAAGGTTCATCTCGATATCCGCTTGTAGTTCGAGCCCAATGACGACCAATCGATGACGATCGAGTTTGACTTTTCTTCAAAATTTCTCCAATACATGAATTACTAACCATTTCTCCGATTAGTACTCGTTCTGTAGCACCATCTTCAATATTTTGACCAAACCAACGATGGCAAACAAATCTAGTCGACGATATTAACAAGAAATACTCAATAAGAATGATCAATAAACATTAGAATTGGCATCACTTACTTGAATAAATGTCCAGTTGATTCGTTTCGGACAAAACAGTGACCAACGAAAATTTTGGTTGAATGGGTAACCGAAATAGTTAAAGAATTAATCAAACCTAAATTAATATGTTTAAATGTAAACACGTTAGAAATATTTGTCATTTGAATCTCGGTTGATTGAGAAATTGTTCCACTCAATGAGATCCAACCCGTTAATGGACCTGATCCTTCAATCACCAGAGTATAAGTTATGGTCGAAGTGGTAAAAGTGTTGGTAAAACAAAGTATATCAACGGCATTTAAGGTCAGTAAGTGAGTGAGAAACTGTTCCCTCTCCTCTTCACATCGCAGGAAAGCATATCTTTTGTACATGGATACAACCAGCTCTTGGTTACTCAGTAGTACTCGTAAATGTTTACTCAACAATTTACGTTCCAAGGCTAATCGGATGAATGCTCGGCTTTTACCAATCTCAGTTTTAATATCTTTCATTGATTGGACTGATTTATAATCGTAGTAAAATGTATTTGGAATGGGCTTCAGGTAATCATTTGAACTTGTTAAATCTTTGGATGGTGAAGGTGGAGTTGAAATGGATGATGATGATCCCGATGAATCTAATGACATGCGACTTAAAGCTAATAGAAAAATGGAAAATGGTCGTTTAAATAAAAGAGAAAGCTTACAATTAGTAACAATTACAAGAAATTAACAATTAAATTGATTAAACAAAGAATGAATCAATATACATACAATCGATTCTTTTCCGTAAAAGAACCCAAGCAAGAGCTTTGGAAGCATAGGAAGAATGAAAATGGAAAAGAGAAAATTAAGGAAACGCAATCAAGATGAGAATTAAATGATTAGTTATCATTAATTTTATCTTAAGGTCAACTTGAGGTCCATTTGGATCTTGCAATTAACTTGATTGAGTTGATTTCTGCTGCTAAATTGTCTACTTGCTAAGAAACAAAAGCTCAAGTAGTAACACGAAAAGTGATTTTATCCGAGACTATTACTAGAATATTGTATTGATTGTTCAGAATATCCAATGATGCAGAAATCAAAGTAAACAAGATTCGTTTGATTAGATTACTAATTGAAGGATATGAAGCAAAATGAGAAATCAATGGATAGAAAATTGTGATAAAAGTAAAAGTATCAAAGAGGCAAATATTGAAAAATTGAATGAAGCGATCGGAACATCAGGAAATCAACTAAACGCCGATGGATTAATCAATATTCATGAATAGAAACATGAATTTGATCAAAGATTAGCAAGAATCGAATGTGAGTTAAATGATCTTACCAGGAGTAAGTAAACTTGAATCGATTTGAGAATTATCTCCATTTTCTCTTTGTAAAGTGGCAAAGGCAACGACATGAGACCAAAAGGAACATCGAACTGTTTCCTTGTCATTAGCTCGAGCATGACTCCAAATCCTTTCGATAAGATCACAGAGAGATGCGATTAACGTGTTTTCTTCCATATCTTCCGGTGATCCAACGCCTGGGTGAGAGAGAGAGAGAGAGAGAGATTTATTAGTGATTTGGTTGGAGCGGATTCTAAGGAGAAGATATTCAATAGAGAAACGAAGTAAGAACCTAATGGAGCGATTTCTTCGTTGCCCATTTTGGCTAAAAGTATTCGTTTGGTTCGTATCTTAACATCTCGTAATAAAACATCAACGACTTTCCAATTAGTTTGTGCAGCTAAAGCAGTTGGAACTCGAAATGGACTAGAAAGCAAATCATTCGAGTTGTTATTGTTATTGTTGTTCGATTGTGAATTATCATCATCACCACTTTCACTTGTATTGCGACTTCGGCGAAGAGAACTTGTTTCATTGGCAGGAGTTCGAGGTCGACGACGTCTCATCGGCGAAGCCAATAATCGACTATTACTAAGCCCAAGATCATTCGAAGGTGTAATCAATGGGTCAATTATAACTTCGGTGAAAGGGATCTCATGTGCATTGTTAAATTTACTCTCCAAATCAGGGTCACCCAATAAAACGGGCTCGTCAACTTCCTCAGAACCATACGAAGAGGCCACCAAAAGGGACTGTTGACTCGAGTAAACGTTTCCTTGCTTTGATTTGTGCATTTTTTTGACACTGTCGTCGATAAAACTAACAAACATTTGAGTCTTCAGAAATTTGGCCAGAAAATTTCTCATCGAATCGGGTTGATCACAGAGGTAAGAGACAGAATCAAAGGTAACGGACTCTTTTCGAGTTGAAGCCGTGACAATAAACTTTTCATGGTTCGTTAAAATATTTTTTTTAATACACTTTAAGAATGCAATTCTTAATGACTGGTTGAGCTTTAAATCATCCAAATAAGTAAACTCACAAGGTGAATTGGTTGATTTTAATTTAACAGGTAAAGGTAGAGATGGAAGTGGAAAAGTGGCCTCAGTTAATTTTGCAGGTGAAGGTGAGATTGATAAGGAATTTGTTTCATGAGAAAAATTGATCAACCCAGATAATCGAGGTTCAGATGATAAGATTGATTCAATCTCCATTTTAACCTCTTCGATAAATGGAGGTATCTCAGTTAGAAGATCATCTTCAAGTGAACCATTTTCATCGTAAAAATAATCAATCTTTCCCGAATCACAATCGATTTTACATTGAATGCTACTGGCCATAGAACCAGTAAAAGTGGACGAAATGTTGACCGCATCCTTACTGCTACTATTGATTCCCATAATGTATGGTGTTGGTGCATCAAGGAAGTGCAAACCCAATTTGGTTGGTAAAATGGGGACATAAACGTGTTGCCAGGAGAATGGAAGAAGAAGTGAAGTTAAGGCTTCAGCGACCATCATCAGTTTGTAATAACTTTCCGAAATAATTAGTAACTGGTACTCGAGTAGAGTTGCAATAAAGGCATTTAGAAATTGTTCCGGTGTCAATATCTCGATAAACAACTGACGTAACGGATAATCAAACAGCGGAAACGATGAAAGGCCTCGATAAATGTAAATCTCCTCATGTAAACAATTCAAACCATTTCCAGGTCCAATATATTTCATCTGATCTTCCAATTGATTAGCCGATTGATTCTGTTGTTGGGGTTGAGGTTGATGAGAATTCTGATAACAGCCAATATATCGGCTCTTTGGTAGTTTTAATTTGATACATTTCCCTCTACTTGGCATCTTAAGGTCACAAATACTTTGGACTACATTGAGACTACAATTGTTTTCATAAATGTAGAGTAATAGTTTTCTCATGGCAGCAACAAACGGTAAACTGGTCAGGAAACAAAGCGCTTTGTTTATATAACGATCATTATCTTCACCAGATTTAAATCGTTCCCAAATGGTTAAGGTTGATCCATATACTCGGGAACCATTTTGTTTAGTAATTAAAAATGAATGGAAAGAGGGTTGAAGACGATTAGAACTTATCTCTCCACCATTGGGTAAACAAAACAATGTCAACGAGCTTTCATCAATATCATCAATGATCGTCACTTGATTAGTGTTAAATTTTTGTGAATCACTTGAATTATTTGAATGTTGTTGTTGTTGAGATGATGATTTATTATCTGTCGATGATGAGTTTGTTTCCAATGAAACAGAATCATTTGTATTACCAAGAGGTGGAAAATATTTGGTAACAACCAGAATTTTTCGTCTATCTTTTTCTGAGGGTTTCAAGATGAGAAAACATTTGATCAACTTTTGTCTCTCCTTCTTTTTAGTTGAAGACATAATCAATTAGATATCAGGAGAATCAACAATCAGAATGAACAAGGAAAACTGAAACAATCTCAGTGAAAATCATGGTGGTAAACAAAGGGTAACAATGGTGGACACAAGTGAAAAGCTATAGTAAAGGTGACATGTTGAATCCATTGGTTGATCCAATCAACTGTTCACCAAACAAGAAGCATCAACTTGCTGATGGTTCCAATTTTGAAAGTATTTAGACGATGATGTTTTTAGAGAAATTAGTTAATTGTTAACAATCAAGACGATGGAAAATTGAATCAGTGTTAATTGGAAGGAAAATGAAAATCAAGACTGTTGTTTGATTCTCACATGAAGAAAATGTTGTTTACTGAACAACCAAAACATTGGAGAGCAAATGACAACTTGAAGCTCCTCCCAATCGATTTCAAGTTAATCTTTTACTTCTCAGGTAACAATCAGCAACAATTAATATAATGATAGTAAACGATCAATTAATTGGCACGTAAAGGTCAAAGAATAGAGTAACAATTGATTTTGGAAATTAGCTTTTAATCAATATAATTGTGACTGTTTCGCCAACTGAACATAATGATAATCAAGGGAAAAGTGATTTGGTTTACATTAATTATTAATTTGTCTGCAATAATTTTCAAGAGATTCTTGACAATCAGCAATCAACTCAGATTGATTAAGATAGAGAGTTGATTTCCGTGATTAGGTTGATTCTAAAAAGAGAAACTTATCTGAATGTAATCAATTTTTTCCGTTTAATAATCAATGAAATTGCTCGTTACGATTTCATCAACGGCTCTGAACGAGAAAATGGCCTTTCGATTTTGGATTTGGACTTTGGATCGAATCGGGGTTTCTCCAGTATTTGTCTTGAGATAATCTCTTATAATTTTAATCTTAATTTTCCAATAAGCAATTAAAATAAGATAAATGGATCATTTGTTTTTCTCATTCGAATGGAACAAAGAAAAAAAATAAGAACAATCAAATTAAATCAATGATGAAAAATGTATTCCAACGAGTGATTAACTGATTAATTTAGGGAAAATGATGATAATCAATTGATGTTTGAGTCGATAACAAAAGGACAGATTCTGGTCAACGAAACATTGGATCAAATAATCACAATTAGTCAATTTGGAAATCAATTATTGAGACAATTGAGTTAACCAGTGAAGACTTTAATTGTTGATTAGTTTAAATTTTTATGATTATGTTTGGCATCTTTGCGAATTAGTCAAGGATTGAAAATCTCTAAATTCACTGAGTCACATGATTAAAAGAAAATCAGTTAATTGATATTTGATTAATGGAATTGTCACTTGAATAATAAGTGGAAATTGTTGATTGTGTGAGTTTAAAGTGATAAAATGGTTAAGAAAAGAAAATCGAAGATGAAAATAATGAATATTCCATCAAATAATTAAGTATATTGTTTGTTTCTCTCTCAGAATCAACTGATCAGCTGATGGAAGATTAGACAATAGATTCAGATGAACGTTCACTATTTTCCTCTTCTCCATCTTCTTCCCTTTCGTCATCCGAAGTGATAACATCATCACCATCGATTTCATCCTCATCCCCTGGTAAATCATTTTCTTGATCCATTGAGACCAAAGATGAACTGTACTGCCCATTGAATTGACCATCGCCATAATGTTCAACCTCATCTCCATTGACGATCACATTGAGAGCCTTTTTGTATTCAGAGATCGATTGTTTCAGAGCATTTAATTGGGACAAAAGCGACATGTCCAATTGTCGTAAACCAACCTGATTATTGTCGATAAAACATAAAGGCTAAAATAGTATATAAATTAGTTAAATCAATCGCAATTAGAGAGGAAATAATCACAAGAGAATCAAGAAAACAACAACTTACCATTTCTCTTCTTAATTTCATCAATTCTTCATCGAGTTTATTGTTACATCCATAGGTAAATGATCCTCTTCCTTTTCCTTGGGTTGATTTATCATCGTTTTCATTTAAATTCTGATCATTGGAAGTTAATGATTTAGGTGGAGGTGGAATTTTATCCATGATCAATTTAAATCTAAAATATTGAAAGAATCAAATTAGATTGAGTAACAATAACAAGGAAAAAGCAAAACAACAACAAAGTGACTCATCTCTCATTCAGAGATTCAATTTAAAGGTCCACTCGGTTTACTATCAATGAGTCTACAGGGTGTCGAGAGATTAACAATCAACTCTCAGTTGGATGCGCATTGACAATTTACTTATTTTTCAAATTTCCAATGAGTTTGGAACAAATAATCAAATGTTTCAATCGTTTCAACAATCAAAGTTTAGTTCGTTTTTCCAACTTGTAAATTAATATGAATAGCCTAAAATTCAATAATTTAAACGTTTAATCGTATAATCAGTTGATTGGTAAAATTATTATATCGATACGTGTGTGCGTGTATATCATTTACAAACAAAATATTTGTGTGAAAAAAAAACAGTTTCAAGATTTACAAATAAGTCGAGACTGGGGAAGCCGATAAATTGATTAAGAATTGAGGATAATCAGCTAATTAGATTTACATGATTGGCGTGATTTTGGTTTTTACATTGCAAAAGGGTTTCAACAAGATCAGCAGTGATGATTGTGTCAAACTAAAGGACAAGTAAATTGTATTGGTCTATACAGAAAGAAGGTGTTAAATTGTTTTGAGGAAAGCTCAGTGGTTAATTAGGTAAGATGATTTAAAAGAGACCACAGTCTTTGAGATTATTTTTGATAATTACATCAGTGACTGCATCGAAAACGAATTGAATATTATTGGTGTCAGTGGCACAGGTCAAATGTGTATAGATTTCCTTTAATCCTTTTCTCTTGTTAAGATTTTCAAATTTCATCTGAATATAAGCAGCAGCTTCTTCATAAGTATTGGAACCTCGATATTCAGGGAAACAAACGGTGATCGGTGAACGTTTAATCTTCTCCTCGAATAAATCTTTCTTATTCAAGAATAAGATGATAGCAGTATCATTGAACCATTTGTTGTTACAAATTGAGTCGAATAGTTTCATACTTTCAACCATACGATTCTTTAAATGAGAAAAAAATTAATGAGACAACAAAGAAACACAATAGATAGAATACTAAATGTACAATTAGTACAATCAATACTCACCACTTCTTCATCTTCAGCGAGCACAAGATCGTAACCAGCGAGAGAAACGCAGAAAATGATCGCTGTAACTCCTTCAAAGCAATGGATCCACTTTTTCCTTTCACTTCTTTGTCCACCGACATCAACCATTTTGAATTTTAATCCTTTAAAGGTAAACTGAGTTTCCACAATACCAGTTGTTATAACACGAGTCCGGAGGACATCTTGTTGAGTGGGAATATAATTAGGTTGAGATATTCTATCCAAGGAATTTAAGTAACTGTGGAAGAGAGAAAACAAAATAAAAGATTCGGTTAATGATCAACAAGTAACAAAACTCTCAGAGAGAGAGAGAGAGAGAGAGAGAGAGAGAGTTAAACATTACTATTTAGCTGAATCGTTAAGTTGATATTCGCGAGATCTAGCGAAACACTTTTGAATTCCGTCATCTCTCCATAATCGATGCATTATGATAGCCAAATCAGGGGTAATTATATTCTCTCGAGAAGAGATAAATTGGAAAAATTTTCTGGCATCTTGTTCCCTGGAAAGATCACCATAATCAATCTTAAGCATTCTCATAGCCTTGATAATGGCAGCTAAACTTTGAATAGTATTAGAATGAACAACGGGTCGGTGTTGAATACATTCCTCCTGAGAATAACCCTGTTCATGGATGATTCTCATCTGTTTGACAATAGTACTTTTACCAGATTCACCGGCACCTTGAAATGGATGAAATAAAAAGAAAATGAGAAAAGAAACATTTTTAATCAAAATGGAAACATAAAGATTCCAGAGTAAAGAAGAAAAAGCCAAAACGAAGATTAAAGATCAATTTAAGTAAAAGAGACGGACAAAGAAGTGGTTAGTGATGGGTAGTAACAAGAAGAAGATACCAGAGAAAAAAAAGAAGAGGAAAGAAAGAAAGATAAAGAAAGATGAAAAAGAAGAGAAAAACTTTTATTCTTTTCTTACCTAAAAGCAAAAGCTTAACTTCTTTTGCTTGGTTCGCCATTTCACTTCGCAAGTCACGGTCGATCTTACGACTTCTCTCAATGGCAACTTTATCTTCGGCACTGATGGCACATCCCATGATTGATTAGTTTTCAAAAGAACAATTAAAATTAATTAAATGAATTAAAAGCAACACAATTAAAATCGCACTAAAACTTAAACCAAACAACCAAATTAAAAGTTAACGTCTCATTCCAGTGATCTGATTGGCCGAAACTCGAATGAGATCAGCGCCATCTGGTAGTTAGAATTTTAACTTTTCTTCATTTTCAGAAATTTTTTTTTCTATTCAAGAAAATAAATTAACTAACCATTGATGAAGATAATTAGAAGACAATTAATCATCGTTGGTCTATGTTTGCGTCCATCTTTCTAATTAAATTGTGACTTATAGTGAACAACATTTTCTGGTCGGTTGGTTGTTTCAAATCTCGTTAATTAAAAGGTTTCCCTCATTATTGAAATTAAACAATGGTGGTAAGTTGTAAAACGCTGAAATTAATTGATACCTGCTCTTTATTTCAAGTTAGAGATTAGGTTAAGGTATTAGATAAGTTTGTGAAATCATCGTGAATGGTATGATCAGTGGTCATTTAAAGATAAATAGGTGATGATATGATATCCAGGAAAAAAGGAAACCGGAAAATAAGTATATCGGTGGAGGGTAAATATGTCAAGAGAGAAAATCCAGTTGAACTTCCTAGTAAGTTTATCCGTTAATCTTTACCTTTTTTGTATTGTTCTCATTTAGATTAATCATTTTGTTTCTTTCCAATAGTTACCAATGTATGGACCAATTTTACTCGTCAAGATATTAAGAAGAAAGAAAAATCTGGTGAAGGGGATTGTGATGTTACCGATTCTCAGCCCAAGACTTTAACCGAAAAATGTGCTCGAGCTCAACAAGTTAAAGACTTTCAGAACAAATTTAAACCTAATTATGGTCCTTCAAGCTCAAATGTCTGTGGTATTATGTGTACTACTAGTGCAATTAATCTTAGCAATCTCGGTAAGATTTACGTTGCTATGGAAGATTAATTTATGTGTATTAGATGAAATTTGATTGACTTTTAATGTTTTTCTTTTGCTCTTGATTTATTTTCATCAACAGGATCTTATCAGAATTTGCATCACCAGCAACCACATCATGCATCAAATTTTTATGGAAACCGGGTAATGTCTCATGGAAGCTTAGAAACGCGAAATCATGATAATATCGGTGCTTTTGGGACCACATTTCGTGGTTATCAGTCAGCTGTTGTCTTTCCTGGTGTGGCCAGAATGTTTTCACAGAATCATGGTATTCCAATGGAAACCAATTTAAATAGTAACTCGCACAGTCAAATCTCATTGGCATCTCAAAATAGTTCCTTTAGACAATATTGTGAAGATTTACCTCCAGGCTGGTCAACTGATTTCACCATGAGAGGTCGAAAGTATTATATTGACCATAATACAAAGACAACCCATTGGTCTCATCCCTTAGAGAAAGAGGGTTTACCAACAGGTTGGGAGAGGGTTGAATCTTCTGTCCATGGATCTTATTATGTTAATCATATCACTGGTCGAGCTCAATATGAACACCCTTGTGCCAATCAATACGGTGCCTTACAAATTGTTAATAGAGAAACTATTCGTGATCATCAACAATCATTGCCTCTTCCTAAACCTTCAATCCATCAACACAATGTTTGGGTCCCAGGTAATCCCTACCTCACCGAAGAAATACCAAAGTGGCTTTTTGTATATTCCCGAGCACCTCTTGAATTAGATCACTTGTTAAAGGTAATCATTAGAAAATTTCTCTTCTCATTCTCTGTATCTGTCAATCTTAATATTAAGTTTTATCGTTTTCTTTTCCCTCATCTCTCAATCTCAATCTCAATCTCTTTCTCTCTCTCTCTCTCTCTCTATTTTCATACAGTTTGAACTTTTTGACCTCCATGAACTTCAAGCCTACGAAGCCATGATAAATTTACTCTATCGTCAAGAATTGGAAGAAATTGTCATGGCTTTTGAAGCATATCGACGAAAATTACAAAGAGAAATCGATAATAGAGAACGAAAAGATTTTAAAGATAGGATTCGAGAAAGACAATTAGAGTCAATTCAAATTTCGGACAATTCCAATTCATCTGTTACCACTGTTATAACTAATTTATGACCACTGATCGACCTCGCAACCAAAACAGATAATTATTTTTCATTTCATCAAATTTCTCATCATCACCATCATCATCTTCACATACTCGGTTTTGATAGATTTGAGAATCTTTTTTTTTATCGTTCCTATCCCTTTTTTACATGTTCCTCTTAATTGGTTCCTCCTTGTTTTTTTTTACACAATTAACAAAATAATTACCTGTATCAATTAAATCGTTATTCTACTTTACGTCCTTGAATCTGATTTCATTTGATTAGCGTCTCAATGTCATGTCACCTTAATCATCATATGTTGTATCTTTTTCTTTAATAACAGAAAATTGCTCTCAAAGTGAAAGCAAATCTTGAGAATGTCACCAATCTGAAACCAGCTAATGATGATTTCGAATGGACAATCAAGGTGAGAATTTAAGATGATTGTTTCCAGCGAAAGTTAATCATCTCTTTTTTTTTCGAACAACAAAAAAACAGATTAAGTGTAACAACTGTAACGAATCTTCAGACAAATGGCATAGCCTAACAATCAAGGTAATTGATTAAATTGTCTACTGATGATTATGTTAATTTCTTTGAAATTTTGTTTCTAATTAAGTTTTTCTTTCTACCACACAGGAAACATACGAATTAAAAGGTGGACGTGGTGACGCTCATTTCGTTTACAAATGTAAATTTTGTTCTAATCAATCATCGATATGTAAGTGATCACTTGATTATCGTCGATTGATTTTCATATTTAACCGATTTTGTTTCTTTATGTTTTCTTTCTGTTTTCTCCTTAAGTGATTCTACCTGAAACTATCCAAAGTTATTCTGATGATGATAGTCCGAAATTAAAGACTATGGTTGTATTTGATTGTCGAGGAATCGAACCGATTGAGTATCAACCAAGAGATGGTTTCGTTTGTCAAGGAATTGAAAGTGGTCGCGTTTTCTCATCGGTTGAATTTCAAGACAATGAATGGGTCGATTACGATGATAAAGCTAATCAATCAGTGGGAATTTACGAATTTGAGTCAAAATTTGAACGAAGTTAAACATCTTGAAAGAGAAAACCCAAACAATTAAAATTGAATAACAACTAATAAGAGAAAACAAAATACTGAATAACATGAAAGAAAAACTTTGAAATGTATAAATAAATTCGAGAGTTTTAGTTTTTATTCATAATCGTAATGAACAATTTGATGAGCCGATAAATGAACTATCGGTAAAATCATAGTGTAAATAATAATGAACATGAATTTTCTTGATTCCAATGAAAATGATTTTACTGGAAATCTCACTTTTTAAACCTTAACCAAATTGAGAATTAAATTTCTTTAAATTAGATTCTTCAAGAGTTAAACTTATCAGAATCAGGAAGTATCATGTTCACAGAATTATTAAAATAAAAGGATGATAAAGAGAAAGAGAGAGAAAGGAAATCAGATGAGATTGCAAGAAAAGATACAGAATAAGAGTTAATTAAGTTGATTAACTTGATTAACCGTAAACGAGAAAAACCAGAATTTAACATATGCAATTAGTTAAAAATCCCTAAAATCTTCAAGAGTTTTGTTTATCAAATGTGAAGATTAGTTTTGTCTTCATTTCATTTTATTGATATTTTGCTGTCACTTAGATTAATTACCTGGAGAAATTGTATTTCTTATTGTCAATAATCATCACCTAATTCACAATAATACTTCAAATTCAAGGTAAGTATCAGAATTTTCAACTAAACTGTATGATCACCTTTTCGTTTATTTCACCTGATGAAATGTTACTTCCTATATGTTAATAGAAACTGTTAGTCTTTTATTGACTTGAAGTATTTTTTTTTCTTCCAACAACTTGATCAGTTTTGCTCTTCCTTGTTTCTCATTTTCTCCTCTTCCTAATCTGATTATTCACAATTTAACTTGATTGCTGATTTATCCTTAACCTCTTGATACTCAACTTGCCTTTTGAATCAATAGTTTACACTGAAAGGTTTCATCATCTCCAATTGGGATGGCCTATTGTTCAAATTTTTAATATTCTATTTTTTTGTTCTTATTAATTTCTGTTTACAGAAAGTGTTTTGTGTAAATTTACTTCATTCTTTTATCATGATGGCGAATCTTGTGCCGATTTTGTGTATCCTAATTATCACGATATGTAAGTATTTGTTTCCATTGTTTGCCTTTGTATTCTATTCTTTCAACCCTTTAACTTTTGTGTATCTCTATTTGAAGGCCACATTGACGGTAAACCAACTGAGTCTGTTGTCTCATCTTGTACTTCTTGTGAGAGATTAACTCAAATTTCGAAAAAATTTCATGACTTATTGAGTATCAAAGAGGTTCGTGATAGTATTACTGAATATTCTGGTCCTCTGGGAACCTGTACTGATAACGATGAAGTGGTTACTAGTCCACCAGCCGAACAAGAGGAAACCGTCGATCCTGAGTGTATGTTGTGTAAACGAGTATTTGAACAAATCTATGCCTATTTACAAGAGAACCGCACCCAAGAAGCAATTGAAGATGCTTTAGATAAAGTTTGTGATGAACTGTTTCCATCTTCAAAGAAAAAATCTTGTCGTAAATTTATCGACTCTTACACAGCTCAGATAATTGATATTGTTCTTCAAACAACCGATCCCAAAGAAGCTTGTATCATCCTCGGTGTCTGTAAGCCAAGGAAACAAGTTGAATACTCTTCTGATTCCCGTGAAGAAGTTGAAGAGATTGTCGAAGTCATTCCATTAACACTTCTTGGACCAAAAGCCGAAAAGATGAAGAAGATGACATCTAAAGATGAATGTGACCGCTGTGATCGAATCCTATCAATTATTGGTAAATATTTTCCCGATCAAACCTTGACCAAAGAAGATGAGAAAATGTCAGAGAAGAATAATTCTACTCGAAACAATTCCGTTGAACTTAATCATGAAGTCGAAGGTAAACCTCGATTGGCTTGTGCTGAATGTTTAGTTTTCGCCAAAGAAATTCAAACTAAATTGTACGATCACAAAACCGAAGAAGAGGTGACAAAGTTCATCACCAATGGACTTTGTCTTCATTTTCCAAACAAAGAAATCAAAGAATCATGTAAATATTTTGTCACCGAATATGGAGAATCGGCTATGCAAATGATTGCGTTGAAAATATTCGATCCCCACACATTTTGTTCAAAAGAATTGAGAGTTTGCTCGAAAGTACAATCATCTCATGAGAGTGAAATTGAATCACCTTCATCCGAATTTGATTTCATCGATAAAAAGATTGAAGAAACTTGCAGTCTTTGTGTCGATATGATCCAAAAGATGGAATCACAAAAAGACGGAGATGAAAAGGCCAAAACGATCTGCTCACAATACAAACAAACCGAGAAAAATGCAAAGGTAATCAAATGAATAATTAATCAAATTTTCGACAGCTAATCAACTCCATTGTTTCCTTATAGTGTATTGACATTGCCGATGCTTTTGGTAAACATTTTGAAAAAATGATCGGCTTCGATTCTGCTGAAAAGATTTGCAAGACTGTCGATCTCTGTTACACTAGTGCCCACAGTCACCTTCTTGGTGGACAAAAGTGCAGCTTCGGACCATCTTATTGGTGTAACACCAAAGCTCACGCCGATGCTTGTAAAGTAAGTGCAACAATTAAATTGTCTCGATTAATGATCAACAAATTCTAATGTTTCGTTTTCGATTTTTTTTTGTTTTTCTTTTCTAGGCCGTTGATTTCTGTCGTAAAAAGGTTTGGATACCAATTGAATAATCTTTTTGGATTCGAATTAATTTTTTCAGTCAACAAGTTAATCAACAATTAGCTGATTATGCTCTCTCTTTTCTTCCACCGAAAATCCTACTTAGCTAATTTACAAAAGAGCAATAATAATTTTCCTCAACAATTAATCAACAATATTATTCCGTCTCTGCATTTGTATTCTTGTTTAATCTAAAAAATCAAATTATCTCTGATATTTGCAACTAAAAACAATTAATTTTATGTAAGCTTGATGATTGATACTCAAACCACAATTTGTTCATCATCTTAACAATTAATCTTAAATAAATAAGAATAACTTGAAATCTTCAATTCATTTCTATGGTGATTGAGTGATTAGTGATTATTAGTATTTGATTGAAATCCAAATCAAATCTTGAACAATACTGATAATTGTAATTAGAGAACAGAAAATACAATAACTTTTTTTTTGTTGGAAATTAAATTTGCTTTTTATTCAATATGATTAATTGTGATCGGTTCAGATTTTAAATCATAATTTTGATCAGCGAGTCAAATATAGTCCATTAATTAAATGAATTATCTACTCTCATTTTCGCCTTTATATCATCACAACCGAAACTTAATCAATTTTTCTCAATTCAAATTAATCTAACAATCCCTGACACAGTAATTAAGTGAAAAAAAATTCTAAGATAAAATTAAGTAAGTTACAATTTGAATTGAGGAAAATGATTAAGCTTTTAAAGCCTAATAATTAGGATTCTCTCAGATTGAAAACTTTTCATTTTGTTTCGATAATCATTTGGTTGTGGGTCAATGTATTGCACAATTAACTCCATCAAGAAACGATTTAATCATCATTGAGATTAATTATTAGATTTTGTGATGATCGATTGTTACATGATTTGGAAAACAATTACTCGTCGTGCAAAGTTGATTTATTTCCAATTAATAAAAAGTTGATTAAGTGAATTAAGAACAGTTGAAAATGAATGTTTTGGCCATGGGATTGATCATAAAATGATCAAATGATTTTTTTGATTGTTAAGAAGCAACTTGGATTACACTTCAGCTCCTGTTAATCTGATGAATTTACCAGCAAACACAACGAGGAATCCTTCATCTTGAAGGTCTTTGAGTGCATCTTCAAACATTTCTCGAGTAATTAAAACATCTGAATTTGATTTTAATTCTTGGTAAATTGAGTTTGAACCAAATTGATGATGATCTTGACTCGACAAGGAGACACTTTTGCTCATTAGCAATTCTTTCAAAGTCTTTGCGATGACCGCACGTTTCTTACGGATGGAAGCACTCATACCAGTGGTCAAGATGGAAACATCAATTTTACCGGAAATCGGATCAGTGGCTGATTGTTTAATAGCCTCTCGGTGAAGTCTCTTCGCTTCTTCAACGTCATCTAAAGTAACCACATTAGATAATCGCACCTTAGCGTGAGCTTCAGCTAAACGAATCAAAGCTTCCAACTGACGAGGATAAGCACTGACCATTCCTTTGCCGATTCCTGCTTTTCGCATCTCCACATAAGAATGAACCAAAGCGCTTTTTGCTTCACTGGACAATTTGGGGAAACAATGATTTCGAGCATAACTTATGTAATCTCGAATAATTCCAATATCAAGATGTTCTTGTTCCTCTTCCTCTGGAGATCGATAGTAAAGAGAAACCAAGTGACGAGCAAGTCGACGATCGTAACTTTCATCTTGAGGGTCAAGTAAAAGGAAGATTAGATCAAATCTGGACATAAGAGTATGAGGTAATTGAATGTTTTCAATAATCGTCTTATTTTTATTCCATTGGGATTCAACTGGATTAGCAGCAGCAAGAATTGAGGTTCGAGCGTTTAACTGGCAAACAATACCCGCTTTAGCGATTGAAAGAGTTTGTTGCTCCATAACTTCATGTAAAACTGATCGAGTAGAATCACTCATTTTATCAAATTCATCGATACAACATATTCCACCATCGGATAAAACAAGAGCACCAGTTTGTAGAACCAATTGATTCGTGTCCGTGTCTTTAGTAACATAGGCTGTTAAACCAACGGCCGAAGATCCTTTACCACTGGTGTATTGTCCTCGAGGAACAAGGGCATAGACATATTGAAGAAGTTGCGATTTACTTGTACCAGGATCACCACAGAGAAGAATATTGATCTCAGATCGAAAATGTTTTTGCTTGCTATTAACGTTAATACTTTCACCTTTGTGAGTACCACCGAATAATTGTAAAAGAATACCCTTCTTAATGTCCATGTGTTCATAGATACTCGGTGCAAGAGCATGAGCTAACCTTTCGTAGATATCGGGCAAAGTTGACAATTGTTTTATCTTATCCACTCGTTCAGGAGTAAATTTAAATTTAGCATCATGGGAATGTAGACGATTTTTTTCATATTTCCGGAAATGAACAGCATCAACGTGAGTTCTAAAGGTTGACTTTTGACTTCGCTGACGGGGATTTGATCGGATAGCTGTTGCTCTGTAAATTCCAGTGACTGTCACCCGATCACCAGGTTGAACAGCGTCAACAAGATCAGCACAAGCATAAACCAGAACGGTGTATGGAGTTTGCCCTGCAGGCATTTCATCGGGAGATTCTTGAACCTTAATCTGTTGTTTATCCATAAATTCACACATATTGTGAACCAATTGATAAGAGTATTTAGTATTACAATGTGTACAAAGAGTTGGCTCTGGGATTCGGCCACGATCAACCTCAACAGAGCTGGTAGATTGGCAAATAGAACAAGCGAAAAAAGCAGTTCTCATTTCCGGAATCAAATTAGAAACTCTAGTAACCATACCATTAATGGTTTTAAGTTGATTGATGTCCTCTGGATTCAATGATCTTAGACTATCCTTTTTGATAACATTATAAGGCCTAACGTTGATTGGATCAGTTAGTTGAGCAGAAGGATACAACTCAAAGAACAATTCATTAACAGCCATATCAAAAGCTGGAATAACTTCCTGTGGATAACTGACCAATTGACGATATAATTCAGTATCAAACTGGTGAATGTGAGCACAATTAACATCAAGGAATGGATATTCACCAAGAGCATAAATATCTTCCAATTTAATCAGATACAAAGATTTAGCCGAAAGCTCATCACCCTTACCAGCATCAGCGATCAAATCTAATTCTTCGGGTTCAAGAGATTCCTGGTCCAATTCATCCCACATTAGGAATTTCTTAAATTTATCCTTACAAACCGAGATGGAAACATCAGTTCCCCAAATAACAATCTGAGGATTAACAGTTTGACTCATATGAGAACTCGCTTGACTCGAAGAGCCCACAAGATCGGGCATAATATTTTCATCGGAAGCAGCATTAAAATCCATAAACCGAAGCTTGAAATCCGAAGAAATATCAGGTCTTCGGACAAAACTCGATTCAAGAGAATTCATAGACATGATGGTTAACTAGAAATTAACGAACTTTAATCAAAAGAAATTAAAAAACCGAAGCAAAAATTAAAAGGACAAAACCAACAGACAATTTAAACAATGGAAACAAAATGAAGTCTTTTAAACACAAAAGCGTCAAGATGTTGGCGGGAAGAGTTTCGATTGTATCGAAATCCCTTTTCGATACAATCACTTTTCTCGAAAATTAATTTTGTAGAATTTAATTTAATTGCAATTAAAATGAATTTCGACTGTACTTTTAATTTCCAATTTGATTGAGCTTTAATTAATTTACAAATTTAAAGCGTAACACAGATGAAATTAGATAAATATACAACTTTAAATACAATATTGGGTTAAAAAGGTTTAGTTTGTTTTTGTACAAAAAAAATAACATTTTCCAAGATGCTTTGATTAGTAAATTGTTGCAGTTTTAATTGATTTGGACGAGTAATTTAATCCTCTTCTGAACTGGAATCAGATAGTTGAAGTGTTTCCGTTGTGATTTTTGTTCGAGGTTTTTTACTTTTACTTGCACCATTATTTTTATTCTTATTATCAGGTTTGCTTTTCTTTTTTTGATTGATTTGTCTTGATTGTTGTTGTTGTTGTGATTGTTGATTGATTGTTGATCGACCTTTTTTCCTTTGGTTTTTAACCTTCTCCCGTAATTTGCTCATTCCTGGTCGATCGGTTTGTGCTGCTTCAACTGTTGGCTCACTCAAACCCGACATTTTATTGACTGCATTAGCCAATCGTTTGGACCCATAGGCCATTTTATTATTGTTAGAACGAAGTTGGATAAATTGGTCGATTCGTAGTTGATTTTGTTTTTCGTTTAATTTTTTGATTATTGGAATTAAGGTCGAATCGATTTTCTCTTTAGACCATCGCATCTTTTCAGCAGCATATCGTCTAAGTAGATCGAGATCCGGCATTCCCCATGAAAATTTCTCTGCTGAATCCAAGACAATCGGTGAAATAAATGCCTTGTAAACTAAATCACTTGGAAAATTATCACTTAGATTAAGTTTCAAAAGATGTGATCGCAATTTATTTCCAGGCGATTTGTCGTTTCCCTTTTTCTTGCTTCTCCACCAATCGGCGAATGATCGAAGACGCTCAATCCCTTTACCAGGAAATTCACTCAAAATTTCTGTCGCTTTAACAGTTCCAACACCTTCGACACCATCAGTGTAATCACATCCTGTTAACATCGCAACACAGATCATTGTGTCTCGATCTAATTTAAGCTTTTTTTCAATGTCACTTATTCTATACATTTCTACATATTTGCTTTGATTGAAGAAATTTTTAAAAACCGTTTTGCCACCGAAAAGCCAAACATCACTGTCATCAGTTATGGTTCCATGGGTTAAACCTTGAATTTCAAGTGTTGCACATTGAGCTTCGGCTTCCATTGGTGACATTACATAGGGAATACCAAACATTGATAATAATTCACGGCAATCGGCGATCATATTTTGGGCGACAGTTGATGTCTGCCTTTCGGCCTTTTTACAATCCCTGATCTGTTCATTTATCTCATCGGTTCGATCCAGCGATTTGAGTACTTTGATTGGTGTTACCAAAGGCGAGACTGTAGGTTTAGATGGTGTTCTCATCATTGGAGTCTTTGGTGTGGTTGGTGTTTTAGGTGTCACTGGTGATTTAGTTATAATTGGTGTTTTAGGAGTTGTTGGTGTAGTTGGTGCTTGAGGTACTGGTTTTGGTGATGGTTTGGGTGTCGGGGTATTTGGTTCAATCTTTGAGCTTTGAATCGGAGATACGTGACTAGGAATTGTTTTAATCGGGGATTTACTCAACGTTGGTGTATCGATTTCAGCGAAATGATGACTTTTTATAACTGGAGTTTCAGGTTCGTCCAAAACTTCAACATCTTCAGATGGTTTTGTTTTTTTCACTGGTGTTACAATCTCCTTTTCGATGACCAAATCAGAATCATCTGAATCAATTTCATCTCCTAAATCAATATTTTCCTCTTGGGGTGAGTTTGTCTTCTTTAACTTTGTAAAATAAGAAAGGACACTTTCAACGGGTTTAGGAGATTTTTTCGAAGAGGGTGAAAATCTATATGATTTCTCAGGAGACTTTGATTTCGTCGATAGATTTGCCATTTGTGATTCAATTCTATCTGCTTCTTTAGAAGTCGACGCAATGGGATTATCAAAATTAATCAGATGAGATTTGTTTGTTTGAAGATTGAATCTTGTCGGAGAAAATCGTGTACTTGATTGATCATTGGGTATAGTTGAACTTGGTTCTGTTACTTTTTTCGGGCTGATGGAACTCGATGGTGAAGGTTGATCTTTAGATGGAGATTCCTCTTCATCAGTTGAACTGTCATCACTCACTTGAATCTCTTCAACTTCAACGAAATCATCTTCAGAGAGACTGTCACTTTCAGAATGGACTACAGATTTGATGGGAGAAAAGTTGGATTCTTTTGATTTGATTGGACTTTTATTTGATTTTGATCGAATTGGTTTGAATTCGATATTGATTGTTGGTCCATCGGACATCTCTTTTCTCAACTTTTCACGAAGGGAAGTTGATCCTTCCTTTTCTACTTCTTCTTTTATTCCAAAATCAAATTCTTCAATGGAAGAGAAAAGATCTCGATAAGCCTTTGCTGGGCGAAAATCTCTTTGGGGCTCTTCTTTTCGTCTTTTAGGCATAAGTAATTTTGGCGATTCGTCTTTAACATCCATTCGTCTTTTATTCAAGTAAACAAAATGAGTAGAATCATCAGACATCACTCTCGAAGCAGTGATTCCTTGATATCCACCATCGGTGTTAGAACTAAAATTAGAAGCTGCGTTGTTGGAAATACTGGTAATCATCTCATTTTGAACTTCTTCCATCTTCTCCTGGATTTTTCTTCTCACGAGAATCCTTTGCATTTGATAACTAGAGAAATCGTCTGTTGCTTTAGGAATATCATCTACTTTATTCAATCTTTTCTTTTTCTCTCTCATATCAGCAAGTAGTTCATGTCGTATCTCCGGTGGTAAATTTTTAAAATCATCTGACTCTGTATCGATAAGCGAAGTGTCTTGTAAATGTCGCAATTTCGGATGAGCAGAGAACTCAAAGTCTTGCCAATCATCTTCAGCTGATTTCTCATTCTTTTCTTTATCATCCTTGATCGGCGATTCTTCAGGAAGAATGAAAATACCACCATCATCCTTGGCTGTCCATTCTTTCAATCCAAAACCGACATCATCAAATCCATTTTCATCATCTTCATCAAATTCAATTTCCTTTGCAATTTATCTGAGATATAAGACTTTAAGACTTTGTTTACGTTGCTCTTAGTCTTGGATAAGATATTTTCTCGTCTTAATCGTCGCTCTTCAATGGTTTGTCGCTTTAGAGCTGGTGCCCCGCCATCAAATACGAAGACAGGTTTGATTTTATGAAATAATAATTTACAGATCCGATTGAATAAACCCAAAAGATGAGCATTTTCAGCAAGAATTCCTCTTTTATCCCTAATACCTTTAATCGATTGATTAATCCATATACTTATATCGACGGCAATTATTTTACCCTCAAGACTTTCCAAACTGATTGGATAACCAGCAGGTTCCAGCAATGTCCAAAGTCCTTTGACTCCCATGAAATCCTGAGCAAATATTGAATAATAGAAAAGTAAAAAAGAAACAAGTTAACAAATTAACAGAGAAGAAATCAATTTACACTTACTTGTTAGTTTAGATTTTCTATTTCACCAAATAAACAATCTTGAGCAATCATAGATTTAATAAAAATAAATGTAACCAGAGAAAAATTCAAGTTAATAATGAAAATAATTGAGATTCACTTGTTTGGTTTAATGACAATCAACTCAAACACCATTGGTGGAAATGGGCGAGTATAAAAGCTGACACAATTATGTTGATTATGTGAACTATAGTGATTAAAAATCATATTTTAATTGATAAAGATCTATAAATATTGACAATTTAAATTAAAGAGAAATTAAAACACAACAATTAAAAGACTTGATGGTAACAAAAGGAAAAGAAAAATAAACAAATATAAATTGAAAGAAGCTCCAATTGGTCACCTGGTGGAAGAAAATGAAACTTTTTTCTCTCGTGACAAATAATTGAAATGGAAATTTAATTGAAATCAAATATTAATTGTGAATAATATTCACTGAATATTATTCTTCAAGTAATAGTGAGAAAATGATGAAATTTATCATTTTCTTGACTAATTACTAAAAGTGATTAGAACAAAAAGATTTTCTCGATCAGCAATATGATCGAGAAATATACCGAATCATTAATAAAGTTTTTACGAAACAAATTCTGATTTAATAACAATTTAGATTCATTTTTATTATTAATAATACGAATTTGGATTCAGTTTTTTCATTTTCACGTGTGTTGGTCTTTCATAAATTGATCCATGAAACCCTTAATCAGAACAGAATCTGTGAAAATCTGTCGCTTACGATGAACAGAATTTTCGTTTGTTGAACAGTAGGAAAGACTGAGAACGATGAAAACCATGAAAACTTGTAAGAAATTGAGATAATTCATGATGATGATGGAATTTATCAGATTGGTAACTCAGAACTTTTATTATCTATTCGTCGGTTTATAGCAACTAAATGAATATCATTTGATTGTTTCGTTTTATATTCTGACGAGATGTTTTCTCACCTTTATTTACCAAAACACTGTTAATGTGCTGAACTCTCAAAAATTACATGATCATTTTATCAAATTAGAATAAAATTGTTAAAGGTTTCGATTGATTTTCATTAAGTTAAGTTTATATTAATACACTGATTGCTAAAGTTATTGATTATTTTATTGTGATCATAGAAAGGAAATTGTTAATTTCTTGAGTATTTAGAGTGCACTTTGTGAATGGTTACATTGATTTTGATGAGATAATTGATTGTAAGTTGCACGAAAAGTTTGCCAATTATTATAAATTTAAGGCTACAAAACGAAAGGCCAAGATGTCAGAGCTATTAAATTGCGACAATTCAATTGATTAAGGCAAAAAGCATTGTAAAAATTAAGAAAATCATGCAGATAGTAATTGTTTATATACAGTTTCTTAATTGTACCTTATTATGTTGGATTATTTTTCTGATAATAAATCAGGTATAAAAAGAGTTCACAGAGCCAAAAGGAAATCAATTGATTCTCATACTGAGTAATTGATTAAGCCTTTGATTCATTGAATTGGACGGTAGTTGATAAGGTTTGATTATCAATTTCACATTGAATGAATACAATTGAGTATCAGATCATTTGAAGAGAGTCAGAGCAACAAAAGCGGAAATTGCGACGATAAAAATGTTTGGATAAGTAGAAGATGATTTGAGCTGTTGAAACAAAAACAGAATAATTAATCAACTTCCCATGTAATTAATTTTTACCCTTAATTAATACTCACAGTTACATAGTAATTACATCTATCACCAGTACAACACTCAACACATTCCCAATCATTGTACCAAATGCGATCACATCGGGATAAGTGTTTCTTATACTGTTGATCACAAATCTCTTTGGAAGCGCATTTCTTGGTAATGTAATATTGTTTCTCTCCACTGGGAGCCCAATAAGGTGTACCTAATATGGATAATTAAAGGGAAACAATTAAAAATCAAGATGAAATCAAATAGAACAAAAAATAAAATAAAATGAGTTGATGGACAAAACCAACGGTCAACTTACTTCCCCATCGGATTTGAGACAAGCACCGATCTTGACCAACGTCACAATTTTTAACTGTTTCCACACATTTATCCTTATTATCTTCTTGATTGGAGCAAACATAACATTCTAGTGAATTAACTGTTGAAACAATTAAAAGCCAAAAACAGAAGCAATCAAATTAAAACCAATGATAAACAATAAATGTAAACACTAAAAAAAACTTACCTTTATTTATACAAAGCAAGAAAAAAGCACAATTGAAAACTATAAATAAATTATTCATTTTGATTAACTTAATCTCCATTGTTGCTGATTGTTGATTAACTAATTGTACCTCCAACTGAGCTAAGGTACATTAATTGAAAAGATTATCTAATTTATGGATTGTTAATTACTCCAATTTACATGTTATATAAGGTGAATACCAAACAATGGGTGTAACTATTGGACCAGGTAAACCAGGTAGGTGAGAGAGAAAGAGGAAGACAAGGTAAGAAAAGAAAGAGAAGATAAAATGAAAAAGAAAGTAAAGAAAGAGGAGACTTTCTTTTTCTTTTAAAATGACCGCAATTTTTAAGACAATCATATCTTCATGTTAACAATTAATTTCAATTAATTAGTTCGTTCGTTTTGTTATCAATTTTTTTTTACTATTCAAATGTGAATATTACTCATTAAGTATCAATAGTAAGAAAGTGTAATTTAAAACTTTTTTGGTTGATTACTAAAAGTGATTAGAACAAAAGATTTTCTCGATCAGCAATATGATCGAGAAATATACCGAATCATTAATAAAGTTTTTACGAAACAAATTCTGATTTAATAACAATTTAAAGTCATTTTTATTAATAAGAATTTAGATTCAGTTTTTTCATTTTAAATTGTGTTAGTCTTTCATAAATTGATCTATGAAACCCTTAACCAGAGCAGAATCTGTGAAAATCTGTCGCTTACGATGAACAGCATGATTCTAAGCAACATCTTGGAACGGCGATTCAAGATTATGGTTCGACAAATTATCCATGTATAACCTACTCAAAGCTCGATTTCCCCAAGGCGATTGTCGCTTATGATAAACAGAAGTTTCTTTTGTTGAACAGTAGGAAAGACTGAGAACGATGAAAACGATGAAAACTTGTAAGAAATTGAGATAATTCATGATGATGATGGAATTTATAAGATTGGTAACTCAGAACTTTTATTATCTATTCGTCGGTTTATAGCAACTAAATGAATATCATTTGATTGTTTCGTTTTATATCCTGACGAGATGTTTTTTCACCTTTATTTACCGAAACACTCGTAATGAGCTGAACGAATGTCAACTTTCACTTTTCGTTGTTTTTTTTATTAGGTTTTATTTTAATACGAGAAGGTGAAAAGTGAGTAAATTAAGTGACAAACTATTAATTGATAATCATTGAGGTTTATTCACAAGATATTCTGAAAACGATCAACAATTTCATTTTATCAATTCCATTGAATATTAGATCCATTTAATCAAATTATTAATAGAGTTTAATTTGGTAATTAAGGAGTAATACTCATTAATTTTTGTCGTTTATACGTTTTGATGGTCAATGGATTGTCTCTATTAATTATGTTATGTCAAATTGTTTTCATCATGTACATGTAAATTTGATTTTTTAATTTTTTCATATTCAATCATTGTTATTATAATTTACTTGATGTTTTAACAACTAATTTTTTATATTATATTATTAACAATAATACATGTATTTGTTTCGGTAAATTTTGTTGATTGATACTTTTTTAACCTTTTGGGTTTTCTAAAGTTATTTTCTAATTTAATTTTCTTGGGTTTCTGGGTTAAAGTTGATTGGGAACTCTAATAGGGATTTGGTCGAATTGGTCTTGTTGGGTCAAATAGTTTCGGGTCATTTTTAAACTTGGGATCTCTGAATATGACAGGCATTAAACCATTGTATCGAGATTTTCGAATCATATCAACTAATTTTCCTTGTTGAGCTTCACAAAGACCAGTTATATGTTTATCATAAATATTTCCAGTTAAAGGTGAGACGAATTGACTTAAAAGTCTTGGATTCTACAAAGCAAAATGAATAAAACAAAAAGACAAAACAAACTCATTAGTTAAAGGAATAACAAAAGACCAGAAAATGATCACAAAAAAAACCAATCAAACATTTAAATTGTTCAAAATAAAAAAAGAAGAAAAAAATCACATTACCTTATAGTTAAGTTCTATCTTATATTTACATAGAATACATTGAGTTTTACTCTTTTTGTAAGGATTTTCCATATCAGGAACAGGTTGATCCAAAGAGGAACATCGCCGGACGAAATTAGACACAACAGGCTTAACAGTTAATCTAGAAAGAAATCCAAAAGACATTTTAAATTGTCAACAATTTAAATTAGAAAACGAATCAAAATAAATTGGATCAATTTAAAAATCTAAATTTCACCCATATGATCATAAGTAATTTTCTCAACCACCAGGTGGAGCTTTTGATCGCGAATATTCGATAGTATCGATATCGACTAATTGGTCAGCTGAAGTGCTTTTGAAATTCACTTTGAGAGGGAACCATTTTTGGTGTTGATTAACTTAATTGTTATTTAAATAATGTCTGTCAATGCAAGGTAAATTGTGATTAGATGAAATTGTTACCTTGTTACTGTGGCTCTTCTAATCTGTTCTCTTTGTTTCTTTTAGTTCTTTGAATTTAGTTACAATGGAAATGATCATTGAAAGAAGGAAACATGTTAAAGTCGCTAAAGAAGCTCTTTATTGGGGATTAGCTAATTTGATTGTCGTTCTTTTCCTATCACTTGACATGTAAGTAATTAAATTATTATTCTATTTTGTCTCATTTAACCTTCAAATATGTGACTCTATTGTTTTGCTTCTCTTACAGTTACACTGGCGTGTTTAGTTCTTATATTACATCTTCCGCATTTCTTCAGGTTATTTTTGGTATTGGTAAGTTGATTAAACTCATTTGAGGTTTTCTCTCATTTAGATTGTTTATTTTCTTGTTCTTCTTTTTTAATGTTATTGACTTTTTCTCTTTGGAAATTTTCATCTTTCTTTTTTGTTCTCTATAGAAATTACATTATTCCTACTATTTGGTGTAAATGTTGTTTATGATCTGTATCTCCACTCATGGTTACGTCTTTGGATGAAGCCTATTGAAGTTACTATTGAACAGAAAAAATTATTTAGAATAGCAGATAACGAAATAGGATTCAGAGATTTCAATTCTTCTGCCTTATCTCGAGATAAAGTTATAAACACTACTGGTAAACAATCTACCCCTATGACTTTTGCATCGCCAAAATTTTCTATTTTACCTGATAAAGATTCACCTGCAACCCCACCGATTACGAGTTCTCTTTGGATGGGTAAAGCTGCTCTCAATTCCTCTTTTTATACTTCTACACCAAGTAACCTAAGCTTCAACGCCTCTTGGCATTTACCGAATAACACCTTTGAATCTTTAGAAAATTCTTTCGATGAAAGCCTATTGAGACGACGAATGACACCAACAGCAACCCTATCAGACAGTATCAAAGATGAAGCAAGTCTCAAAAAATATCTAAAAGAATTTGATGAAGTCGAAGAAAAGATGACTCAGATGAGTGAAGTTGAACAACAAGCCACTCAAAATCAAAGCCCTTTCTCTTTCCAAAAACCAATGATTGATTTAACTAATGTCAGTTACCATGCTTCGGATGATTCATCTCTTTTCGCCAATGCTGACAATGATGAAAATTTCTCCAATGTTTTCATGAACACCGAATCAGCCGATTCAGTAAGTTGATTTAAAAATCATTTCCTGTATCTCATACTAATCTTTGTTTCAATTTGATTCTAGATTTGCTGTAGGCTGAATATCCCTCCAAATAAGCTTTCCAAATGGGTAGATAACATTAAAAATTGGATCAACACTACAATCTTAACCATGGTGGTAAAAGATATTGAGAAAATTAACGAAACGTTAATTAAGGCTGGTTTAGTTGAATCTCTGATTGGTGGTAAGTTTTATTGAAGGTCAATTGTGTTTTATCAACCCGTTTAATCCCGTTATTTACTCTATTCCTTTTTTTCATTCCAATTCTACCAGAGGTTGGACTATCTCAAGTGCGACAACTCTCCACTTTAAAATCTAAAGAAATACCAACATTATCAACTATCTTACCATATCTAGAACTTTCAATCCACCAAGAGTATTTAATTAAAAGATTACAAGGTAAGTTAACAAGGTGAAATTACTTTTTCCTTATTAACAAGTATACAAAATTTATTGATATTATTTTTCAGACTTAAATAAACGTAAACTTAGTAATTTCGTTTGGAATGGTGGTAATTCATACAAGGGTAAATCTTGGACGGAAGAATGGCCTTCTGATGCCCAGGTAATGCAATTTTCATTCTATGAGTAATTTTCCATATCTAATCATCTTTCATTTCTTTCATAGATAATAAGCCATTGCTTTTGTACTTACATGAATTCCAAGCTTCCATCAAATCCAAATTATCCTGAAACAAAGGCTTTTACTGGGCAATATTTCCGTATCTTAGATGGTAACTTTTTTAATTGGTGTCCAAGTTACTTGAATGAATCCTAATCACACTTTAATTTTATCAATCTAGGCAAAGACAAATCTAATAAGATCCAAATTCACATGCTACAAACAAAAACGTATCCTCCTCATTTCGATGTCGTAGTTAAAGCTGATGATGTGCTCGAGATACCAAAGGGAAGAAATAACGTCTTTTATGCCACAATAATCTTTCTATATTTCATCAAGACCAAACATTATGGATTCTTAGGGTAAGATACAATTTTTTAAATTTAATTATTAACCAACTAATTCTATTAATATCTAATGATCCATCTTTCTCTTATTATTATCTAGACGTGTCAACCTTGGACCTTCAGGCGTCAATATCCTTTGGACCATCGACTAAATCAAACTTGTTTGATTATCCAATCACTCAGAATTAATTTTCTCATCAAAAACAATAAACTTTCATAACTTCGATTAAATTAAATTATCACTTTGGCTGGTAAAATCATCATAAAATCATCAACACCACACACAAACAATTTACTACGAAAGGAAAAGGAGGAAGAGCAACAATCAACTTCACGAGAAAAAAAAATCTCTCTGTACATATAATCAAAACTTCATTTACTCAATTCCTTTATCAAATTTACCAACAAGTCCAATGTATATTCAGAATATTTTTTGTCGATAAAACTTCATCTTATAAACTAACATGTTGATGATAATCATAAACTCAACACAACGACGACAACAACAACATGGACCTATAACTTTGCCTTTATAATATATTTATATTCAATTGAATAGTGATGAGAATGAGAGAGAAATAGATATAAACATATAGAGAAAGCAGGAAAAGGAAGAGAAGGAAAAATTCATTTATTATTCTGTAAAATTTTGATGAAAAATGAAGAGAATGAAAAAAAAAATCCTAAATCACTATTAAGGAACCGAATCAATGAAAATAATCAACACTCTAGTTCTCATTTGTTATTCACTTTGATTATCATCTCATGGATCAGGAAAAAAAACAGGAAGATTGTGAGAGAGATAAAGAGTATCTCAGTCATCAATTCATCTCCAATGTTAATGTTTAAATTACAATTAAACTAAATCCAGAATCAGAATTAATCATAACCCAAATTCTGTTAACATAATCAGTAACCAAAATAACCTACAAGTCTAATTCAAAGGCAAAAAATTGTTCCAGATCATTATAACTGATTTAAATTATTTACATATGTAATTCTTACATGATTACAATCAGCTAACTAAATTAACTTGAATTAATATTTAAAATGCTATGTAAATTAATTGCAATCCATTTTTGCATCTTTGTAGTGATCAAAAAGTTTTATCAAACTTTAATTTTATCCCTTACAACTTTATTTAAATTGTTAGCGATTGATAATAAGTTTCAGTTTTAATTAATTTCAATGCAACTAAATTAATCCATTACAATTAAGAAATTGTAAGATTGTAATACTTTTGAATGAAAATTATTGTGATAGATTTTTGTTTGATTAGCTAATTGGTAAGACAAATACAAAGCTAATCAGTAATTAGTTTCAACAATTGGCTAAATAATACATTTAATTGGATAATGAAAAACTAATTAAAATCCTAATACAAGGATGAAGGAGACACAATTAGATTAAAAATTGAAAGATTCAACAATTTAAACAATTCGCTGATAATTGATTAAAAGTAAAAGAAAAACAATTTAACTATAAACCTTTAATTGTGACAATTTAGGTTGAGGCAAATTCAGTTTCTTATCCCAAGCAACAATAAACTTAACAAGTGATCAGTTAATTTCAATTGGAACCAGGAATTGCTCAAACTATTCAATAAAAGTGAAGATGAGGATGCTCATGATGACGATGACGATGATGGTGATGAAGATGATGATTAAAGATGAAGATAATGATGAAAAGTTTCAAGAAAATGAATTACAAGTTCCCTTTGTGTTTAATTTTTTCTCATCAATCAAAGTAAGAAAAGAAATCGATCCAATCTAATCAACATTTTTATTCGTTTAATTTATAATTCTGATTCTTTTACTGATGATTAAGTAAATGATCAACGATAATGATAATAACCATAATACTGGTTCATCATAAATTACATGATTAATAATAATAATAAATTAAATTAACTGATTCTGATGATTACATGTAAATAAATAACTCGAAATGTCCAACAGTTAACAAAGATCCCAGTTCATCTCATTAATAAATTGTATTGTTAACTCTTCATTTCCCTTTTTCTCTGTATTTTAATCATTGTAATCACTTGCGATTTAATTGATTAACATTATTCATTATCGTTATTATGACTGATTGTCTTGGTTAATTGTTACAATCAGCCAGATAGAAAAGAGAAAGAAATAATTTCTAGTTGATAGCATTTAATAATCTTAATGATGGGAATAGATTTTTTTTTTCTGTTGATCTTTTACCTTGATATTAACTTATAGTTGGTCATTTTTCTTAATATTTTGCTGACCATCATCTTCATCTTCATCATCATCTTGCTTCCTCCTACTTTTACCACCTTCTTCATCATCATTATGATGATCATCACTCTTTCATCTTGATCATTGTTATAACAATTAACTTGATTCCTCTTTTAATGATTGGTTTCAATCTAAAGGTCAAATTGTTGAGATGATTGACCTTTTTTTATGGATACATTTTCATATTAGCCAATATTTTATTGGCTACTGATTAAGTTGATTGTTCATATCAGATGAAAGGGTTTTTTTTTGTAAATTGGTTAATAGAAAAGATTACATTTTAAATTGTTTGGATTTCATTAGATGATAATGATGATGATGATTATGATGATGATGATGATGGTGTTTATTGATAATGGTCAACGTGAGAGTTTCAGTTATAAAAGGTTTTCATGTTGATTATGATGAAACTCATTTCCTTCTTGATGTTAACGGTGATTTTTTTTCATCTTCCTCATCATCATCAACAATATCTTCCTCTGATTGTAAACATCTCGTCTTACATCATCATGTTCATCACTTTGAGGAAGGCATTATTGTTATCATATAAACAACAACAACAACAACATTAAGATGGATACTTGAGATGATGAGGATGAGTAAAAGTGATGGAGAGCAAGCATCAAGTCAACATGATGAAGATGAAGATAAAAATATAAAGAGAGAGAGAGAGAGAACATCAAGAAGAAATAAAATAAAAGCTCAAGAATAATGAAAGTGAAGGGAAAAAAGACTGATAATGATGATTAAGATGATGAGGAAGATGAAAAGATGCTGATAAAATGCAAAGAGAATGCGAAAAGGAAAATGTCATAAAGATGTTTGTTGATCTCATCTAATCTTTAATTGTCTTCCTTCAAATCCAATCCCATACTCTTTGCAATTTAATAATCAACATAATCTAATCCACCGAGTTAAGTTGATTGTTAATCAGAGTGAAACATTAATCACACCACAATTAACATGAGGGCAAATAAAGATCTTGTTATATATTGTTACAATGTTACAAGTTCATTTGATTATTAATTAATATCATTAACCATAAATCTCTGTGAGTTACTGATGATTAACCTTTTAACCTTTCACCTTCATCGATTTGTTTCCCACTTTTGAATATCAAATAATCTATACTGAAACAATTAGACTCATGACTGAACTTATTTTTTCATGAAAAACTCGCATAAATCATGAATTTCACCATCGTCTTCATGGTTATGGTTCAGCTTTTTTATTCAATATTTTTCCCTTCAACTTTTTACCTTAACGAGAAAAAAATATTCCAAAGAAAATGTTGTAACTTTAATCTCTCAATCAATTATAATAAGTTTGATAAAATTTAAATAATCAATGAATTGTTTACTAAATTGTCATGTATCAAGGTGAACAATTAGATTAAATTTAATCATTGACTGATTGTGATCCAAGAAAAAGTTACTTTGTTACCTGTGATCAGATAATTGGATGAGTTTCTTTTTTCATTCATTCAACTCAGTTAATTCCAAATAATTAGTTGAGGATTTCATCATATTTATCATGATCCGATTAAGAAAATAACATCTACAAGGTTAAATTTATAATCTTGATCAAATTTTTATCTTTTAGAAGATGAAATAACTGAGAAAAGTTCAGTTTCAACTGGAAATTTCATCTAATAGAACTTTATAAAACAAAGAAAAAAGTTCTGAAATTTCTCATTCCCCTGGAAAAGGAAACATTATTTACTTTCATGTAGTAATTATTTTCATTCCGTGTATATCTTTTGTGTAACCTTTGTAAATAAAAATCTTCATGAATCAACCGAGTGAACTGAATTACATGGTGGCAATAGAGAGACAGAAAGACAACAAAATTAACTATCAACTGATTATCATGAGAAAAGTAAATAACTAATTTCCAACATTGAATCAATACAACAAACGACCAGAATTGATGCCTTCAGATTCATCCATACAACTCTCATGATAAGATTAACACGATGGACTAGTAAAGAGGAAAAAAGTTCAATATTTCATAAGAAATTGAATAAAAAAGTTCTGACAATAATTTCGATCTCAGATATACAATAATAAGCTTGAGAAAACAGAAAAAAAGTGATGATAAAAATTTACAGAGTTCTTGGTGAGAATGAGATTCTGTCTGATGATGAGGAGGAAGATAAAATTCTGAGTAACTATAGAAACCAACTGAACATGGGAATTACATGGAGACCACCAGTTCTGAACATGGAGTCGAACTGAATGTTTCAGAATCTCGTATAAATGTCTGATAACAATGAGAGACCAAAAGAGTAAGAGAGCAAATAAAAAGAGTTATAATAGAATTAGAATTTTTTTATCGACCTAATAAACTTTAACCAATATAATATTCATCGTAATTTATAATTGATTAATTAACGAATTTGTCAAACAATTTAAATTACAACAATAATCATAAATCACGTTAACGTGACTACATTAATAAAAAAAACTTTGTGTTGTTTTTTTAGATACAAATTTTGATTGTTACAAGTTAATCATCACCTTTGTCATCATTGATACAACAATGTAATTAACTACTGTCATTGTTAAATTGTGATTATAATTTGATTGTGTTCATCATCTTCATTAAAATAACTGATTGTGAATTTGAACATAATGTGAATTGAAGTGATAAAGTGTCTTGATTTAGTTTCCACCATAGACTACAATTAATTTAGATTGTTGGATATCAAATTTTTCTTTCTCTTATTGGATTAATTGTTTGCCTTTCATCAAATCAACATTTTCTTAATTGTTTACATTTAAAACATACACATACACATACACTCACAATGATCAGCTCAATGTGGATATTGTTATTGTTGGTTTGTTTACCATTGGTGACCTTGGGTCAATTAATCGTCAGTGTTAATCAGACAAATTCATCAGGAATCAATTTGATTAGTTCAAAGGATACAACAATTAAATCATCAACGATAACGTTCACAACAAGTATTGAAAATAATCATACTGAAAGTCAATCCTTGATTGTTGCAAATCAAACATCACCAACTAAATTGACAACTGAAATATCAATTGTGAAAACAGATTTAAAGATTAATGGATCAACAACAATTAACAATAGCCCATCTCAATCAAGATCGTTAATCTCATCGACATCTCGTCAGCAATTAAATGGTACAATTAAAGAAAAATCAACAAACAAATCAAGTGAGTAAAAGTTTTCATTCAATTCAATGGGTTTATCAACATTCAACCATAAATTAGTTGATTAATTAATCAATTTTTGATGAAAAGATTTGGTTTAACCTTAATCATTTTGATAATATAATTATTATCAGGTAATATTTCAATCAGTTAACATATTTTTTGCATGAATAGATGAATGAATATTAAATCATGATCAGAATATAAAAATGAACTTTTATCCCTCATGTCAAAACTTTTTTTCATCCAGAATCAATTTTCATGATGATGATCAACATGATTATCTGATTGAGTTATGATACCAAAAATTTAACTATTATAATGATGAGAAATGAACTTTTTTCTGGTCTTTTCATCTCATTCATCATGTCATCATCATGTAATTTTGGTCAGAATTATGATCGAGATGAAAATTTGCTTAGATTCACTTAATCATCTGATCAAGGTAATTGTTTTGATGGAAAAGTTTTAACTGTCAACAAGTTATCATCATGTATTGAATTCAGAAAGTTAACCTGACAAAATATAAACGATAAACATGATGATAAGAATATATTCCGACCATGAGATAATCATTATATCTACTCAGGGTGAGTAGAGAGTAGTAAATAATAAGCCGGAAATGGATATGAAAGTTTCATGTGGTTCCAATCATGATGCTGATCATTTACAATAGGAAATCAAAATCTAAAAATCATTGACAGAGATTCATCTTGATGGTGAAAATGGTTACACATTATAAACATTTTCAATATGAATCTAATTATTTTCATCATTACACCAATGCAGGATAATCATTGATAGAATATTCTGAATTTTTGGAATTGGATGTATTCTGATAATTTCCGATGTAACCAAACATTAATCAGGCTAAATTGATAATGTATCTTGATTACCATTGAGTTACCATTATAATGATTATGTGAGATAACAATTTACAAAGTAGTTGCTCAGAAAATCAATCAGAATCAGAACAGAATTTCTCAGGTTAAATAATGATAACCATCCGGTAATTGTGATATTTCGTGAGAATTTTAAATTATGAGGATAAATTTCAAACCCATAAGAATTTGATGAAGTAAAAAAAAAGGAGAAGAAAATTTCACCCACAATCCTCATGAGAAATTCAGTACATTGAATTACCTTTCTCGAAACCAACATGACGATATTCCGGTAATCGTTCAGTAGCAAAAAAAAAGAGACGAAACCGAATCTCGAATAAATAAAAAAAAGTTCTGAATCAACGATCGATCTTAATCAGCAATAATTCAATTGTTCGATCCAATAGCAACAATTTATCTCTCTGTTGATTTTGTCGATTCTTAAAGATCACATCTAATTGAATGTTCTCATATAGTTGGAATTATATTCTAATGTTTTTTTTTTCGTTTCTTTTTTTTGTTCTAATCTCAAAGTTCAGTTCCCTGGCATCGGAAAAAGTTTCTGGTGATTCTGACGATAAATGAGTCAAACAAAGTTACATCATTCTGCATTAGAGATGATAATAATGTTGAACAAATGTGCTAATCTAATTAAACTTTTACTGAGTAATTAATTTCTGTTCATCAGAGTGAGAATTGGAAATGAAGATACAACGGGAGACTAAAAAGTCACCGAAATCCAGGAATTCAGAGCAATTAGTTGATCATGATTACCATATGATTTGTTAACCAAAAAAAGTTTGTTTTCTCTCATCTGAATCATTCAGAATTGTGAGTTAATGTTTCCACCAGAATTTTCAACTTAAAAACTTTGAAAGTTTTTTCTACTCTTCATCACAATTTATATCCAACAAATTAAAATGATTATCATGATGGTTGAAGTTAACAAATAGTATCACCATGATGTCAACCTATCAGAATACTCTGATCGAGAAATTGTGAATCTCAACTGAAACAAGGAATTTTCAGAGTTTCAAGGAAAGAAGCAGATTGATTACCTGTTATTGTTTTTATCTATTATTTGGGAAACTTGTTTGATTGTCTTACGGTTAGGATAATACTTTTACTATCATCATTACCTGTCAATCAGAATTATCTCTTCATGAGTTGAACTATTTCATGAGGAAAAGAAAAAAAATTCACCTGATTTTTCTTTACAAATGTAACAAAATGTATCTTAAGGTTTGCCAATAGTTTTTAGAGTCACGATAATAAAGAATCGAGTTCACAACTTTCAGGTTAAATGAATGTTCCCTGAAAACGAATCTCTATCAACCTGAATAGTTTTGACCTTGAAAATCTGTGAACAAAGTCAATATAACAATCAAGAGATATATTGAGATAATCGAAACGCGTGATCTAATCAGATAATTGAACAAATTGTGACCATAAAAGCGACAAAACTCATTAACTTTCCATGTTAATATTTACCTTTATTCCGAGTGATTTGTCATCATTACTTTTTTTGTTCAAACTCAAAACTCAGCGAAACTCATACAAGTTTTGATGATATTTAATAATCAGAATTATTAATGTTATAATTAATCGTTTCCATAATGAGCTGGATGATTAAGAAGAGGATTAAACAATTTATTTGCCTTTCAACAAATCAACAGGAACTTTTATATTTAAAGGAGCATCATTTATATTAAAGTTGTGAGGCAAGAAAGTTCATGAAAGAAAACTATTATCCTGTAAAACTCAATTTGATTCAATAAATATTACATCAAATGTTACAACTTATAAAGATTTTATTTTTGCATCAACCACTCAAATTCATGGGGAATACAAATTCAACATGAAAATAACAGATTTTCCTGTAATTTCAATTGAAAATGAACATTTTTCACAGCCAAAGATGAAAATCTTGTGAAAATTTTACCATTTACCATTCGACTCCCTGAGTTGGTCTGATAAATGTTTCAGATGAGAAAAATTCAACTTGATTGATGTATCATGCAAAGTGAATGCAAAAACTGTAAACAGAGTAACAAATGCTCCAAGTGATGAAAAAAAAGTGGGTGTAAGAGAGTGGGGTGTAAATGCATAGCTTAAAACCTTAGAGGGAAAAACAGATTAGCAAGTTTACTTGTCTTGAAATGATGGAATCATTGAAATGCATGATAATCAGAATTTCGTTCAAATTTTTTACTTAACTATTTTTTTTCATCTCCCATCCATCAGCTAAGATTTTCTTAGTCTCTGAATTTTGTCTCAGAACTTTTTTCCTCCCTCTTTACTCGCTTGTTTCTAGCCTGACGAAGTGAAAAGCTTACTTACTGTTCAATCTGGTTACCACTGGTGTCATGGTGTAATATCATGCTGTTCAAGGAGTATAACAGCAACAAAAAGATGATAGAAATCACCAAGAATGAATGAAAATAACTCTACAGGTAAAACTTAAGTAGGTTGGATAACATGGTTAACCAGTTATCTTTTAACATTTCCTCTATTTCCTCATGAATGAATTTAACCTTCAGCCTCATTATCCATTATCGAGAATCCTTTCCGTCTTATCTTTGAGTATTCATGGAAGGTGGGAACCTGAGAATCACGGAATTAACTGGCTACAATAATGAAAGAATTGAGAGAGAGAGAGAGAGATGATCGAAAATTTCTTTGAACTTCTTAGAGCTTGGAACAGTTTTCTTTTGAGAAAAAGTGATTCAGGTTTCAAGTTCTGATTTTCGACTGATGGTTAGGTCAACAGTCTCGAAGAAACAAACATTGAAGTCTAATATACACTCCATCTTGTTTATCATCCTCATGATAACTTTGAAAATGATCAACTGAATTATATTTGAACTTTTCGTTGAAAGGAAAATAGAAGGAAAAAAAATTCAATCCATTCTGAATTATTTATAGAAGTGAAGAAATATAAATTATAATATTCCCGTTCCATCCTAAATCTATTTTCGCCGAAAGTTCTATATCTCTTTCACTCTACATGATAATGGATTATCAGAGATTTATTTTCAGAACTTTTTCCCTGAAAGTCTCACAATAATCATATATGTATTTTTAATTCAAAACTTCCAATCATGAAAATGATAATATCACCATGATTGTTTAACTCTGATAATTCTGATAATAGATTTTACTTTATCCCGATTCCAGTTCAATAATTAATGACCTCAAACATCAAATATTTAAAGAATAAAAAATTGTTTCCAATTATTTTTCGAAACTTTCGTTCATCCTCTTGGAGAAATGAAGTTTCCACTTTTTACTTCTCATGAAATTAACAATAGTTCATTGAGATCTTTGTTTCTAAGGTGATTTATCTTATTAAATAATTCATGGTAACGTTAATCAGTTAATAGTTCCCAGTAGAAAGATGATGATGATGATGATTAGTTGTAGGAGGAAAATATTCATAATCGAATAGATTTTTCTTTTCTTCATCTCTGATGGCTCAATTTACGTTTACCTTCAGTTTTCATTGTATTAAATATCTCGTAACTCTGATGAAAAACATGATTCTAAATCAATCAGAACCGGAAGAAGATGAAGTACTATCATTATCCAAACTAAGACATTCTCAATAGAGGATAACCAAAGTGGTCGAAACAAATATCAATCGGGAGCTCTTGATGAAACTAAGATGATTAATTTGATGTTAAATGTTCAACAAAAGTATTATCTGAATATCTGTTTAGAAACAATTTGAAACTCGAAAAGAGTATCATCCATCCTGAGTAGCTCATCAAATTGAAAATAATCTGGAAATGTATCAAGTCTGATGTGATAATAATTCAGGGGTCATTCAAAGTGCGAATCTGTTCAATTATAACGAACATCGATTATTCATCAACCAAGTTGATATGAAGAAGATTAGATATTAAATTTCACTCTGATGGTCTTGATTTCCAAAAGGTTTTCCCAATGGAAATGCTCTGAGTCTTTCTATGGAATTTAGTTTTTTACTTAATCACTTTTGTTGATTCTAAAACATTCATTTTGTTTCTTTCTCCGTTTTATCAACGGCAATTCAATTAACGAGGTTTCAGAAAAAAGACTAATCCCCTTCTCTTTTCCACTAATTGAATTACTAAATTCTGT